GTCTCGCCGTAATCATTTGTCTACCTTTAAAAGTTCCTTCCGTCCTCTTTTCATCGGCTGTTTCAGTATTTCTTTTAAATACTCCACTTACCTTATCATAGCAGTCGGTCTTTTATCTCTAAATTGCTTGTAATCTATTTTGCATTTCAAAACTAATAGAACTAGTGTTTAAAAGGTTTGGGAACTCACTGTACATAAATGTGCATACTTCAAAAACTTAAGGTCATTCTAAACACGTTTCGTGGCAGACTACAATATTTTTTTAATCTTATCCTGCTCGTTTTTCAGTAATTTTGGTGATAACGGACTGTTAATTATGAATCTCTTTTAACATTATGCTCCCCTTGGGAACTCAGTTAGTTCTTTAAACTACTGTCACCATTAGTTTATTTCATAAGGTTAATAATAATAACAAAAACAATTTTACTTTTCTTAAGCTATTTATTACTTTCGGATTTCGTTTACGCCAATTTGAATGATAAAGTTACCACTACAAAACTTTCGTAACTCTTCAAGCAGTCGGCTCTAGCAAATTATATCGTATTTATGGGTCCGACAACCTTTAATGAGAAAGGTAGCTTCTCTCTTTTCTTCAACAAATTGTTAAACAAGTGTTGAGAGACTAGGTTTTCACTTGCTATACTTTTAACCATGGAGTTTTCGCAGCGCTGCTTTTAAATTATTACTTTGAACTATAATTTTTGCACACTCGCCCTAAACTTATCTTTAATCTCACTGGCATGCTGAATAAACGTATAGTTGCCTTTTAGCTCCTAGCCCAACTGGCTGGGAAGTAAGTAATTGAGGCCAGCTTACGCCTTTTTTAAAAACGTCTGCTCTCCCTTTTTAGTACAATTTCCAACTATACCATAAACATTAACTTATTAGTACATAGGCTTATCTTTAATTAATAGTTATATATAGCTTGATTAGTAGTAAAAAACTTAGTCGATACAAAGGCTAAATAATAAATTTTTCCATACTACCACTGAAAGAGTTCTTCACCTACTCCAACATCCCTAGCATTCATCTTTAGAACGGGATAATGATTAGGGTGGGTGTAGTTTACAACCTTAGTTTTTTTGTATTGTGCATATTCATTTACCCTTCTATGCCTTTAAATTTCTTTTCACTCATTAATAGTATCTTATCTTAACGGTTTATTAACAAATCTAAGGATGAAAAAGCTACTGGTTCTGTACACAGCTAAATAAATTAATAACTTAAAGAAAAGAATTTTTTTCTTACCTTCCATTTTTTATATTTTTGTTGAGCAAGAAGAGTCATGGAATAGTGTCATGATATTAGTAAATCAGAAATCATGTGCTGAATATATTATTAATGAATCTAACTTTATTCTTCAGACAGCTGCTAGTGGAATGGGATTGAGAGGTGTCCTATTTCAAAGATACGATGACCGCTTGCACATATAGCATTTGTGAGTATTAAAATTAAATGAAGCTGAAAGGAAGTAGAGCATAGCGTAACGGATAGGGGGGCGAGCAGTTAATTGGCCCACTAACAAACTCAACTGAGTGAAACAAACAGAGTTGAAGCAGACCATAAAAGCCTTCTTGGAGTTTTTAATAATGAGTATGAAGCTGAAATTGTAAGGAAGAAAAGAATTAATAAAATGAAGCGTATAATGAGCAATGTTTGTTGGACACTAAAATACATACCTGGTTAGAATAATGTATTGCGGATTTACTGTCAAAGCTCCAGCTGTTAAAAATATAGTTGTTGAAAAGTAAAGTTTTCTCTGACTAATGACAGCCAAGATAATTTTAATGTTATTAAACAACTCCACGAGAATTTGTTAAACATGGAAAAAAGAACGTTGAAATACTTGTTCGATGATTGCATACCCTACACATTAAAAAAAAAGTTCTTAACGGGTGTAAAGTTAAGCCAACGCTTTGGTACTAGAAATTTACTTCCTAGGGAGAAACTTAAATTAACTGATAGAACAGAGGAACTTCTGGAGTATCTGGTTGTTGATATAATTAAAATGCACCACCTGAGGGAATAGACAGTGCCCTAGTTATTTTAGATAGATATTCAAGGTTTGTATGGACTTTTCACTTAGAAGGTTACAGCAGGACAGGTGAAAAACTGCCTTAAAGAATTGTTTAAGTGGCAAGGTGTTAAGAGAATTAGGGAATATCGATTTTTGTAAGTAACGCCAGTATCTCCATTTCTGGTGGAAAGAGGTGTTGAAGCTCATTTATCACCACGAATGATCACCGAAGTAATGGGTTGGTCGAAAAGGTATTTCGAACCATCTCTATGCTTTGTTAAAAATATGTGCTGACAAAAATGTTGAGTTCTTACATATACAGAGGACTACAATTATGAGCCAAACTTATATAAAATGTGCTAGGTGTAAGCCCGTTGTTTATGGTTTTTAAAGAAGGAGCCTGAGTAGAGCTATTAACTGGGTGAGCACGCTTTAAGACGATTTATAAGTTTACCTGCATAGTTAGTTATGTGCGAAATTAAAAAAAATCATATTGTTTTTAATAAGTTAAAGAATCAAAAAAAAAGGCTGATTGCCTAGCAAATACAGTTGAAAGAAAATATGAAGCAAGATGATTAGCAAGTTATTCATGGGAAGAGACTAGAGGTGGGCCAAAATATTTTTTCTGAAAAAGCGTGATAGCAACTTAGAGGATGAGTAATGGGTGGTCCCTGCTACCGTTGTTATAATACTAGATATCGGATTGTGCCTGGTAGAACATAAAGGAAAAATTTGCCTATTAACCGGAATTAGCTGAAAAATACTGCTGTTGGAGGTATAGAGTTTTCTAACGCGTTAGACGATTGGGGAATAAGTTCTACGTTTCGAAATCATTTAACTGCCCCAACCTTACTTTGAAGGCTAAGAGTGAGCTAATAAGGTTATGCCTCAAAAAACGTTGTAGAACCTAGTTAGGAGGAGTTGCTGCGCTCATGGTATCAACTATAAAAAAACTGGAGATGAAGATCCTCTTCTATTACCAGGTGACAGAACTGAAGGTTTCAGGAGTTCCTACAGGTTATTTAAAGACATTAAACCTTAAAAAGTACAACATTAAGAGGGCTTGTAAATTCCTGCACGAAAAGGACTTTAGAGCAAAGCTTACCCAAAAGCTTGTTTGTTAGTATATTTACTATCGCAAGCATCAGCTTAACAAAGTAAAAATGAAGGGGGGGGGGTGGATAAGTTAGCAGAAGCTTAACAGGGTACAGGGTACAGTTAGTTTTTGCGAAGGATCCGCAAAAAGTATTTTTTAGATGCGCGTTGAAGCTCGCCTGAGGGAGTGGTAGTTGATTCAGTGCGTGCTCGTAAATAATTCTTGTTATTCTTCGCAATCTTTAATAGGCGCTATAGTTAGACACTACGCTCGAAGAATGTGAGTTTTAAAATATTAACTATGAAACAATTGAGTACGCATGTTAAGATATTCGTATGCAGTTGCGCCTTTATTCTAACGCTCTGTGGAATTTTTAAAATTTTTACTTAATTGGAAATTTGGAAAAGCTAATAAAACCTCTTATAATTTCCTAGATTGAGTGTAAAAACTAGTAAATTACCGAAGGCTATCTATAATTTACAATAATTGGGTTAACTATACTAGGAAAATTTAACTTATCTTGATATTTCAAAAGATCTTGCTTTATTCTAATAGTAGTGCTTTAAAAAGCGCTAATTATAATATGGATGCCACTTAGTCTTCTATTGTCAACTTTAAAAATTCGAGGAAATGATAAGACTATGGAGATATATTTCCTATATATTTAATTAGTAATTAAAGGTTTTGCAGTCTATATGTAAATAAACAATTTTATATTTACTTATTATGCAATTTTTTTTGGGCATCAAACTAATTTAGTATATTTGAAGCTTAATTTTGTTGCTAATACTTAAAAGTTTTTCTTCATGTCTTTTATATCTTCAAGTCCCCAAGGATGAGGACGCTGATTAACTGCAGCACAAAATCTGTTATTGTCTGAGCGGAGGGTGCTGATTCCCCAACATTAATTGACTGCCAAGAAAACCAGCGTACTTGCTAGCAACTTTAATATTCCAGGGAGGTGATATGCAGACTTTAACTAAATGGTGAATATTTTTTTAAAAACCTTTCTGTATGTAATAATCACATAACGCTAATTACTGTCTATATTAAAAAAAATTTCTCATCTATTTCTGCTAAGATTAACTAATGCGGTTTTACAAATAATTTACGTCGAATAATAAGATTAAGATTAAGACTTTTTAGTTGTAACTTAATATTATATAATACTATTTAAGCCTACTCACACAGTATATTGCGCAAAAAAGTCCATGTAAGTTATTTAATCAACCTAGTGTTCTAATTTAATTTCATATATAATTTTGTTAGATAGCTTCTATAACGTGTAAACTATTATTATTTTAAAACTAATAAGGTATATATAGCTATAAAGCATCTTAAGAATCTTTATGACAATTTTATTGAAAAGGTTATTGCTTATTTGGTAAGAAGTAGCGATAGCGTCTCATAAATAAATATATGAAATAAGTGACAAAAGAGTAATACTCAATGAACACTAAAGAAATTTCGACAAACCATATATCATCATCGAATTTTTTAAAGATAATACGAGATATAGTATATAATATTAATAACAATAATACACTGATGGAATAGGAAAAAAAATATGGGATTTCGATCTGTTAAACTCGCCATCCGGTCTAGCATGGAGCAAAACAGCTAAGCTTTTTGGCTTCCTCCCACCTCCACCCCATTTAAGTAATCTCATTGTCACCGTCAACACTTAGGCGACCAAGCCATATGGTGGGTGCGCTGAGTATCACCCACTAAAAGGGGGCTGGAGCGCAAAAAAAAACTATGCTAGTTGAGTGCTTCTTCTAAAGGAAGAGCACCCCGCCACACTTTGTTCCTTTAATCTTAAAATATAGTGACAAGCTACTGCGTACTGCGCTCTTCTTTTTATCCGAATTTTAAAACGTAACTACTGGAAATTGTTGGTCACTTTTTCTTATAGAAGCTCGAAGTACTAGGAAGTGTTGACTCGATCGAGCACCGGGAAACAGTCATTTTCGAATTAGTAAATTTTCAAGTTGCTACTTTTGCATTTCTCTCTTCTAACGTCTGATTTTTTCTTAAATGACTGAAGTTACTACTAAGGCCATTCCAAACTTAAATTTGGCTCAGAAGATTTTTGGTTATAAGTTGGGTATAAGCTTGAAGAAAGATGCTTGCATTTTAGCAAAAAGTATAAACTATTTCTGCTTTTTTCTTTATTTAACCTACTATTTTTTAATTTGCTCTCACCAATATAAGGATTTTATGTAATTTTCCTTCTTAAATTGAATAGATGTACTTTTTTCGTTACACTATCATTACTTTTACCTTTTTTTTATTTACTGTTTATTTTTAAGCTGCTGAAGATATCAGAAGTTATCTCACCGAAAACAGTAACATACCAGTCTAGTTTTTTTTATATAATCTTTTGACAAAAGATACTTTTTAAAAGATATGGCTCCTTTATACAAAGATTTAATTAATGAATTCAACTGGCCCAAAGACTTGGTTCTGTTAGAAGTAATGGAAAACGATAATGAAAAAGAATTATCAAGACTAACAGCCGTTTTAGAGGACGCTATAGAAAATTTAGGTGAGACTGAAATGCGAGATGCTATGGTCGCGCGAGCTGAATATTTATGTTTTATAGGAAATAAGGTATTTTTTTTATTTGTGTTCAGAACTTATCTTTCCCTCCTACCTTTTTTGTTAATTATTATACTTAAAATTATAATAACGTAGCAAAGTCTTAGTTAAGATTGTTTGGCTTATAAGATAACTTCACTTACTTAAAAAGACCAACGTATTAAGGATCTATGTCTGGAGTACTTTGAGGAAGCGTTAAAGAAAAGTGCTTCAGTCGGTCTTCGTCTCGATATCGTCTTCTCCATAATAAGGACTGGCTTTTTTTATATGGATCACGAGCTGATTACTAAAAATATAAAGAGGGCCACTAAGTAAGCTTTGTTATACTAACCTGTTTCAAATTTTTGCGACTAATTTGTTTATAAGCCTCGTTGAAGAAGGCGGAGACTGGGATAAAAAAAACAGGCTTAAGGTTTATCAAGGTTTTCTTTATACTTCATACTTTTATTTTGTTCTTATACTTATAATCTATCGAAGGTCTTTACAAAATGTCCATTCGAGATTTTTCCGGAGCGGCTCTGCTTTTTTTAGACACAGGTAGCTCTTGTGGTTATACAACTGAATAGAGTCAAACGTTTATCTCATAATTGTACTGCAGTGTCCACTTTTGTAGCGTACGAAGTTCTGGACTACGACACTTTTATGTTTTACACTGCCCTCTGCTCGTTGCTAGCTTTGGGTCTCTCTGGCCATTTTTTATCCAGATTTTACTAGTTTTATTATATTTAAACTTTTTATGCCACAAGACCGAGTGACTTTGAGCAACAAACTTTTAAAATGCCCGGAGCTCGTTCAAGCTTCTATGAAAAAACCGCTAATCAAGGACTTTATGGACTCTTACTACGGCTGCAAATATTCTACATTTTTTAGTAATCTTGGTACATCGTCTGCAAGTATTTTAATTTCTGCTTAATTTTTTCAAAAAAACTATAGAAAAAGTAGAGCAGGAAATTAAATACGACCGCTATCTTAATGCTCACTACCGATATTACGTGCGAGGTGTATGTTCTTAGAGGGGCATTTACATGCAAATGTTATCAGGATATTTTGTTAGAGATGCGCGTTGCAGCATATAACCAACTGCTTGAGTCATACAGTAGCGTGACCCTAAAGTCCATGGCCAGCTCCTTTGGTGTTTCGGAAGATTTTATTGACAAGTATAGCTCCTTACTACGTCTATAAGTAAATGATTGACTCTTTTGCGACCTTAGAGAGCTTTCTCGCTTCATCTCTGCAGGACGCCTCAAGTGCAAAGTTGATAAGGTTGCTGGGATCGTCGCCACTAACAACAGTGCGTCAGACACTAATTTTTACCAGCAAATCCTAAAGCACGGCGACTTTCTCTTAAACCGTGTTCAAAAGCTAAGTCGTCTGGTCGACGTGTAATAATACAGTTTAGCACTCTAAACAAGCATAATAAAGTTGCCACACATTAACTTTGCAAAGGCTTCTATGCGCCGGAGCGCGCTTGAGCTTGCATACAAGGCATTCAACTGCTGCTCATCCTTAAGTCTGAGAACGTACAAACCTGTAGCATGTGTTGGCTGTGTATGTTTTTGGGGCGGCTCGTAACAATTCTCATTATAATGGTAGTTGCATTACTTCGGGTAGCACATACTTTCCATTTACAAATAGTTGTTATATAATTGCTTAATAATATAAATTTAGATTATAAATACTTGAACTAAAATTTCTTTTATTGGAATTTTGAGAAATTTAAGGCGTTTGGTCTTCAACGTAATACTTTTTCAATCTTTTACTCAAGTTAACGGTTTGTATTGGAAATGAGTACATCCTTAGATATACTCATTTTGTTCGTGGCAAATATCTTAAGTAACTGATGATCTTAAGTAGTATCCAGTTTATAAGCATTTTATGATCTTTTAATTTTGGCCTTGTCCCTTCCGGTTTAATGGCAGCGAAATCTTCAGGCAAGTCTTACAACGAGAATACTCAAGATTTAGATCCACACCCTCCTAGTTGTCGTGTAAAAATAAATAGCAGAAACAGAACTGAGTACTTTGCAAGTTGTTAAATTCTTCAAATTGTGACTACTAAATTACCCTCGTTTGCACACAGAGATTACGCTATGGATCTGTATTACTAAAAATATTAGGTAATGCCCACCCAGACGTCTGTAGGGACCAAAAACAACTTTAAGCATTTTTCACCAGCATTTAACTTCTAAATAAATATTGTTGCGTCAACAGTTTTTTATTATTTTTTAGAACGGCTCGTCAAAATAGTTATTAATCTATATTTACTAACTACTGCTTAATAGTTTATGGTGTATATATCTTTATCGTGCTATTAGAGCAATAGCATGGAAAAGGCGTTCGTTCAGCAGCGCAGGTTTCACTTTCCATGGAAGGTTAGATACGTTAGCACTCAAACAGCTGCTGTGCTGTTCGAATTGAAGTTTCTAAGGTCGAGAGCAAGAGGTTTATAGCCGCGTGAAGTTAAAGCTTTAGAATTGTACGCAGTAAACGGCATAATAAAATTATCAGTCACTATCTACAGTCTTTATTTGTCATATAACAATGAGATATACTCATTTTTGCACAGTTTATACGCATTTACTGGCTATTATTTGTGTGACCTTCGAAATCAGATCTCCCAAGTAACTCAGGGACTCAAAAAACTGTCGGGCGCTTAAAGTTCCTCTGGAAAAGAAAATCACCGCCCCGAACAGAAAATTGGGGTTAAGATGTTGTTTTGCACACTGTTTTGGTCATGGAGATTGGTAAGGACTTGTATTAAAATATTAGCGCTAGTTAGCGTTAATAAAATCTTTTTAAATTGTCTTTATATTAACATACGTAGCCCAAAGGTTGTACATCGGGCTAGCATTTCTCATTTTATAAATGCTAAAAACCAACAGTTTCATTGCCCTCTACATGTCGAATTTTTTGTTACACACATTAGGTTTCCAAACTAGGGCCTTAACGTTTGATCGCCCTCTAAACGGTAGGCCTCAATTCTTTAGGCTATGACACGTGTTAACTAAAAAGATCACAATACACTAAATAAGAACAAAAACCAATAGGCCCAACGAAGAAACCTTAGACTTTATAGTTTATATGTAAATATTCAAACAAAGCATTACCGCATTTCAAAATTTTACAATATATAGCGGTTAGAGAAATTATATTAGTTATTTAATAGATAGCTGGTAAAAAGTATTAATTAAAATGGTGTTGCGATCATTTAGCTTTCTAGATATAACCAAACAATTATTATGCACATCTAGTATAAATTAAATTATGCCACTACCAGTTAATGGCAACATCGTAGGCTACTTAAATTGTTTAATTAAAAATAATCAATCGCTTAAATATAAATGATGCAATTTTTTTAAAATTATTGATAAGCAATTAATTTTCGTACTTTGTGAAGTGCGCTTAACGTAATTTATGATTTCACTCCATCCATTGCCAATCTTCTACTCCAAAAAATAGTCTAGAAAATTACAATTCGACCTTGCAGTTTAGTGTGTTTATCTTCCAGCAAAAGCTTAATGTTACCCGCGTAGTGCACCAGATTTCACATGGATATCCGGCTCTCTCCAATATTTTTTCTATTTTTATAAAAACATCTAGGGTTATTCATTATATTTTAACTAAGGTTAATAAAATGGACAAACTACAATATTTGCTAAAAAAAGGTGCCTCACGTAGTATTCAAACCCATGGTTTGAATATTTTGGAGTTTTCTGTCTTAATACCTTTTTATATTTATGCATGTTTCAAGTTTGAAATTTTGGTAATAAAAGATTATCATATTTTTTCATAATTTCACATTAAATAACGTAAATTAAATTTGTAAAAAAAAAAATTGGCGATATTATTAATAATCAAATACCTGTGCTAATATTTCTTTTCTTTAAAATTTTTTTAACTGTTTGATAAGCATATTCGTTTTAATTTTAATACTTAATTAATATAATTAAATTATGAGTCGTTTTATTATGTAATACTTTTTTGTATAACAGTACTTTGTCTTTTCATGCCTATTGGTGGGATAACTATAAATGGAGAAGTTTACTACTCAATATAACTCTTCAATTATTATTAACTTAAATAACATATTCATATTTTTGTATTTTTTTAAATTTAATAGGCCTAGTTAAGATTTTAAATCACCCTTTAAGTTACATATAATTAATTGTGTTTCCTGATACGATACATAGATTTTAACTGGGGTTACATGAAAGCTTATTATAAAACTTTCACTAATAACATATATTTAAATATATAGCTTCGGCAGTTTATTTAATTTGGCTGGTTAAAAGAAAATTTTTAGGAATTGTTTTATTGTCAATACCTACTAAGAAAGGAAATACTGAAATATTGGTAGCCACTCGACTAATGGTGCATACTACGGTTACATTAAAAATGAGGGATAGAGCTTCTGCCAAAAAGTTCATATACACTATCAGCCGTCTAACCACTTTGAGTGAGAAAATTACTGCATAAAACTTGGCGATACTCAAGATCTGCTAAAATGCTTAAACTTAAAAACTGTCGGGTAATTATATTGTCTTGTAAATCACATTAGGTTTCCATTAAATTGATAGAAAAAATTACAGCTATCTTAAGAAATTAAAGGTTTCTAAAAGTTAATTTTTCTGCAAAAGATTTAAATTACTAGATTATAAATGAAAAAAGAAATATAAGAGGATACATTGACTAAAAAACGATAAATAAATTGTTATGCGCATTGTTACTCTTAAGTGAGAACTCAAATCATTAAATTGTCATAAAAAAGTTAGGGAAAGCTAAATACGTAGGGAAATGGATATAGTTATAAGATTTGATGCATTATTACTTACTTTTAAGAGGTACCCGTAGCATTCCGCTCGTGTGGCCTAATGGTTAAGGCGCCTCCCTCCTAAGGAGGAGATTGCGGGTTCAAGTCCCGCCATGGGCTTTGTTTTAATGCCTCTTAAGAAGAGCTGGACCTCGCTGTATTATGCACCGAGAGAGTTTTTATATTTTTTTAATAAATTTTTTTACTAGAATTCACAAAATTATTGCATTTTTGTTGGTTCTTAGGTTTATTATTAAGGACACAATATTATGCTAATACAGTGAAGCTCGGTTACTATATTATTGAACTGTTCAAAAGTTTCTTTTTCGTAATGTGTAATCAAAAGTATTCATACTGCTTAGTTTCTAAAAAGACAACAGTGTTGTACGCGGGTATATCATTTAAAGATTTCTCGAGGAAAATTAACCACAGTATTTAAGTAAACTTTCGCATACTGCTCTGTCCATTAAAAATATTCGCTGCCCATCCACTTCTATTCTCTAAACTTATAAGTTTGTTAAACTTTCGACCCTTAACACAATCAACTAACAAACAAAATAGGCGCCTAATTTTTCTAAGGGCTAGTATGCGTTAAACTCTACGCTAAATTTCTCTCGATAGTTAAGAATGACCGTTTGAATCCTTTTCGCTTTAAGTAATTATAACTTATATACGCAGTACTTTCAACTAACAAGAGGAATGAAGTCCAAAACAGGAGGGTATTTTAAGTAAATTGTATAGATATAGACCTTAACTCATAAAGAAAATTTATAATTATTTTTAATTTATACACATATTGATAACTTTAAGAAGCTTAAAGCGATCAACTACGAACAAGATCCCCGTAGTATGCGGTTATCGTTTTTAGTTTATTGTTAAGGTAGTTGTGCTCTATTTCACACAAGTTATAGCGACCGGCAAGTTCTATTAACTTATAATAAATATGTATAAAGTTATCATAACAGTTGTACTACGCAAATTTTATATTTTAAGTACTGACTTAACTAAGATTATAAAATAATTAACTGGCTAATAAAAAAATAATAAAAAAATAATAAAAGTTTAAAACTTTACCAAAAACTAAAATACAAGATGAACAGTGCCACAACTAAGCAGATTTTTAATACAAATTTGGTTATATATTTACCTGGTGGATATTGCAATTTTTGGGCATATAATAAGCGATATTGCTGCTTATAAGAGAGGCGCACTTAAATATTTCTATTCCGTTAGGCGGTCCCAACATCCTTAGATTGAAAACAAAAGCTTTAGAGTATTGGGGGCCACCCCAAGGAGGACTAAGAAATACGGCATCTCCCTACATACAAATAATAATAATAACAATAATTATATTCAGTAAAAATAGTAGCAAACAGGTTTATAAAAGGTAAACCATAATAAGAGTAAACTTAATTATCAAATTATATTAACAAAAATAGCCGGAAGAGGCGAGCAGAAGGAAAGAAAAGTTACAATAGCAAAAAATAAAAACACTTTATAATTTATGGGCGAAGTAGTTAAAAAAAAGCCTTTGATAAAAGAAAAAGTTTCTGCTTTTATTGTAGTTTTTTAATGTAATAATATTTTTTTTTATCGGCATATGAAAATTGCCAAATTCCTTTAAGAAAAATATTAAAAAAAAAGAATATTTACTCAAAAAAAATTGTCTGTGCTTAAAAGGAAAAGTGCAGAAGGTTAGCCGAAATGACTCCGTTAGAAGCAAGACACCATTAAAAATTTTGTACAGTATTACAAATTATCAAAACATTGTTTTTACTGGAGTAGTTAATTTAGCTGATCTGCCTCTCTTATAAAATATGAAAAGGTTTTTACAAAACACATGTAGGTCAATCTTAAAGTAAAACTCTAAACTATTTTAGATAATATGTAATATAAAAAAAAAGGACTTTAACTTCGTGGCACAACTTAAAAAAGTCGCCTTCAATAAACTCAATCTTCTCAAGGACATTATAAATTTTAGCATTATGTCTAGCATATGCTATTTTTGTGCTGTCCAAGTCGATAGCAATCACTAAAGATTTTTCAAGGAGGATACTAATTAACTTATTAAAAAAAAGTATATCAAGAAACTATATAGGTTTATATTTTAACAGATTTGATAAATTTATTAAGATTTGCTACCCTTGCTGAGGAAAAAAGTAAAATGCTTCTGAGCATCTTTAATATTGCAAAAGATGATTAAAAGAAATATTCTCTGTCTTGCTAGCCAAAAAGTTCTTACAAAAAATAGATAGCCAAAATAGTACCTTTATCGCAAATTTTAGCAAATTGTATGGTATTTCCACCAACACCGCAAAAAGCATCTACAATAACTTTATGACCGATAAATCTTCATAAACAAATTTAGAAAAAATATTAAAGATTTGTGGCTGCGTCCAACCTGTTAGCTATATGCAGAGCTATTTTTTCTGGAGTCACAGAAAACCAACTTTCTTAAAAAAAAAGGATTTAAGTAGTGGGTTTTAAACTAACACAGATACCTACATTAAGTGAATTAGTTACTCAAATGAATACATACCACGATCAAGTAAGGCGCCCCGGTCGTATTTTGAAAATAAACGAAAGCGTTGAGACCAATACTTAATATTAGCTTTTCCAAAAGGATTTTTAACCACTTTCCCCCCTCTTAAAAAACGTTTATTTATGCCAAAAGATGGGAAGTCTCTATTTAAGTTATGATTAAAAAGCTTGTCAGTTGTTTTAACTGGATTTAAAACATTATTCGCTTCAAGAAGTTGGGCTAAAGAGTACCTGGAAACGTGTTCTTGTAACTTGAATTTTTTGTTTCTCTTCTTTTTTTTTAAATTTTTATTATTTATATTTTTGTTATTATGACTATTATTATTATTATTGTCGCCAAAGTTACTTTTTAAGTTAGCAAGAGGTGTATATTCAAGATTAAAAGAATTCATATGTAAAAAAAACACTCTTTAAAACCCTTTTAAAACTTCCAACTTTATTCTAATTATTTTTAAATAGTAGACTTCAAGTATGGTGTTCAAAGTTAATAAAATAAAATATATTGCAATTTTTGAAGTATATTAGTGACCAGCGATTAAAATAAAACAATTCTAAGTAGGCTAAGGTAAGCCTCAACATGTAGTAGACATACTAATAGTGTCACCTTATAATTGTCTTCCACTAGCCACCACTAATTTTTTTAATACGTAAGAGGTAGAAACCCCCAGTAAAACTAAAGTGTGTCTGTAGTTTCTTAACCACACGTGATATAAATTAAGCAACTAATCAGTCGAAAATACTGGTCTTCATATCTAGACCTAACCGAGCTTAATGGTACCTGTTGGATAAAGAATATACACTAACTAAACAGCTTCAAAATAAATATTAAAAAAGGACACGTGATCGAGGGGAAGAAGTATTAACAAATATAGAAATTTATTAATTTGGCGCCTAACTCAGGTCACATGGTTAGTTATATGTAGCAATTATTGTGCTATGGTAGTTATTATCAAACACTACCTAGGAACAATAAATTTATGCCTTTACACACTTCCCTAAATAAATGAATTGACGATAAACGTTAATTCAGTGTTAATTCTATTTAGGTCCCGTTCAGTCGCTCAGTAATATTTTTACCTTTAAATTAAAAAGCCGTACGTGATCAGTATGCATAATTAAAATTTAACAATATTAAATAAAAGTTAGTGTTTAATTGTACAACATCTTTTAACTGCTAGACTAACTCTTTCTCGCCGCCCACTGAAGAGTTAATATTAGCACAACTTTTAGATTTATAGATTAAGACAATATCCCGTATTGCCCTCTGGGGTATAAAGTAATACTTTTCCACCAATAAGAAAAAAAGCTATAGTTAAGATAGAAAAAATCTGTCCTATTACAGTAACGACCATGCACTACATTTACGTAGCTTACTCTGATTTATAATAAGTTATAATGTCGTGACAGTTGAATACCTTTTAGCTTATCTAGCATTATTTCTCTTTTAGCCGTTCTATTTTTTAGCACTGTCCTACTACGTTAAATTTTTTAAATGGGTTATAAAACCAGTTAACTTATGCACCCCCCTTTGTTAAAGGTTGGAGCGAAAGAAGTATAACGGCTGTCCCGAAGTAAGAATTCAATTGTTTATAATAATTATAAAAGATTGGTAAAGTTTTGTAGTTAAACAGTAAAGACTTATTACAGGTTATAGGTATTGAGGTGATAATGTTAAAATAAATTTTAAGAAGGCGTAGGCACTGCGGAAGAGTTCTACTTTTGGAAGTCTATGTGCTATTTTTACTATAATTATGCGCTGAATTTGTCCTTTAAAAATGTAGAGGGAAAAGGTTCAAAGCGTTAATTATAAATTGCTAAATACTCGTTTACAACAAGTGTTCAATTTTTAAAATTACAAGTTCTAGTTGAGCATATAGCCAAATTTTTAATTTTTGCGAGTTTAAGACAGATGGATTAGCGTTTTAAAAATGAAGCATCGGTTTCATAGAAGAACGCTTTTACTTTAAAAGTAACTTACAATAACTTTATATAACCGAAAATTGGAATGTCGTCAAACAGCCAGAAACAAGAGTTGTCATCGTAGTTTAGTGGAAAAAGCATAACGCTTCCATAACGTGGGTTCGAGTCCATTGGTCCAGTTTTAACAGCTCCCGTCTTGGCGGTCCCGCGCATCATTTCCAAGCAAATATTAGTAAATGATAGTCTTTTTTCTAAGCTAAGAACGTTTGGTTTCACACCTTTCGAGAATTAGAATAGGTTTTAAGATTAACAATTTATTATATTAAAGATGGAGGATGGAGTAAAAGCAAGTGTTGGAAACTTGGCATCTTAATAACATAAAAGTTTAAAAAATTCACCTGAAATTAATAATAAAAAGGTTACAGCTGAACTTTTTTTTTTTAATGCACGACTTCTCCATAGTTGTCTAAAAAACATTGTATGCTTTAAGAATAAAAAGCCGAGTTCAAACCTTTCAATCATAGACAAGGTTAACTGCTGTGAAATAGTTTATAAATTGCTTACTCCTAGTTTCAAATGTCCCCTAAAACTTCTCTAATAACTAAAAATGTTTTTTTAACAAATAGTTCTTTTGAGCGACCAATCGAGCTACAACTTAATTATTTACGACTCTCTAGATACTTAAAAGAGGTTATGTGGTGCGAATTAAGAATGTTTATTATTTTAAAAAATTTAAAAAATATTTAAAATTAACCTTTGGTTACATCCGCACTCGGCCCCACCATTAAAGTATACACTCTTACAGAAACATATTGACAACTAAAAACTTAACAAAAATAGGTGTTTAGTTTAGACGTTAGGTCTATAATATAGTCTGATAAAATAGCTAATTTCATTTTTTTTAATGGAAATCATTATCCTGATTTAAAATTTGTAGTTTAATGGTTGGTCCTGCAATGATTTAGGTCATTAGAACTGAGCAAACTTTTATTAATATTAAAATCGTTATCCTGCTAAAGCTCCCATAATTACCGATGAGTTCTGGAATTTTAAAATGAAAAAAATGCACTCAGTTATTTACTTCTACGAAATTAAATAATAACTTACAAATTTTGATCTGTACAGGCAAAATTCTAAATTTAAATACTATCTATAGTTACGGGTTAGTTGACTAGGAACGATAACGCAAAAAAACGACTAATTATAGGTAAATGGCAGAACTGATATAGCAAACAAGCATCTAAGACATACATAACCCTATACTTTTCAGCATTTTATATGAAGGTAACAAAAATACAACACATGGTACTATATTGCTATTATACGACATAAAAGAGCTAAAGATTGAGGCTAGTGGTTGCATGTAATTTTAATAATTAAGGAGTTTTTTATTCTTTCACCTCATTAAAATGTGGTCGCACAACTTAAGGAGGCATTTATTTATTAAAGAATCGTTTCCTAATACACCCCCTTAATTTAGTATGTTTTTATTTTAACTTTAAATTTAAAAAATTTACTCACCCCACTAGAAAGTGGACGCCAGTTTGAAGGCGCAGGATATCAGATATCAAGGTAAGCCCCCACAAAGAGTAGTGTTAGACTTCTGTGCCCTACAAGAATAACTTAAATAATTGATAAAAACAAGGAAGGCCTATTTCTATTTTTCTAGACAGCCACTTCGTTCGATTAATAATGTTAGCCTCGCTTTCTCACTCTGTTTAAACCTTGTTATCTATTTATATGTGCCCCTTTTCTCCTATTTCAACTACACCTAGAGCAGAAAAGAAGTTATTTAGTTTTTTTTACTGTTTTAAATTAATAAGTTTATCTTTTTAGCTGTAAAAAGAGCCTTTCATATTCCAGTGAAGTAAAGCGAAATTTCCATGAGACACAGTAACCATCGTCGCTTGCTTTTTAGTTTATTTCAAAATGGTTTCCTAATTAGAGATTTCTTCTTTGCCGACAAAATCTACCCTTACACCGGGATAGTGCAGTTCATCTTTTTGAAGTAAGAATTGTTCTGCTTTTCTCTGCATCTAATGGTTACCCTTTAGCGAGTGTTTTTTAAGTAGCGTTGTAGGTTCCAGCGGTAATAATGAGGGCTTCTTATAACGGCGTGTGAGCAGCACGTTAATCGGTGTAGTGTTTGACGGGGGTATGAAGATTCGCAGAAATTATAATGACCCGCATGTACAGCGCGAAGAGCGAGGGGGATAGCCGAGTGCCTTGAGAAATAACTGCTTTCATTCGATGGTTTGAAGAAAGCGTGCCAGTTTTCACTCGAAAGGAAAGTGTACACATACACAACGCAAGTATATTGTAGTGTTTACCTAATGCACATAGTTTACGTAAGAGGCCCTAGGGCCTATGTGTCCAAAGGCTATTTCACCATTTAGAAGGACGATGTCCATAACTTTTTTAAAGGTGACGTTCCGAGTTGTCTACTCAATAAGTGCCATGACTCTTTAAAATCCAATTGCTTGAAAGTTTAGGAATGCCCTTCTTGTGTTCTACAAACTCTTCTAAGTGACCTAGTAGAACAGTCTCTACTATTTTGCTCATAGCTGAAAGTAGATTATAGGGTGTTATATGCGGGGGGTTTACAACAGTGGCTGTTTTCCAAGGTGTGAAAAAGGAACCAGGCGGATATGCAGCAGTTAGAACAGGCAAGATACTTAATTGCCACCTCGCAACAACTTTTCTAGCATCTCTTTAGTAATGCCGTTGTGGTCGAGTGCTTTTCGTCGCGAAAGTATGGTCGCTTTGATAAATTCGTTACCTACGTCAGGGGGTCATGTGGTGTTTTTACTCTGTCCCTGAAGGACCAAGTTAAAGACAGGCCGTCAAAGAGCCACCTTATTTTCGTCGCTTTAAGCCACCATTAAGACGTTGTTAAATGGAGTAAGTTGGAGCGTATATTGTTTAGCTGTTTTTATTTAATTCTTATGACAAAGAACCAAAAAATGGGCGTTCATTGTCAGCTCCTTCAAATGCTTCCTAAAGTTCCGTCTCCCAAACCCTGTTTTGAACAACGGCAAGCTTTTCTCTACTGTGTCTTACACGATTAAGCATCATTTTATTAAATACTTCTGTAGACAACCAAACTATATGCAAAATCGCCGCAGCATAGGCAGCTGTCGGTGTAAGCTCTCATACTTATCAACTGCGCCTTGTTGATAGGAAGTCGGAAGTGGGGGTAGGTTATACGATCAGCGAATTTTTTGTTTTTCTTATATCGGACCGCGTTCCCTTGGTGGGTCACCGTTAAGTTAGGGTATTACAAAACGTAATTGAGCAGTTGCTTTGCATATAATGCTGCAGTGGAATCGTTTAGCTTTTTTTGATAAGCATTTTTTGTTAGATTCCATTAATAAAGCTTTTGAATTTAGTGAGGCTTTTTTAGCTAAAGAGGTTTCTAAGGTTGTAAAAGCGCCTTCTATTAAAACCGGGTCGAGTTTAAAAAAAGGGTATTTCTCGGAAAGTAAATCTGTTACGAGTTCAATTAAAGAAGTAAAACTTACAGCCTTTGATGTTAACCAGTTAAAGGTAGCAAATATATCGGGGATGTATGGGGGAGAAGCTTTCATAGTGTTTGGAGGTATAAGAGAATTTACCTTGACCAATATAAACTATCTCTATTTTCTACGAATATATATAACATAGATGCCTCTGGATTGATTTATATCATGAATAAAAATTCATATATTAGTGCGTTTACTGGCTTTAATTATTGCTTAACACACATAAAAGTTTTATCAAAGGATTTAATATTAGCGATAGGAGTGAGTAATATAAAATTTACACACATAAACTATTAATTAACTTTCTATAGTACGATGAACCCGCCCCTAAACCCTGGCTTTTACGTTTTTGGAAGTTTGGTCAGTTTATTATTTGCCAATCTCTATATTACTTAAGTTATATGTTCGTGTAAACAAGATGGCAATTTTACTACTATTAGCGCGAGTCGTACTGTAAAACTTCGGAAACCAGCTCCTTCTGCTTTCGTTTGACTTTTGATTCTATTTTTTACTTAAGTTGATTAATATTTCTTCAGGTGACCGCCTTCAGCATTCTGAACATTTCGTTAATGGCCTTTGGCTTTAATGATGGTTCACTTTTAATATTATTTGGGGATGTGACTAAGAAAAAAAAACTTACCGAAAAGATTATTAGTGAAAGTTCTTCTCCGGTGACTGGTTTGTTTTTTGTAAGGCACATAAATTATACTTCTGAAAACTTTGCCCTTATTTCTTAGGGTTGGTGTTTCAGCAGAAAAATCTACATCTACTCCTTTTTGTCGTCACCTCTGACTCTGTTTCTTGCGTAGAGCTAACGGATGACAAAAACCTTAAAATAGTATTTTCCTTTTTTTATATATAAAGCTTGTTTATATTAAAAATAACTTATAATTTTTATTTATAAAATCTATATTTTATAGAGCTGTTTGGATATACAAGGCGCTCCCTTGCATTGCTCAGCAGGTACAACTTCCGGCGATATTTCCTTAGCTGTTTCCAAGGTATTATTACTACTTCTGAGCTTTGTTATATAATCTTACTTTAAACGCAGAACGCACCGGAGTTATCGGTATGTATACTTAATTTTTATTGTTTGTGCTTTTATTGTAAAAAAACAATAAATTTCTTTTCAGTGTGTTCATCATTACGACGAGAGCGGCAAGAAAGCCACCACCTGCTTTGAGGGCCCCATAAAGATGCTGCACTGGTTTGGCTCTTATCTCCTGGTGGTGGCCCCGAAGGATGGTGATGTGCTATGCTCTTCGTCTTCCTCATGCAGCAGTTCGTTTTTATATTTCTTTCAAAATTAGAGCAAACTGACTTGGTGACATTATGTGATCTCGACAATAAAATCATCGTCTACTCTGGGGTTTTCCCGCTTGTATCCTTTGTTACTACGGCTTGGGGGAGCCTCTATCTTTTAGTAAATGATGAGCACAAGGTATTAGCTTTGGCTCGGCAAAACTCCTATAATAAATAAAGTTCTTTTTTTTTTAGCTAGCCACGCTAATTGAGAAGGATATCCACACGAAACTCGAGCTGCTATTCCGCAAGCATCTTTATGCGATAGCAGTCAAGATGGCCACGGATCATGGCCTCAGGGAAGCCACCGTTGCTGACATACACAAGCGGTACGGGGATCACCTCTTCAGGTTCGTCCTTTTGGTGTGTCGGCCTCGAAAAACGTGCTGAGCCCCTTCTGTCCTTCAGCAAGGGCGAATTTAATAGAGCTGTGGACCAGTATCTTCGCACGGTTGGAATAGTTGAGCCGTCTTACGTGTTAAGGAAGGTCCCCTCATTTTCCTAGCGGGTGGGAGGGGAAACGCTTATTTTCCGGTAGTTTCTTGATGAGAATCATCTTCCCCACATGATAAGGTACCTCCAGCGTTTGCATGAGGGTGCTAGCAGTCAAGAAGGTAATGAGCGCTCCCTGCGCGGCTTATTACTCCCTGTTTTCTCATTATTTGCTTTGTTTATTTGTAAGACAACTGTTACGTTTTACCGGAATACACCACACTTTTGTTAAACTGTCTTATAAAGTTGAAAGACGAGGCAGAGTTGGAACTATTTATAAAGGTATTTACGCTGCTTCTTGCCGTCTGGAGCTAATAACTCTTGGCTTATGCCAGACAAATACCCACCTCGCGCTCAACGTGGAGTCCGCCTTCACCGCTCTTCGTCAGGTCGGCTGTATGGCATGAAAAAGAGGAGGCCTAACCTCTATCCTCGTTTTTGGTTTAGGCTGGCTATGTTCAGCAAGCCGTTCTTCTCTCTAAGAAGTACAGAAGAGACGACCTCTACATAAAAATAATTATTGAAGATCAGCACGACTACGTGGGAGCGCTGAGGCACATGGAAATACTCTCAGTGGAGGAGGCACGGAATTTACTTCCAGGCATAAGCAGCGTAATAATGAGAGCTGCCAGGCTGTGGCCTGCATGAGGGCGTACGGAAAGACTCTAGTAGAAAACATTCCACAGGAAACAACAACTTTGCTTAAGTTTATTTGCACCGGCCAGTGGCCCGTCATCTACTGTACCAGTACTATTTTTATAGCCTCCCTTTCTAGGTGTTTGTAATTTGTCAATCATAGAAACGAACCGCTACGAAACAAAATCTTCCGTAAGCACTTCCAGCGAGACTGTTCAGGGGTTGAATGAACTTTAAATTATCAGAAAAATTCTGCACTGTGCTTTATGTACTTTTAACCAGTACCAGGGAGATGGACGCTGGAGCATTTGAGTTGAAGAAAGGAGTGTATCTACCACTAACGTGCCTTGCAGAATTCATACCTTTATTTATTAACCGGCTAGAATGGCTTTTGGGTTTACAACTGCTCCTCATGTCGGCAATCCTTTTATATTACACATACTTTTCCCGTAGTACTTCTGGAGTACGTTGTCTTCACACGAAGACATTACCAATCTGTTGCCGTCAACACTCTGCTAGAACTTTATCTCCGTGAAGACGTGAGAACAGTTGTCCCCTCCGAGCAAGACGGTTGCTGTAATCTCTTTTTTAAAGTGGTGGCTAAAAAAAAAGTATTTTCTTCTTCAAAAAGCTGTATACACTCTTAAGGAGAGGCATCGTGAGCTCGTCATGAGTCTACTAAGGAACCCCGAGGCTGTTTTATCAATGTGTTTTATGTAAATTAGCTGAAGTGCTATTGTCCTGCAGGTTTCTTACGACTGGGATCACGCGCTTATGCTTTGCCAGGTGCACAGGTTTAGGGAAGGAGTTGTTTACTTACTGGAGAAAGAGAAGCAGTGAGTGAGCCACCCTCCCTACGCTGCAAACGACCCACTTAACCTTTAAGCAGTTACCATGGAGTTATCAAGTATCTGATGGAGATTGACGCACGGGCTCACCTCCTCTCGAAGTGCCGACAATACGGGTTGATAATTTGACGGCGGGCCTGCTTGCTTGCTTAAGAAGTAGAGTATAACGTGCAGTTTGCTTAGCGCATATGACCCAAACTTGTGGACGGAACTATTGGTATACCTTGCCTCCAAGACTCAAGAATGCACGGCTGAAATAAAAGAAGTTTTGGTATCACATATCGATGCCGTATATTATTGATAAATAAATGTCTTACACCGTGAAGGAGAACGTAGAGCGGCTGAACTTACTTCCTCCCCTTATCGTAGTGAAGATTTTGAGTAGAAACCCAGCTATAACTTTTGGGGTTATCAAAAACTATCTCCGCCGAAAGGTTGAAAGAAAAAGAGAAGAAATGGCTGAGGTGCACTTTGGAATAAACAGATTACGCAGAGTTGTCGCTTTACTGACGCCTTAAGGACGCGCAACTTATCGCAAAATACCGTGCGGACGCCCAAAAGATGGAACAACAAGCAGAAACACTACGAACCGAGTAAGCTTATAAGACAGTAGACATTGGAACTTTGTGCCACTAAGTTCAGGCCTCGGACCATCCAGGCGGGTCACTGTACCGCCTGCCAGAAGGCTTTAGGGCTCCCCGCCCATCACTTTCTCTGCGACCACTCCTACCACCCCAGGTGCCTCTTGGGCCTTTTCTTTTTTTTAATAAGACCGCTAGCCCCGACTTTTATAATTGGCAGTTGTCTTCCTGACGAGGATTGTCCACTGTGCGCGGCGCGGTACCAGAAAGTAGTAGATATGCTCCATTCTCAGGAGGAAAACCACAAGAAACACGAGTTGTTTTTTAAACAAGTATACTTATAGAAAAGTTCACTTGAAGATTAACGTTATGACTAAAATTTAACTCGGAAGCTGGAAAAGTCGAAGGACGGGTACGCAGTAGTAGCTGACTACCTGGGAAAAGGAATGTTTCCGAGAAAGAGCAGCTTGACTTAAAAGAAAAACTTCTCTTACTACAAACAATTTAAGCTCATAGTAGTTATAGGATAGCCGCCCCTTTTTATTTTTCCTTAAGAATATTCTGCTTTACGATAAAAGTTTTAAAACCTTTTTAGCCCGTCGCATTTTTCTTTTCATAATCTTTGATCTTAAGTCAAGCGAGGTTTTCCCCTCATTATAATTTAGTTGACTCTTTTCCTCTTTGTAGCTATTTATAATTTCTTTGGCTTCCTTCAAAACTCGCTGTTTGTTAATAAAATAATAATTATAAACAAATAGCTCTTTTTGGGGTTTTGATAAACCTCTTTAGCTGATCCCATAACATCTTTTAAATATCCAAGAAGTATTTTAAAATTAGACTTTGAGATCTTATTATAATTGTAGCAATTTAAAAAAGTTATATCAAGGTAGGTTAAAGGGCTCTTAATATATACAAGACCGTTCTTTTATCATATAAATTTCGTAAAAGGTAAGTTTGCCTATTTTTTTTAAACTTCCAGATAGATCTCTTTTCAAACCAAAGATGTAAGTACTTTAGAGCTACATATAATATCAGTCTCAGCCAACAAAGTACAAAAGTTAATCAATAGTTTTTTTTTAAAAACCCAAAATTTTGTTGTCTTCCGCAACTGCCACAGAGCAAGTATTTTTTGTTTCTGTATGTTTTACTTTCATTTTAAGAATTAAATTTAACTTGAAATCATTAAGTGAAGTAGGGGTCAATGTCACTGCTAGCGATGGTGTAGGCAAGACCCCAAACCTCCCGGACAAAAGAAAAAAATTGGGGTGAGCATTTATCATGCGGGGAGGCCAACCTAATATGCAACCAAAGTTTGTCAAATCGCAGATTGCGATCCCTTTGGGCTAATTTTAGTTTTCATCTTTCTAATAGCTTCCTTTTAAATCTTTGAATAGAAGCTTTTTGTTGATAAGCCAATTTCCAGATTAATCGCTATTTTTTTCGATACCCTCCTTTCCTGCTTCTCTTTCTATCTTTTTAACATTAAAATCTTATTTGTCCCGCTCCCTTCTTATTTATCTCGCTAATAGTTTTTGTTTACAAATCTTTTTTCCTCTTACATCATAAAAACTTAATGTTTCTAGTATGCTATGACTCTTACGGTCTTTTAAAAGTTAGCGGAGCTTTATTTTTTAGAATGTTCTGTCTGACTTATATTTTCCTGTTAGAGTAACGGTTTTCATATTTTAGTTAATTTTATTTTTCCGCTTTTTCGACCTTTTTTTTTTTTTTCAAATTTAACTTTATATTCTACTACTGTAGGCGCCTTATTACCAATTTTTTTCGTTATTTTTATTTTTTAAAGTAACTTTTTTTTTCTTATTGTAACATATATAGAAAAAAAAGAAGTAGTGAACTTAAGTATTGTTTTGAGAGGGAACCCTAGAGAAGTTTTTAGAGTTTTAACTAGGAATAATCCGTCAGTTAATTAAAATTTTCTGATAAATAACCTTCCTACCGCGTGCTGCACATGCTAAGCAGTAAGAGTTTTTATTTTTGAGAAGATCCAGTTACAGATTTCTCAGGGCAATAAAACGTAAAAATATCCTTTTATACTTTTCTAAAATTATGGTCGTAGTTTTTGAGTGATATTTGGACGGGGATGTAGTTTTAAATAATATTATGTGTGAATCTTTTTTTGTAACATCTTTAAATTACTGGTTTTTATTTTTTTATGTTTACACGTAACTTTTTAGTTCTCCGCTGCGAATATTACTAAATCGCAATAGCACAAGCACCAAGGCGAACAAGAGTAATAATTGTTAAATTCTTAGGTTACTACGGCCCTCCTCATAGGAAGAAACTTTTACGCAGCCTTTCGCTTTTTTTAGAAATTGGCATGAGAGTTCGGATTTTGCTTTATTTACCTATAAAAGAGTAGCCAACCGCAATCTGTTACTGCAATAACATAGCGGTTTAAGTTAGATTTTGAAAGTTTTTCAAGTTGCGCCTTACAAAAAATTACAAAAACTGGCAAATAGTTTCCATTTTTCAAAAATTGGTTTAACACAACCTTAATTTTCATTGATAACATATAACAATTGCGCAGGCGCCCACCAACAAATTGAAAAGGGTACGCTTCGAACTACAGAAAAAAACGTTGGTTTCTTTGCCTACCAATTTTAACTTTTTTTAAAAAAAAAATGTTAACGCATTGTTAGTTTGTGGATGTCTAAAGAAAAAATAGACAATTTGAAAGGAAAAAAAATTTATGTAGCGAGAAAGAAGCAAGGCTTACTACATTTACGTGCAGTGGGTTCTTAATGTATTTGAATCTTTCAAATAAGACGTGTGTTTGCGTCTTGATACAATACAAAGGCAAACATTACATAGCGGATACCTGTCCCGCGTTGGTAGATCTTTTAATTCTGTTATGTGGTGGTATAGTTAGTTCGCAGACGATCCATGTAGTTTTAAGTCATTAACGGGGCTAAACAACCTACCCTTTTCATTGCTTGGTGAGAGTAGCTTTTGTATGTACTAAAATTATAAAGTGCGAATCATAAACTATGTTCGTTATATGTATAAGCGGGTTACTAGTTATTCTGGTTATATATTTCATTGTTCACAGCTCTCAAGACTGGAACCTAGAACAAGACTAGAATTAAAAACGCTAGCAACGAGGCGAATAAAAAAGAAAAAGCCTTAGTTAATTTTTTTATTAGCACAACGCACATCGTTCACATCGGTCTGCAGACAGGGTGAGCTGTGACCGTCCCGAGGTGAGTGTTCCAGTATTATCCAAAAGGTTGCACACCCAAGGCCATGACAGAGTATGCCAAAATGGCGAATAGTTTCATTTTTAGGATAAAATAAAAGCTCTGATTTGCGCTAATTTTAACCGCGAAGATGATTAAACGTCAATGTCTGTGTTAGCCAAATTCAGGATAAATTTGGAGTAGTCTTCAAACACCTTGATATCTGCTAATAAAATTTGAGATTAAATTTTTTAAAATATTTGAAAACAGGATATGGCCCTCTTGTCCTTATTACTGGCCATCAAGTCTAGGTTACTGCAAACTCAGGGGTCTTTATTGTCCTTCCCCTGCAAAGGTGTTACAACAGGGTCTAAAGATTAGCTAAGAGGTGGTAAAGATCACTTGGTTCAATATTAACAATATAATACCAGCTGCACCTTCCTATTTATTATAGTGTCGTGATATTCTCTGTTAAAGCAAGACATATATGTACTGAGATTTTTATATCAAATCAATTGTTCTTCACACATAGTTTATGATCTACCTTACCACTAGAATATTAGATCATAATCTTTATGAGTTTTTGGGTAATTACGTAGCAATAACTTCGGGTGCGAGCAGGTGGTTAACATAAAAATCTAACTGTAGTTTTAAGGTATGCTTAGGTTCATATATAAATTGATATTGGTTTAGAGTTGTAACTTTAATCAGACTAATTTTTAGTTTTGCACAGCTTAATTTATAAAATTTCTGTTCACACAAAAACTGCCTTAACACGAGTACTAATTTTTGTTCAAATTTTTTGTTTAACTATAAATTGATATAAGCAGTACGCAAGCTCATTCATATAAACTCACACAATACGTATATGAGTATGTGGAGTGCAGAGTATTATTTTTGTTTTAAGTAAAAAGATAGCGTTATTTAATACGGGTTTTATTTAAAAGAAAGATATAGTTTTTAAGCCAGGAAGTACTTGACTTAGACCAATTAACAATTTTAAGTATAATTACAGACTTGTCTACATCTGTTTAAATTTGCTTTGCATGACTTTTTAAGAAAGCGCATTTCCTAAGATTTTAAATCATTAGTTTCAATTAACCCCATTAGTTAACATATTTGCCTATTTTGTTTTGGTTTGCTCCCACATTTAGTATTGTCTCTTAAAAGTTACATATTTTTGTTCTTTTATAGAAAGAGTGAATTTTTGTTGCTTAATATCTAGTGTTCTCTAAGTTGGTGCCCTTGTGGTCGCGGATTGACAGAAGTAACTTTAAAATTTCCCTCATGACTGAAGCCACGGTTGTCCCGACAGAGGGAATACCTTCCAATATATCTTTATTACCTCAGGTAACTTTTATAAATTAGTTTATAAACTTTATATAAATCTTTTTTATTTATAGGAAAGCTTGCCACGGAAGGATCTTAATAAGGACTCTAAAAGGAGTAAAAACAAAGAAACTAAGAAAGAGAAAATTAAAACAGTACCTTACTTTAAACTATTTAGATTTGCAACCCGATTTGACATCTTTTTAGTCATAGTAGGTAAACTCGCAATTAGTAAAGGTGTATAGTCCTGCCATCTAATTATACACATAACTTCTTTAAGGTTGTCTGGCATCACTAGGCCACGGTGCGATGACCCCCCTCTTTACAATTCTATTTGGCAACATTATTGATGAATTCAAAACGCAAAGTACACCTAAATTCGCTGTCTTTCGAACTTTTATGTATTTTACTGCTTAGATCCGGATCTTCTTTTGAGCCAAGTAAAAGATATTGCAGTTTGGTTCCTAATATTTGGTAGCATAGCTGGAGTCTGTTCTTACTTACAGGTTTTCTAGCTATGTATTGTTTACTTTTCCTCTAACGGTTTTGCAAATTCAACTGCTAATAGTCGTTTGGTTGCACTCATTTAATTACGGGAGTTTTAATAGTTGCTTTAACGATTTTAAGAAAATTCTTTTGAAGCACTGCCATAGAATTCTTAGTTCTTTTGTTTTGGCCTCCCTTTTACTTTCTTTCGAGTTAGGCAAGTTTGACTTATCAGCTCTTTTATTATACAGGTGGGTTGCTTGCTAACGTCCGCGCAAAACCAAGCCCACCGCATGAGACAAAAGTCCTTTTTTTTTTTTTAATTTCAACTTCGTTTCAATTAAGCGAGTTTTTATTAAAAAAGTTATATCAGTTCGCTCCTTCGCCAAGACATGAGTTGGTATGACGACATTGATTCCGGCGAGCTTGCCACGAGAGTCACGAGGTTTCTATAAGAGACTTTTGCCGGGTTTCTAACTTGACTCTTCAACCTGAGTGACGTGGCTGATGTCGAGCAGGGCATTGCTGATAAACTCGGTAGTTTTCTTCACTACTCCTCTCTCTCGCTGGTTGGCTTCATCATCGGCTTCGTAAAAGGTCCTCTCTCTATTGCGCGCTTGGGCCTGCGAAGCTCGCTCATACCAATTCGCATAGGCTGGAAGCTGACTCTTATTATACTCGCAGCCTCGCCGCTCCTGGTCATTGCCGCTGGAGCCATGGCCCACGTGTTATCCCGAGCGTCTTCCGAGGGTTCCTCTGTTTACCCGTTTCTTGCCAGCCGGTCTTCCCCCCTCTTTCCAGGCAACAAGGCATATGCCAAAGCTGACGGCGTCGCGAACGAAGTATTCAGCATGTTTCGAACTGTAGTGGCGTTCAGCGGCGAGGAATACGAGGTCAACCGCTATCGAGCTGAACTGCAAGGTCTTTATTCCGCCAGCCCATCCTGGTAGAAGGGTTAAGTGGCTCCTCTTTTTTAGGCTCGTATAAGTCTGGCAGGAAGTCCGCCATTGCGACGGGACTGGGGCTAGGCATCACCATGTCTATTGTTATTATGGCCTACGCTTTAGGCTTCTGGTGCTGTGGCTCGGGTTACTGTACCACTCTTGACTGTGACTCCCGCTCTTATTGTAGGGTCGGCTACACGTTTGTCCAGAAGAACGAAATGAGCACCGGCAGCGTGTTAACTGTCTTTTTCTCTGTTATTATTGGAGCCATGGCTATTGGGAACGCCTCCCCGAATATCACCGCCATGGCAAAGGGTAGGTGACTTGCGGATGCGCAAACGTTTCTTTCATTAATTCTACTGCCGCACAAGCCCAAGGAGCCGCCTACTTTATCTTCGACGTCATTGGCAGAGAGCCCAAAATTGACAACTTTTCGAATGCGGGTTTGCCTACTTGCGCTTTTCTTGTGCGCTACAGATTTACCTACTTTGTTACGCGCGCTGCGTGCGAAGGGAAAGTCCCCGAAAAGCCCTGCAAAGGAGACTTGGCCTTCAATAACGTTCACTTCCAGTATAAAGGTCCTTGCTTATTGAAAACTGCGGCGCTCGTGTATAAGCACATGCGCAAGCCGCCATTAAATTATGCTTTACATATTATACTCGTTATTGGGTTTGCTTTAACTTGTAATAAGTACTACGCCTTTTTTTTAACAGAAAACGGTAAAAAAGTTCTTGAAAATATGACCTTTGAAGTAAAAAGGTGGGCTTTTTTTAAATCTCTGCGCGCTCGCATAGTTATTAATATGTTAGCGGCGAAACGATAGCCTTGATAGGCGAGTCTGGTTGTGGTAAGTCCACAATCGTGTCATTGGTTGAAAGGTTTTATTCTCCGACGGGTATTGACTGTTTCTGTGCATGCCTCGGGCACTCTTTAATCCGCTTAATCTCATCATCTCCAGCCGGGGATATTCTTCTGGACGGCGTTAAAATAGATGAGCTGAATATACAGTGGCTTCGCTCACAGATTGGCTATGGTGACCCCCTGCCACCTTTCTCCTCGTCCCTTTCCGCCATGCTCAGCAACCTTTCTTTAGTGAGTCAGATGCCGACACTTTTTGAGGGCACCGTCGAGTACAACATATCGCTCGGGGCTGGTTTTATTCTCAATGAAGTAAGCTGCACGCATACCTCGCTTTTGCAGGCCATGACGTTGATTTCGAGCAGGCATATGACCCCTCGAGGTCGGGGGGTTTGAACAATCCGAGGTTCAGGAGGCAGGAAGTCACAATTGACATGATAGTGGAGGCTGCAAAGAAAGTTTTAAAGACTATCGCTTGGCTCTGGTGCCAGCATGGCCTCTTCTTTAGCTAATGTCATTCCTTCAAGGCAAATGCCCACTCCTTCATCTCCACCTTGCCGAATGGCTATAAGACTTACATCGGCACGTCCAATATGCGCTTGTCGTGCTAGACTATTTCCTAATGAGAGCATGTTCCAGGGCCACGGGGGACGCAACTCAGCGGCGGGCAGAAGCAACGCATTGCCATAGCAAGAGTAGTGAATTTAATATACTCTACGCCGCCGCTCTTTTTTTCTTCGGCAGTAGGCACTCGTTAGGGACCCCAGAGTTTTGCTTTTTGATGAGGCTACTTCTGCTTTAGACTCCGAGAGCGAGGTAACGCTGAGGGCGCCCTCATCGTTGCTAGCGCCACGTTTGCAGTCTCCGTTATATAAAATAGAGGGTGGTTCAGGAAGCGCTGGACAAGGCGTCTGAGGGTCGAACGACCATCGTCATAGCCCATCGGCTCTCCACTATAAGGCACGCCACCAAAATAGCGGTGGTGGTAAATGGAGCGATCTCGGAACTCGGTACTCTCCTTATTTTTGCTGTGGCTCGAAAGCTTAGCTTTGACGTTACCCGCTCCAGGTTCTCACTCTGAGCTCCTGCAGAATCCTCAGAGTTTGTATTCCAAAATGCTTGAGTTGCAGAAGCTTAAAGGTGATACACTGTTCCTTCACCACCAACTTTGCCCGTGAGCTCATATCTGCTGTAGAATCTGAGCTAAGTGGTTCGAGTGATCTGTCCAAGGAAAGTTTTTACTCGCCAGTGCTACTAGAACAGGATCAACAGCTAGACGAGCTCCCTGAGGACGCTGAGGTACCCCTTGGTCACACTGTACGGCCCCCCTTGAAACGCCCATCATATCTTTTCGTTTACCTTATCGTATTATGCAGCTGTCCGCAAAAGAGAAGGTTATTCAGAAGGCAAAGCGACTAGGGCCGGGCGTCTATCTCCGGGCGTTTAAGCTTAACAAGCCCGATTGGCCCTTTCTATGCATCGGTTGCGCATCTCCATATTTAGCTTAAGGTGCCCCGAGCCCATGTCGTGCCACAAAGGGTACTTGGGGGCAATGTGTTCTGGCGTTATCTGGCCGGTGTTTTCCATTGCATTTTCGGAGATGATCGACTCGTTTACGTTGAATAACAAAGACCAAGTCGAAAAGTCACTTTTCCTTTTCCCTGACTCTGCGCACATTCACTTCACTCGAACGAAGGTGGGTGCTGGTCTTTGTGGGACTCGGCCTCGCTGCCTTTCTTGCAAACTTCATGAACCACTTTGGCGTGGGTATAGCGGGTGAAAGACTCACTAATCGGTATGCGCGATTTACTCTCCGTGATCTCTTCATCCCCGCTACCGCTAGCCTGGCCCTCAGTGTGCGCATCGCCTGCTTCGAGAAACTCGTGCGCCAGCCTGTCTACTGGTTCGATAGTCAGGAACACTCCGTGGGCATCATAAAGACACGTCTTAGCTCGGATGCCACGCGTGTCCGGTCGACTCTAGCTTTTTTGTTTTGTTTTGCACGCGCTATAATTTTCCTGTTTAACAGAAACCTCGTGGGTGACTGCTTTAGTATTTTTTTAACGGAGATGGCTACATTGACCTCTGGCATTGTTATTGCCTTTACTGCCTGCCCAAAGTAATCTGGCCAGACATCGCCTGCCTGCCCGACATTTCCTTACTACACACACTCTTTTAGACTGTCCGCCGTAGTTCTTGCTTGTGTGCCTGTCATCATGCTTGGTGCGGTGTTACAGATGAAGCTGATGTCTGGTTTTTTAGAAAACGGTGCAAAGTACCAACATTTAGCTTGTTGTCCTCCCTTCCTATAAATCACCTCTGCCAGGGTTTACGCGGAAGCCGGTAAACTAGCGAATGAGGCTGTTGACAACATCCGGACTGTGGCTTCCTTAAGCGTGGGCTACCATTTTCTTGGCATGTTACCCCTGTCCTCTGGTCCTCTGATTTCACGCCACTTTCTGTAAACAGAGCGGTACACAGAAAAGCTCAATCAACCCGCCAGCGACAACAGAAAGAAAACACAAGTCTGTTTGTACACGTGGCCTCATGTGTAGTCTTTCTTATGTCTTATACCCACAGGTTGCTGCCATTTCTTTTGCTTTCACGGAGTTTTCTACCTTTGGTACGTGCTGTTGGTCACATCATCTCTCGCCCACTACAATTCTTTTCTACTACAGCTATATGGGCGCTCTCTTTTTGGTATGGAACCAGACTTGTAACAGAGGGCCACTGCCAGTTTAAGGAAATGATGAAATCGGTATACCACAGTTGCGTCTTTTTACGGATTCGGAGGTTCATTTCCAACCACAGATCACCTCAATTGTGTTTGGTGCCCTCACTTTAGGCCGAGTATCCGCCATGCTCCCAGATATGGCCACAGTCTCGTTTTATAAATGGAAATTTTCAGACCCTTTGCGTGCTAAAGCTTGTTCCTGCAGGGAAAAGTTTCAGCTGCCCATATATACCACTACTTGGATTTAAAGTCAGAGCTTGACATCACCGACGAAAAAGGTCCGGCTTACTTCTCTGCGTCCAATGATAGCCCATAAATTTTCTCGTAATTAGGCGAAAAGCCTGCCGCGTGTTCCGGAAACATAAGTTTTTCTCGCACCCACTTTAAATATCCGACCCGTCCCAATGGTATTGCGCTTATTTACTGGCTGCTCTAATACCAAGTTGTAAGGCGCCCTTCCTGAACAGTAAAGGTGCTGAAAGGTCTGAGCACCTCCGTCTCCTCCGGGAAGACCCTGGCGCTGGTTGGAGGTGCCGACCCGCCTCTGTCTCCCTACTTTGCCTTCACTCCCTTCTATACAAGAGAGCGGCTGTGGGAAAAGCACGTTGGTGGGACTACTCGAGCGATTCTACTGCCAGGAAAAGGGCGAAATCTTCCTGGACGGTAAGCAGTACTTCACTAGCGACACTCCGTGCAGGGAAGATTGTTACCTGGTCTTTAGAGATAAACATTGAGGATTACAACCTGAAATGGCTACGCTCGATGATTGGCATCGTCAGTCAAGTAGGATTAGCAGCGCTACCCTGCTTGCTTTCCTTATTATATCGTTATTGAAGGAGCCAGAACTGTTTCAAAAGTCTGTTCGGGAAAACATTGCTTACGGGTTTTCCAAGTTGGACACGACGGTCGTCACAGACGAGCAGATTGTAAAAGCTGCCAAGAAGGCCAACGCGCATGACTTTATTATGAAGCTGCCTGAAGGTACCACCTAAATTAGGACCCATGCTCGAAATAACTAGAGCTCCCTCGAGGATACGATACCAACGTGGGTGAGAGGGGTAGCCTTCTGTCTGGCGGGCAACGCCAGCGAGTTGCTATAGCCCGCGCGCTGGTTAGAGACCCTAAGATCCTGCTGCTGGACGAGGCCACGTCGGCGCTGGACAGTGAGAGCGAGCGGATCGTTCAGGAAGCCTTGGACCAAGCCAGGGAAGGCAGGACGACCATCGTTGTTGCCCACCGCTTGACGACTATCGAGCCCGCGGACAAGATCTGCGTTATAGCCAATGGGAAGGTTGCGGAGTCCGGAAAACACGGCGAACTAAAACGACTAAAAGGTTACTTACGGGCACTGTTGTAAGTGGGCCCGCTCGGTAGCTGAAGCTTCGTTATTAGGCATTTACGCCAAAATGGTGGAAGCACAGAATCGATGAACAGCAGAGAAAGTAACTAAGGAGGAAAATTCCTTACTTACTGGCCTATGTGTGTAGCACCAATCAACTTTGAATAAAGCGAAAGCACGTTGGCTGAGAGGAGAGAGTATAGTAGTTTATTACGCAGGCAGGCACGAGATAAGAGGGGGGGGCCGTCTAGCGTTTCCTTAGATATTCAAACACGTGCTGGCGATCACGCTCGAGCCATGCGGCATTGCTGGCAGGAAGGCAAGTAGAGTGCACGAGAGCAAGGAAGATGATCGCATAGAGCACTACCTCATGACCCGCTCGATGCTGTTCTCAATAGTGCGCAAGGCTGATTCGGTCGGATGGACAGTGAAGAATTCGCGAATCTCTTGCGCTCTATTATGTAAACGAAGCATTGAAGAGGTGCGAGGCCGAACCCATTGAATATGTATAAATACTTTTCTTTCGAGGCAAAGTTTTTCGTAGCAACCTCGATCATCCTACAGAGTAAGAACTGGCCTGGATAGTAGTTTCTAAATACAAATAAGAAAAGGTAAATAAAGTAAAAAACCGTTTCCAAACTGCTGCTTCAAAGCGGGGAAGTGTTCTTTCATATATTTCCATGCTAGAGGGCGCGCAACGCCATTGCTGCTTAGGGAACCGTAGACATAGCACAGGTCCTAGAGAGAAGGCATGGAACTCAAAATGGAGAGTCGGGAGGACTGGAAGTCGACGCACAGACGGCCGGACGGCTTCACTGTGCCCCATCTTTAACAGCTCGTCGACTAGTTGCGGAATTTCCGTGCGGCCCAATGCAGATAGTGCGCGCATTCTAAAGTCACAGGCGGGCATAAATACTGGCAGAGTCAAACCAATTACTACGGCACCTCTCCTCGTGCATATCAGCATTATAGAAGATACTGCGGACACTATCAAACTCATGCTTTCCCCCGTTCGCTACAACAATGCTGAACACTGCGGAGCGCAAGTCGGGAATCAGCGATGCAGGATCTTCTAGGTACTTTGCAAATCTGCAAGTCAATAGTTTTCAGCCCCGCGGAGCTTGAGAGAGAAGCTCTATATTACCGATCTCTAGCGACATCAATGATAGCGGCATCCCCGTTGAGCCCTAAAAATATATAAGCACGGTCGTCACGAGGAACTATAGAAGCGTCGTACCGAGCGCGGAGATAACAACGGACCGCAGCAACGAGCGCAGTGGGTGCTCATTCTCCTCGGGCTCCCAACCAACCTCGTGCGCTATGGGGGAATAGAGCTGGCGCATGTAGGTCTGCAGCTTCTCCTTCGCCTCATGCTCTTCATAAAGAACTTGGACTTGGCGCAAATTTTCTGTTATGTCTACCCATACAGTGTACTCCTAATAAAAGTGGAGGCGGTCGGCCGAAACGAATAGGGATCGGCCTCCTTTACCTTCTCTTCTTTAAAATATTCGATTAAGCTAAGAACTTTGTCCGTCCTTATGTAACCGGCCTAAGTGTACAAAAGGAAAGTTAGTGGCACTAGCAACCCAATGACATGTGCGCATTACCCGCGAGAGCGCAAAGGCGTCGTTGGCTATCCCGAGGCGGTCCACGGTGGGCAAAACTTGGGTTATCAGGGCATCTGACAGAGCCGAGAACAGTTCATCCGAGTATTTGACGCGATAAAAGCCGTTAAATCCCACGTTGAGCTTAAGCCTCGTGTACGATAAGAGAGAGCCAATCAGAGACAGCGAAGCGGCCAGTTACTACCACGTCGACTTTGCGAGGTCTTCCGGCAAGCGTAGGGTGTCCTCAAAAGTCGAGAGTACTTTTCTAAACACGGTATTGGTCCCATCCCCGGTCACCGAGAGCGGAACTTGCCATGCCTTTTCCTCTTTTAGCTTAAGAGGCGGGTGTGTTTGACCGCAGAGTAGATGCACAGGTGGGCAGCTAAAAGTACTGCTTCGCCGGTTGCTAAAAAGCGCTTCTGGGTGACTGAGAGTGTGTCTTTGGCCGTGCGCGTCACCATTATGACGGGGTAGCCTACCGAGTGGGAAAGGTATCTACAGGGAAAAAAGTATAACGCAGCGAACAAAAGTCGTGCCCGTCTCTTTCGTCCATTTGTAAGTAAATTCGACAATGTCCTTATTGCTCTATAATAAAAGAGGCACGTTAGAAAAAAAAATATCATAATGACGAGAAGAAACCGCTTCAGACAAAGAGCACCACAAGTCTTTAGTGGCTGCATTGCCGTACTGATGCTTCTTTAGGTATCCCTGTGCAACCACAGTGAAGATATAAGAGCGGGACAGTAACAAGCCGGGCTCCAAGCTACCCGGAGGCCTTCCCGGAAAACATCCATTCCCAGATGAGCTGCGAGCATCCTGATAACGGAGGCCCCCTTGCAATACGAGATGGCGTCGAAGATTTCGTTGACCTCGGAAGACCGTCGCACTTCGACCTCGATGGGGTGCGAGCTACGCAGAGAATCAAGTTGCAAAGCACTCGACGTGTATCTTTAAGAACAAAGGCATGTTCCTTCTCCACGTGCACGACGACCTTAAACAGAGTGCTTACTCCTGGACAAACTGAGGCCACGCATCCCATTCTTTGTAGAGAAAGTCGACGGCAAGGTTGCCAACCCACGTGGCAAAGCCCTCGTTGAGCCAGAGATCGTTCCACCATGCCATTGTGACCAAGTTACCGAACCACTGGTGGGCAAGTTCGTGCGCAACCACGTAGGCGACGCGCTGCTTGCTGGCCAACGAGGAGGTGGCCTCGTCAATCTATGGAACCCGAGTGCGAGTAAGGAATATACATTATTACTGAAGAAAGCTTGGTAAAGACCAGAAGAGCAGTTTCTCGGTAGGTTATAAGCCCCCAATTTTCCATTGCGCCGGCGCTGAAGTCGGAAATGGCTATCATGTCGACTTTTTCCAACGGGTAGCCAAGATCAAAATAATCCGTGTAAAAGTCCAGGATTTTACAGGCACATGCTAGAGCGAACTTGCCTATTTTGCTTTATATAGAAGCCGTAGAATAAAAAAAATTAAGGAAACCCTTCTTGGACTTTCCTACTTCCGTAAAAACGCGGACGGTAACACCGCGCTCCGTTTTTGATTCCACAAAGTCGTATTCTCCAATAACAAAAGCAATCAAGTACGTTGACATAATCTACACATTGATAATTAATAAAATTATTTTCCCTAAATAAAAGTATTACGGGCGTTGGTTTATAAGTAATAAGTTGGGTATCTCCGCGTGTTTCACTAAAGTCTACAGGCATGTTGGAAAGGCCTATCAATGAAACGGGGATATCGAGACGGATGACAAAAGTTGCTTTCAATGAAGGTTCGTCAAAGCAAGGAAAGGCTCTCCGAGCATCAGTAGGCTCAAACTGGGTAACTATTGAGTAAAAACAAAATTAAATACAGTTGAATAAAGTTATTTTTTAAAATTAACCCCCGCAAAACTTGTACTCGCCGTTCTTTTCGTACTTAGAACGATAAAATCCTACCATTTTATCATTCAGCTGGCCTTTGGAAAATCAATGAGATTATTTAGTATAGAATGATAGAGTTGAGGGCACCGTTAAACGACAGGTCTAACTGATATTTCCCAACAGTGATTTTTTCCTTAAAGTAAAGTGTGACCGTTTCATCATCCTAAAGCATGCATTTTGTTATGTATTTATAATGGCCAAATTTAAGGATTGTATGAATTGCACAGTCTACTCAGAAAAACTTATCTACTTTGTTGTAGTTTAAACGAGATTTATCAAAACTGTCCTTCCCACTCTTCAGTGTACATTCCAAAATTTCAAGATCTACAGCGTGCAAAATTATTTCTTGAGTGTTTTCGAAGACTTTAATTTCAATAGAAGAAGTTCCAAGAAAAGTAAATTGGTCAAAATCAGGTTTAATGGTTATGTCATAACTTATAGGTTTCACAAGGTTAGGTAGAAGTTGTCTGAAGGGTTGGGTATCTGAGTGAAAAAAGTAGATAAAAAAGATAACGGTCACACTGTGAAACAGGTAAAAACCTTTTCCGACCATAACTATTTATAATAAAGTTTATGGAGCTCAGCACTACTTTTGTAGGCGATAATAACTAAGCTTTCAGAAAGGGGAATCTTAAAAGTCAAAAGCACACTTAATATAATTACCTAATTTGGTATCTTTCGAGTTTCTAGCTATGCTGAAACACGTTTTTTTAACGAACTTTGTAATAATTTCAATTTTTTATATTTAAATTTATCAATTATTTCTGCAATTAATTAATTCTATTTAAAATAGATCTTATAAGGTGGTGGACCCAACCAAACTGCTTTGCACTCTTGAGCTATTAGATTTCTTATCACCCCTTAAAGTAGATGCCCTTCTTTAGGGGAGCAAAAAAAAGTCATTTAGTATCGATTACAAAGCCTTAAGGGTGGTGCTCATGCACATTCTTTACAATATGGTATAAATGATGATGTTTTAAGGAAAATATTTATTTAGAATTATTTTAAAAACTTTTGCGAAGAGAATTAAAAATAACAAAAATGGTAGACGAAGTCTCTAAAAGAAGGATTTTACGTTCTAAGAAAATGTATATAACTAAGTAGTGATTAACGTATACTTTATAGCACAACTCGCGTTTAATATACCTTCATTTCTTATTAAAATTCTTGGAAGACTAATGGGAGCTCACTTAATTGTACCTTTATAAATAGGGATTTTTATTAAATTTTTGACGATGGATTATTGTATACTTGTACAAAAACATTTTTCTTAAGTTTTAACTGGTTTAGTAACCCTCAGCTACTATTCACAGATTATTAAACTGATCAAACGAGATCCGTACAACCCCTATTTGTGGACAAGGTGAAAAACACTTTGAAAAAGCCTTTGACCACATAGGCACTAGCTGCTCTTATGTAAACTAGGTGCATTAGGTACAACCTAAACATACTTGCGTTGTTGTGTGCGCACTTTCCTTGCGAGTGAAAATTGGTGGTACTACGCTTTCTTCATACCCTCGACTGACAGCTGCTGTCCCTTGAGACTCACTGCTATCTCCCTCGCTCTTCGTGCTGTATGCGAGGCATTATAATCCTACTAACCTTCACACTCGCGTCGAGCTCTAAGTCGATGAACCTGCTGTTCTACGCGTCCTCAAAGAGCCCTTCGTTATTAAGGTCACACCTACAACGATACTGAACAAAAAGCATTATGTATAAACGCAACAATCTGCACTTATATATCGTCTGTTAACAACTCCTCCTTGATTACGATTTACCTGCTTAGGTAAGATACACAGTCAACTGGAGCAGTTGTAAGCACATTAAAACAAACTACTGAGGCTGCTGACCGGTAAGCCGTGTTATTCGAACAACGACACTCCTCCTGCTGACTTACCCGCAACTTGAATTTTTCGAAGCTCAGCCATCGCTGCTTGCGAACTACATAAGTTGCATTCAATGGTTATTTAAGTTAAAAGGCCTTAGCTACAAGTATTAACCGTTTAATATGCCTCCAGATTTTAAAAATCGTTCACCTATAATTTGCTTCGAAAATAGTAAGACTAAGAAAAATGAGAACATTTTACACGCACACACCAATTGTTCTTTAGAGTGTGCCTTACCGAAGTTGCTAAGACGTCTTACGGTTGTGATCGTTACGACAGTCTGCCACTTTAGGGTTAGGGATAGGGTTAGTCACATCATTCGGAGAAAACGTAATCCACATAGCTAGTAGATGATCTCACCCGGGTTATTAGCGAACGTTTTGTCATGATCACGAGCTTATCACTAGAAAGTTGTTGGGTTTATTAACACCCCTACTACGTCCTCGTGGTAAGCACACACCTCGAAGGACCAGGCAATCTTTTAATTAGGGTTCGAGCGTTAACAAATAACTTTGCAAAGTTAAAAAAGCTTCAAGATTGTCTCCTTTTGAAGGCCGTCAAAATTTTAAAAATATTGTTTTACCTGTTGTCCAGCTGTAATATACGAAATTCGTGTTTAATTCCTAAGCTCGCTTGGGCTATGTAATGAAGGTCCTTGGCGCCAATCTGTTAAAAACAGTGCATATTATAGAAAAAGCTACTATAATTTTTAAAAAAGAAATGGTAGTAATTTATAATCTTTTATGCCTCTTTTGCTTTTTCTATTGCTTCAAATGTTCATCGCCTACTAAAAAAACTTTTTCGTATGTCTACGAGTACAACTTAATAAAGTTTCGAAACTGCTTCGAGACCGTATTATGCCACGCCTGGTCTCCCACTCTGCTCTAAAAGCAAATAAGTTGCTCGATAAGTTTGGTGCCCACGTAAAGGAGCTTTACTATATTAACAGTGGTCATAGTTTATATGTAACAATTCACTTTAATTTTAAAACAGAAATTTTTATTTATTTATTTAGGACAATCTAAAGCCGCCAGTCCGGAACGGAAGAGGTAATGTGGATTAAGCAAATTAAAAAGGGTCTAATACTTGGTCGTAGCATGACAATGTGTTAAGCGAGTGCAGAAGATTTAACAAACATCCTTTATTTATATACGATGTAGTTGGAAACGCCATAGTACCTTCAGGGTCAAAAAAAAAGTTCTAATTTTTTGTAAAACTGTCTAAGTAAGATGGAAATTATAAAAATAGATATTACTTTTTATAGAAGCCCGGATACGGGTTTTAGGTAGAAAGGGGGAGGCACCAGGGAGTGGTCTTGGCATCGCAACTGAGTTTGGCATCTACAACGAAGTACACTATACCAGCTAAACTTTTCTCCCAGAAGCACGTCTCACTCAACGAAGTATCGTTAAATCCTAAGCGAGGGTTAGATTAAGAGATAACCTCAAAATAAAAAATACCCCTCTCTGGAAAATGTTGCTTCGCATATCTATTTTGTTCCTCAGTTTTACTCTTGTCCCTAATATCTTCTTTTAAATGTAAATTAATAAAAGTTTTTTTCGTTCCCGTGCTCAGCAAGGGAGGTCTATCAACTTTTATTTTTTTTGATCTAATCCTTTCCCGAAAGTCATCATCTTCCTACATATTTAAAAAAAATAAACGAGGGGCCACGCTTCGTTATTAAAAATAATTTAAAAAAGTAGTTAGAAGAATTGAGATTGACGTATAAAAATTAGCATCAAGTTAGTCTTAACGGGTCTAAAATTAGTGAGATTAGCAAAAGAAACGCAAAATAAAGAAAAAGTCTATTAAAAACAACTATTAATACTCTTCCCCATCCCCAGTAATCATTTGAAAAGCCGTTTACACTAATAAAAGCTTCTTTTGTTATAGTGATGATCCCTCCTAAGAATTTTGAGTGCCTATACAGAGGATGTAGCCCGGGTCTAGAGACATGGTAAACCCCTAATAGAATAAAAGTGGGTATATTTCATTTAAAAAATAAAGTTTAATATATATAAACTTTGTTATAACTTTTTTTTTAAAAGCTATTTGGTAACACCTGTTTTCACCGGCTTTCCATAGTCTAAATTTGGGTTATCTGGTAACAAGTCTATGTCATGTAAAGCGAAATAGTCACAACCTAACGTAAAAAAAAGTATGTTAAGTGTTTGTACCATGAATTTATATAAAAGAAAACCAGCATAACTAGCATATTTCACCCCAATATTAAAAAGTTTGCCCCGATTAAATCGGAAAGCATCTGTCTAAAATAAAACTTTACAAAAGTTCAATACCAAAGACTTAAATGACTAACTTGATTGATGACCCAAAACTGATGTGGAATGCCTTTATCAGATAAGTACTTGGTCATATGAGTAATAAAAGGTCGAATATGCTTGGACCGATTTCGAAATGGAACAATAACACCCAACGTGTTCGGTAAAATCTAAAAATGTTTCAAAGAAAACACTATGGTAAAGCGATAATTGTTGGGTTAATATAAACTTTTTGGTTTAAGGTAGTAACTTGAAGTGTTTCCTCATTGCAGCGTAACTCAGTTAACCTTACGTTTGAAAAGTTGCTAGTAGTTGGGTAACTTTTGGCCAATTTTATTTTCAGTCTATAAAGAAATACAAATATGAAGCAGCTAAGGATAACGAAACCTCTCTTCATGATAAGAAATACGTCTACACAATCTTTTTAATAACACCTAAACCACTTTTTAAACCCAGGAAAAATGAAAAGGCTGTCTCTTTATTATAGTTGAGCAAAAAGCGTTAACTCTCGACAACTATCTTGTACGGATCCCAAACCGCAAATTTAGTAGGAAACCAGTAAACCAGAAGACTTGCGTTTAAAGGTAGTATATCGTAGAAGTTTTGGTTGTGCTAGCCTAGCTTAAAAGAAGAATTTTATACAAGATCAGTGTATGTGTAAGTGGGAGAGGGTAACTCGTTTATAGTATAGAATAAATGGTGAATTGGTTATATGGCCTTATGGTTTACATAATGCCTCAATCAGTAAGAGAGAAAGCTTTGAAACACGCACAACGCACAAGTTTGCTTCCTTACTCTCTTTGCGTCTACATCCAATTCTAGACTTGCTTTTTTTAATAATTAGTTTAGTTTTTCTCAAAGCAGTGAGCTGATAGAAGATAGAACTAGTTTAGTTGATTCATGCCCTCAGTATACAACTATGCAACTGAAAATTTTATAGGTATAGTCTTTTCAAACTATGTTGCATAGGAATACAATGTACATTCAAGTAATTTTTAGTTTTTATCAACAAATTATAAAAAATATAAAGGGAACTAAAGGTAGATTCGAGATTTACAATCTTCATTTTTAAGAAGCTGTATAATAAAAAAATTGTAAACTATAAAATGCTGCCTATAACTTTCCTAGATAAAAGCAAGTTTAAACTGGGTCTTTTTACGTTTATCTTGCTAAACTTCGCTGCAAGAAAGTTTTATAATGTTATTTAAAATATAATTTTATAAAGAGCGGACTATACAAAACTATTTTCTATCCTAATGCCTCATTATTTATAAAAATATTTTTAAATAAAGCTTGGAAACTCTTACGGTAGTTAACGCAGAGATCTTAAAATTATATCAATCCCCAGCAACCACGCACAATAAATAAAAGGCTGATAGGCGCATGTCCACTTAGCCTACTACATAAAAGTTATTTTATTATTTGCTCGTTTTAAAAGAAAATAGCAACCACTCTAATATAGCTCTTATTATACAGTGAGGAAGCTTTCCAAAAAAGTTGTCTACAATGAATAACACCGACTTTAAAACGTTGTAGAAATAATCCTCCTTCCAGCTGCGCTTAAAAATGCATTTAAAGTTTATTCACAGGAAAAGCAAAACGGACATAGTACCGATGTAAATTTTTTAATTAAATTACCATATAGAATGTAATTCCACAGAGTGCAGGCAGTCCTACATAAGAATAATCAAACTTGCAAATTTAAAGCAAAACGAAAAAAGACCACAAGTAATGTCAGAAATTGATATAAAACACATTAAACGACTCCAAATACGCGTTGCAATGAATATCAAGTGCTTGTTGCTCTTCGATTTATTTAAATTGCACTGTCCATATACGAACAGGCAAGGAACTTAAATCGTTGTAAAAGAACATAGAAAAACAAGCAATGTTATTAAAAAAAGCAAAAACCTTATATACAAGACTCTGTCAGATCTAACTTAAAAAAAGTTCTTTTCCAAAAAATTAAAAAAGCTTTAAACTATTTGTGTAGCTAAACACAGCTGAAATTAAAATTAGCGTTAAACCTAAACTTCAGAACTTCCAAAAATAGAAAAATGATTAAAGTCTAACGCGTCTTCGCTATTTAAAAATACTTGTTTAAAACTTGGAAAAAAATGGTAAAGCAGTTGGGGGTCAAACTAGACATGGAGGACAATTAATAAACGTACAGTAAACGTTGATAGCTAATATAACAAATAAAGCAGAAAATAAAAAGTAAACAAATTTTCTTAGGTTAACTTAATAAGTCACTAATCATAAAACCGGTAAATTCTAATAATTTATAAATGAAGGATATATGCTTCACCAAAACCATAAAAAAAAAAAGAAGTCACTGTCGAAAACTAACTTAAATCGGGTATCAAAAAATTAAAAAAAAAACAAATATTTAAGGCGAGTTATCGAACTACAGGCTTATTTAATGTTACCTAACACGATTTATCATATAACTGTTTTCAAACTTTCCATTATCTATTTACTTTTTTTTTTTTACGAGATATAATAGCAAAGCTGTAAATTTGTGTCTGACAATGTCACCCTTGTTGACTTGTTATTCATATTAAAAAAGATCATTTAGTAATATACATAAACAATATATGGAAAGCAAGAAAAAAGGGGCAGGATGAGAAGAAGTACAAACTATAAAGTTAATTAGTACTGAGTCCCAATAAATATATGTAAATCTGCAGCACGTGTTGTACCGACCACGACAATACATGAACGTGTTTCTAGACATTTTGTAACCTTAGCAATGGTTTTCGCTGGCGCTCAGGCTAGCCATCGCTTAAATATTTGAGCGATAATAAGAGTAATTTCTATTTTAAAACTATATTGTATGAATTCATTTAATTTTTGCTGGCCCTATTTTAAACGTTAATTTTTTTAAGAAAACCACGTAGCAAAGGTAGTTGCACATAATTATGGTGATTTTAGTTGATGCTTAATAAGAATATTTAATATGAAGTAAGAGAACGTAAACTTTAAACTTTAAAAGTAGAAAAGTTATCTTTACAAGTAAGGCAAGAGCTTTTACAGATACTTTGCTTTAAAGTAAAAAGTCCTTCTAAGTTTGCTTTAGTTTGCCAAACTGAAAAGAAAACATTAAAATGTTTTTTACGGCTTCTTAAAAGGAGAGTAACCTCTTAAAAATTTTCTGTTATTCTGCCAGCACTTAGTCAGACAGATCTTTTTCAGTAACAAGTGTGGCGGTCGGAGTAGGTTTTTATGTTTAAACTAACAAAGTGGAGCGTATAACCAGAACTCTTCTAGAGTTTACTTCGCATTGCACTTGACCGATTTTGAATCTCAAGCACAGTCTCAAGGCTTTAAAAGCACTTCTTGCGCCAACAATTAATATATTGTTTACGTTTAATCCCGAGGGTCTTACACCATACGTAAGGTTATCTTGCCCCCTACTTTTGTTGCTGCGCATTTATCCTTAATCAGAGTGAGTTCTTTAAACTAAGAAACCTTTCGCAAAGAAACTACAAAAATCAATGAAATCTTAAGAAAAGTATATGAAAAGTAAAAATGGACTCCTTAAATTAAACTGTACTATGACGTACCCAGTTTAAAGAAAAAAAGTTTGAACAATTGCAAATTTGGTATGTACAAAGTACAGACTTAATAAAAAGCTTATAATCGCTTCCGTTGTTCATCAACGTATAAATATTTTAACAAATATTATACGAACACTACGATGAAATCAGAGAGATTAAAGGAGATTTGGTCCATTTTCACTAGTAGTTTCACTAACGTTCACCAGAAGAATCGACTCATCAAGAGCTGAAAGATTTGACTGGGATTGCTTTTCTCGCTTTTCCTTCCGCTCTTTTACTTTTTCAAGCCGTTTTCGCAAAGTGTCTTCTCTTTTCTGCTTCATATCTTGTACTCGTTTCCTTTGGTTGACAGTCTAACAGTACAAAGTATAAGCTTTTATTTTGAATTAATCTTTTTGTTGTAATATAAGCTACATAAGAATTGCAGAAAATGAATAAAAAAACTATACTTTATTTCTTAAACCATCCAGAAGTTCTCTTTGCTTGATTCTTTCCTCTTCATTTGATGAAAATTTATAATAACCAACTCCCAATTGTCGAATTTCTTTAAAAGTAAATAAGAAATGTCGCCCGACCATTTATTAAAAATAAAACATAATTATTATTATTCTAAAAAAACTTTCAGTATAGTAAAAAACTGATTTAATATTTTTAATAATAAAAGAATTATAAAAAAAAAAAGCAAAATTATTAATTTTATGAAGTAAATGATAAACTATGTTACCGCCACGACTGGCTTCAGTGTAGTGCAAAAAAGTTACCGGCTTGGACATTCTTTCTTTTTCTTCTTCTTCCAGCTTTAGCACTTTCGCCCTTATTTCTTCTCGCCATTGCTTCCTTTTATCAACTAAATCTCTAAAATTTTAAAAAAAAAAAAAATTCACTAGCAATTTTGCTTACTAGTGTTATCATAAACTTGTTCAAAACGAACATTAAATAACTTCAATAATCTATTTGAAAATTAAGAGATACACTTAATAATTTAATCACCACTAAACTTACTCGCCATCCAGAGGGCGGATTTCCAAGTCTCTTTTTTTAAATTCCTCATAATCAGCCTTAAGGCATTTTCTTGTTCTAAAAAAACAATTAACAATTTTCTCTTAAAAAAACTTTTAAGTTAACAAAAACATTTAAAATTTGATGTGCGCACTTTCAATAAAATAAGCTTATAATATCACCAAGAAGAGCAAATGTTATGGGTGCTACAATTCAAACATACTACAGAAAAACATAACAATCCTAATAAAAACTATTCAAAACGATTGAAAATATAAAAAGTTGACAAGCTTAAACTGTAATAAGTGAATTAATATACTATACAATCTTCAAAAATAATAATTGATTAAATTTTAACAGTAAACTGAAAGCAGGATATTGAAAACGACACAAGAAGGATAAATGCTACAAGTTAAATAACAAAAAGGTCAACTAGAAATACAATGACTTTACAGTTCACTACTTTTTTAAAACTACAAAACCATCAAATAATTTCATAAAAACTCAGATCCTGATAATAAGAAGAGCGCGTTAACAAAGCTAAGGATTAAAATAAAGACTAGATTTTTAAATTACCCCAATACTTAGTAAATAAATTTTTGCAAAAAGTACATAAATAAATAAATAATTCTTAAAAAAAAAAGTTATTGAATAAATATATATATAACGAAAACATTTATTAGAAAAGACAAACCGGCCAAGAGAATCAACAAACTCAATCCAGTCATCTTCGTTGGCGACTGCGGTCTCTAAGGGCAGTAAATATTTATAGCAAACAAATAGATAAAAACGTTTTAAACTATACTTGGGTCATAATTTTCTAATAACTCTTGTTTATAAATTTGTTCCCGGTCTTCTAATAATTCATTGATTTTATCTTCCTAATTACAATTATAAACTTAAAAACAAGGTATGGGGAAAAGTATAAAAATAACATTTTCCCATTTTTTCTTTTCAAAATCCACCAGATAGCCATCCTCTACGGTTTCACAATATTTAAGCATATAAATTAATAATCAAGCTTCTTTAATAAGGATGATTCCCTTTACCATTTTCCAGTGATTCTGGAGCTCCTATAAAAAGTAATAATTGGTAAATATCTATATATAATATTTTTAACAAACCTTCTAACATCATTTTCTCGTATACTTTTGCTTTTTGCTCCAGTTTAATTTTGATTTCTTCAAATCTCAATATTGGTTAATTTACTGATAAACCAGTAAAATATTGAAAGACAATAATATAAATACTTTTTGTTATCTTCATTCTCATTTTCTACTTTCTTCTCTTGTTTTGGCTTTTCTACTATAATTTTACCTTTAATAGACTATTTATAATAATTAATTAATCTAAAAGCTGTTATCATTGTTAACTATAAACCTAAAATTTTATAAAAACAAATTAAAAACAAATTAAAAAAAAATATAGGTATAAAAACTGCGAACTGTCCATTACTGTAAAACGTAAAACCAGGTAAATCGGTAAACTAAAAACAAATACACACAAAGCCGCTATATCTCCGTATAAATATTAAAATATAAAACAAAAGTTTTATTAACTAAAAAATTAAAAGTTTAAGTTTATAAAAGCATAAGTATAAAACTATTCTAAGGAAATTTAAAAAGTTATTATCAAAGAAAACCTTTTCTATTGGAGTTGGTTTTACAGTTGGTTGAGAAGTACTTGATTTTTCTTTATCAAAGTTTAACTGTGACTTATGTAATTCCACTTTTAAATCTATAAGCTAGACAAATATAGTATATCCTTATAATAAAATAAAAAACTAATAGAAATTGGACACATACAGAAGATTCTCCCACTTTAATGGCATTTTTCTTTAACATTTTTCATTACTTCTCGTGGAAAAATCCAAAAATTCACTTTAGAACTATTGCTGGATTCCAGTCATGCCTGACACTATTTATGGTTAACCCCTCCCTATGGTAAGTGAATTTAAACTTAGCCTTTGTTAAACCTATTAAACTTGCTTACGTCATAACATTTACGCAAATTTCCTGAAAAAAAAAAATGTTCCAGTTATTGACTACGCTTCAAATCATATTATTAAGTTAAAAAAGATCTTTCCGAGAGCAATTTCAGCGTTAAGTTTTTAAATAATAGTTGTGAACTCGCCAGGTAAAAGAATGAAAAAGTCGATACTTATTAAATTAGAAATAATTTATACTTTTCAAATCTCCTTCCTCAGATTGCTCTTAACATATTAGACAGACACATGGCGGTTTGGCTGTTGTAAAAAAAGTGCCTGTTTATATCTGAGGTTGAGAGGTTAGCATCTAAAGTTTTCCTCGAGGGGTAGTAGGCTGCCTGGGGGAAATGGTAATATATGTAGGAACCAAAACTTTGTCTGCACTTTAGTTCTTTTTTGAGTTTTGTAAATTTATTCAGAGCTGTGTATATAATTTTAATAGCGCTCTTAGTTCTATTCAGGAGTAATTTATTTTAAGGTAACATGTTCTTAACAAAAAATGTTCTGGCGTTCGGCGCAAACTTTACTCAGTATAGTAGAGGGATGGCAACTTTAAAAGAAAGTAAATGATACCTTTATTCAGATGTTTTACACTTTTTTCTTTTTCTTACGTATTGCCTATAGTTGCTCTTCGATTAAAGTCTGTCAAGTCTATACAAAAAATTACCAAGTCTATGAAAATGGTGTCTGCCGCCAAGTATTCTAGAGCAGAAAGAGAATTGAGAAACGGAAAAGGTTTTGTGCAAAGCATTCAAGGTTCGAAATTTATAAAAAAGGAACTTTCTTTTAATTTATTGTTTTTTAATTAAATTTTAGCGCTAACTTTTCAAGCTGATTTACAAGTTGATTCTCATAATAAAAGAAAATTAATTATTGCACTTTCTTCCGGTAAATTTACTTGAATTTTACGCTTTTATAAGTAATTTATCCATTCTGCACTCTGTAACACGCTAAATTACTTCACTAAGTTTATTATATTTTCGTAGGCATTTGCAAATTAACTTTTTTTGTTATTATTAACAACTTATTATTATTGCAATTCTTGGTAAATAATTGTTTTTTTACATGTTTATACAACTCCATTATAAATTTAAGTAGATGACTTTTACCTAAATAGAGAAATTCCTAGTATATCCGACCTACTATATTTCACTTATATGTTCATTTATATTAACTTAGATCGCGGTCTCTGCGGTGGGATCCATTCTTCCATCACTAAAGTTGTTAAGCCACTTCTAGAGGCTGATAAGGTATTGCTCATAGTGAAGTTGATGAACTAGTAATAAGCATATTGGTGAACGAACAAAGTTTTACTGCATTCTATAAGGAGTCTTTAATAAACATAAATTTTTGTAAGGAAGCTCAACTTGTTGTTATTGGGGAAAAAGTTCGCTCTCAGCTTCAAAGATCATATGGCGATCGCCTTTTCTTCTCAATAAGCGATTATGGAAAAGTTTCAATTTTTAATAACTAAAGCATCGTCGACTTTGTTTGTTATAAAATTAACAAGCGACCGCCTTCTTTTCTGGAAGCGTCTGCAATTGCAACTAAAATACTTAATAGTTCCTGTGAATTTTCTGTCGGAAATATCATCTTCAGCAAGTAACATAATTCTTGTGCTCTCCACTTGCGCTGATTTCTCCAGTTATTCTATATATACAGATTTATATCAGCCCTGTCCTACCAGCCTGCCTCCTCTCCGATTTACTCCCACACTGCAATGAGCGAGACGGGTGGCCCTATAGAGTAGCTTGCAATATTGCTCTACAATCACATATTGTTGATACATAGAAAAGCTGATCGGATATCAGTGCGAAGAAGACACTCTGCAGGCGTACCAGGAGTTTCACATGGCCTTGTCCCTTTACCACGCTATGGTTGAAAGTTAGCATTCTATAGCGAAAATTCGCAGGAGTTTTGTAACCAACTTTTAATGCATTTACGTAACGAAGGTTCCGCTAGCGAGCAGTCGGCTCGGATGAACGCTATGGATAATGCCACTAAAAATGCGGGTAGAGTTGGAGTGAAACCTTTGAGGCTTTCTTTTTCTAATAATGTTTTTGTTTTAGGAGAAATGATAAATAAGCTGTCCTTGTCCTACAACCGCACCCGCCAAGCTGTAATCACAAACGAACTAATTGAGATTATTTCGGGTGCAGCCGCTGTCTAATAAACTTTATTTGCTTCTCCTCTCTCTTTTGAGCTCGTAGTGTCACAACAATTTATTTAGCCAATTCTTTTTCGGACCATAGAGAATGTACATCCAGCTTTCTGATATTAACGCAGTTTCACTTCTACTCTTCCATATTACCCTAGAAAGTTTGGCTTCAAAGTATTATAAATAGGTATTGCAGTTTCCAATAATACAAGCAGTGCTAATGTCATAATAGCCGGATGCACCAACACATAATAGCGTTGCCTGTTGCATAACGAAACTTTGCTTTGGCACAAAGGGCATAAAGAGCTTGAGCCGCCGCTTTAGAATTTACGTGCGAACGCCCGAATATTTCTCCGGAAACACTACAGGATTTCCGCGCTTTTGAAGACTAGCAGTGACGCTGCAGGGAACCGTTTTAAAAGGTGTTCCGCTTTTTTTCCATAGTAACAGCAATTTTCCGACGACAACACCGGCTGGCAAACGTGACTAGGTAGCACTGCAAATGCTGGCGCAGCAAAGCCGGCGACTCTGACGAAGGGTAATTTGCCGTCTCCTCTGCTTATAAGGTAACTCGAGTGTGGAGGTCGACTCTGGCATGTTGCGCACACAAAGTGCAAAGAGCAAGGGTGAAAGAAATAATCCGGGTCTCAGTAATTTAGTCGCGAAGCTTTAAACTAGGCATGGCGCTTATGAAAAGGTTCTCGTTATAGATTTTTGTACAACCTTAAGTGACCGAATGATGGTTAGGGCGAGATACGACTGTTCCGCTTACGTAGGTCATCTTTGACCTCTTAGTGAGAGAGATAAAAGAATAAATATTTTAAAATTATCGACAAAGTAAATCTACACCAATAAATTTATTGGCAATTTTTTCATTAATAAAATTAATGTACAAAACAAATATGTCTACATACCGAAAAATTGTTTTTTTTCTTTAATATTTTGCAATATAGGATGTACGGTCAAACTTGAACTTAGTATGACTTATAAACGTTTTTATAAAAAACGCGCTATCAAAATTTATATTAAATGTATATAAAAAAAGTAAATTACATAAAAGAATTCAAATATAGATATATATATTAAGGGTATAATTAAGTAAGCTGACGTACTACATAAAACAAAGTATGCAAGATGGTAAAAAAAATATCAAGGCAGGTAATTTTTAAACTTTTTTTTGTGTATTTGTACCCCTTTACGAAAGGTCAATAAATGCTTACATATTTGCATTGTAAATTTAATTAAACCAAATTAGATTTTATAAAATTTTACTTAGTTGTATCCATTTAATGTCAAATTATTTAATATTCTCTAGGAAAATTAATTTATTTTTTTCTTAAATTTTTATTTGGCTGTTTTCAGGTTCTTAATTGGTTTACTCACCGATCATTTTTCCTGTGAAAAATTACAGGGGTTTGTTTTTTGTGTATTTAGTGGTGTATCTTAACCTAATATATCGGCGGAGGAAAGCCGGTCATCCTTTTGGCGCTTAACGTGTTAAAAACCATTACCACACACCACTTCCGCCACTTAATAATGGTGTGATACGACAGAGACAAGGTGACGCTCATTGCCGACCATTTAGCTGCTCAATGTGTATCTCCCACTTGGACAAACTTTGAGGCCGAGGCAAGACACCGCAGGGTCTTACGATTATTGTGGAAGGGCTTATTAAACAGAGCTCACCTGATGAAATCACTGATATAGTTTCTGCACTTTCACAATGGAAAGCACCCGCCTTCAACGGTATTACTAACGAAATGCTAAAAAAACTGCTGCCGGCGGCGCTTAAGCAACTCTCCTGTTCTCGGTCTTCTTCAATCTCGCTTGACTCTTCCCCACGTGATGGAAAACGGCTACTGTGGTGATGCTTCCCAAGACTCCACGGGCTCCAGCGAACCCCAGCGAATATCCTCCCATTAACCCTCTTTCAGCTTTTGGCAGAACTGTGGAGGTAGTTCTACTACGCAGGCTAGAAGAATTTTGTAGAAGGACACAAAACACTTACAGAATTCCAATTTTTGGATTCCGAAGAGGTCACTCAATGACAAAAACTTTTGCGCTCTGTGGAGTGGACAACTCGAATCTTCAATTTTAAGTTGTCCACGAAGGTCATATTTCTCGATGCTGACAAGGCCTTTGGCGTGTGTGACACGAGGGTTTCCTACGCAGACTACGCTTATTAGGTGCCCCGTTAGTCCTCTACAGCATAATTGCGTCGTTTTTACGCAGACGCGCCTTTCGAGTGAGAGCTGAGGCTGCGCTGTCTCCCTACTGTCGACTGACAGCTGGTGTTCCGCAAGGCTCTCTGCTCTCGCCTCTACTCTTCGCGCTATACGTGCGAGATATTCCACTCCCTGCGAACCCTCACACCCCGCGAGCACTTTATTCCGATGGCACTGCAGTTTATGCGACCTCAAGGAAGCCAGTCCCTCATTACCATGGCAACGCCTACAGAGCTATTTGAAAATATTTGACCACTAGTGTAGGCAGTGAGTAAACATTGAAACAAAGAACGAGACAACCCTCATCTGAAGAAAATGCATCTCCCGCCTCCAACCCTCGAAAATGTTTAGATCCCATGGGGCTCTTAGGTCAAATAATTGGAGTCACCATCGATATGCGACTAACTTGAAGTTCACACGTAGAGTTCGTTACGACTAAGTTCAAAGCAGCAATTCGCGCATTCTACCCGCTATGTGCTAAAAACACAAGGCAATAAGCTGCACCTTTATAAATTATGCGTACGCCTTTTTATGGCCTATGCATATATTGCTTGGACATACGATCCAGCTAAACGAGCTCTTGGGAATAATAACCGTCGCACCTTATTTCGTGCGAAACACTACGTTACATGACAACCTGGGTTGAGAACGACTTGAGGTCTTTTTCCGAAATGCAACTTCAGTTTCTGTTGAACTTGTTAGTAGCCATCCAAAACACCAGTGGATCCAAGAACTTACAAACGAACTCTGGGAAGGCTCACAGTTTGGAAGGCCCCACGATGCGCTTTAAGCGCAGTCTTGTTGTACCTTTAACACATGCAGAAAGTTTGTTGTGGGAGATCTACCAAAACTGATTACGGTCTAACCTTGTAATATAATTATCTGCGAGATTAAGCAGTCTGCGCTCGATATTACCGAACATCTGCACAATTTACTAATATATAAAAAATATTAATGTATTATACTTTTTATTTTTGCGTTCTATTTTTGGTGGTTACGCTCTTTTTTGCTTCTGTTGTTTAGTGGTTTCATGTTTTCTGGGTTTCCGTATTTTGTGTATTTGCAATTTGTGTTTTGAACTGTGTCTGAAGGGTTTTTGTAACCTGTATAATTGTGTTGCACACCCTAATATACGACTTTAATTAACGTTAAAGATCTACAGGCTGTTCAGTGTACGGCCCACTGCCAGTACGCAGTTAATTTAGATGTGCTTTACGAATCCATCTTTACCTTATCCGTTACAACAATAATCTGTTAGACTAAATCTATCTAGACTATCTTAAACCTGTATGTATATATGTCAAATCTATCTTAACTAAAAAATTTTAGTTCAATAAATTTGTGAGGTTCTTTCAGTCTCAAAGTTGGAGGAAGTATTGCATGATTAAAAAGGGTAAGTCCACGATATTGTTCTAGTCTATAAGGCTAAAAGTTCTATCGTTGCCAACTGTTTAAAGGATAGTTAGACAAAATAGAGCGAGTCATCAAGAGTTTAGAGAATTAAAGGATATTATAAACAGAGACCATTGCAAAAATTTAAACTAAATAATAGTGCACATACCGTTAAGCACTATTTATAGTTAGATTAACTAACGTAGACAAGCATCCAGAAATTTGTTAAAAAAATACTAAATTCTACTAAAATAAGGGTTATCTTAAAAATAAACAAAAGTTACTATTTGTTAATCATGATTATAAGACTATTATTCATAATACTCAGTTGTCAGAGGAAAACACTAAATCTATGCTCTTCTAAACTCATTTAGATTTTTTGTTAAACAAAATTCGGTTCCCAAATTAAAGTTCCTTTCATTAAAAACTATAATTAATATGTTAATAGTGATTACAAATTGTTTTAATAGCAATATACAGATTATTTCAGTTATAAGTGTTGAAGAATATATGATTTGTTTGGTAGTTACTGATTTCTTTCATTACAAAACAGAACTTATTTCACAGAAGTTAGGTATAAGAGTAAAACAATTATACCTGATTCTAGATAGCCCAAACCTTCACAATTACGTTTTTATTGGTTATTTATAAGTTTTACCACAAAAATAATTCACAAGTTAATTGTACTACTGTTCTTTTAAAAAAATATTTATAAAAGACGCATTACTAAAGTTAAATTGTACTCTAATAGAAATTTTATATCAATATTTAGTAAGTATACAAGCGAAAAGTTTAGTAATGCTAATGAACTCCAGAAAAACTTTTGTAAAGAAATATTAATAATAAGCTATTAGAAATTCATATTGGTTATATTTTCTTTTTTAAGAGGCTACATTACGCAACATTCAATCAGAATGGCCGTACATAGAAGAAGTTATGTAAAGAAATATTAATAATAATTTTTATATATTCATGGGGGTTACACTTTTTACTGTTTCTCTTTGAAGAACTTCATTTTATTTTTTATTTAGAGCTTCTTGCTTGCCATATCTTAGATTTTTTCACCAAGCCAAAAAATGGGGCCTACCTTACAGGGGTTACGACCGGTGCATAAGATAAACCATACTTAGATCTCGCCTTGCGGTTTGCAAACTCCAGTAACCCTCGTGGAACCCTGGAAGTCATAAACTATCCATTCACTTTGTCCCTAACGACGTAGGAAGTATTCGTAATGCTAGTGTTTCTATTAACTTTCTAATAAGAGAAATGCTCTTCGATTATATCGTTGAAATATCACCTCTTATTTTTTGTCACCTGTTGGTACCGACTTTGGAGGAAGGACCAGTTCTCACTATTTCATGGCCGCGTGACTTGTCTTTTTTACAAAGTATTTTTTACTTTTTTATTAATACTGATCTCGTATTGTAATAATTTTCATTATATATTACTATTCATACTTATATTATTATATATACTATGTTTGAATAGTACTATAGCTTAATTTTATCTAGAAAATTTTATATATTCAAGAGCTAACTGGAGTAACAAGCGCTACTGGACGGCACTTTTGTACATGTTTGTTCATAAGGTTTAATAACATTTTTTTTTTTGATTATTTAAGACTAAGCTTTCCTTTACTTAATTTTTTTAATTTCACCTTAAAGGATAAGCTGCATTTGTATACCAACTTGCTTGGATTATTTTTTGGTGGCTACACAGTTCACCAAGAATTGGGCTTACCAGGTCTTTTAATTGCCTACTTAGGGGGAGGTGCGCTTTCTTTATTTTTTTCTTATTACTTTAAATATGATAACATGTTAACCTTTAAGGTTTATAATGTACTATTTTAGATTAAGTAAAAGCTTTTATAGTTGTTTGTTTTTTCTATGATTTTCTGTTTCTTTTAAGGTATTGCGGGCGCCGTTGAGACCCGGTTTAAAGAGACTCAACTGAGCGATCGGCTTTCTCTAATACTTTACTTGAAAGGCGATTCCCTTATTACTAAAGTTTTCAGTGAACACTTTTAAAACTGTTTTTTTATATTATATAATATATATTAGTTTATAAATCTTTATTAGAATTATTTGGAGTCGTTATTGAGTTTCGTGATATTTTCTTACTTTTTTGCTTTATTAGTGGATTAATGAACTTTCTAAAAGCCTTTCTATCTTTATTGCTCCCCGGATTTTGGCTTACTGTACTTACGCTGGCGCTAGCTCCGGTAATAAAGCCGACATTTTATGTTTTAATATCGATAAATTTTAGCTGTACACACCATTACTGTAGAGTGTTACGATTTTTTACACAAAGACGCCATTGTACCAATTTTAAAAAGCACCTAAAGTCGTTCTGCAACGAACTATTATATATTATATTTCTTGAAATTTAATATTAATTCCGGGTGCACATTGTTATTGACAATGAGAATTCTCGTGTAAATCTAAAAGATTTTGCAGGATAGCTATAAAAGTTTTTTTGGGTTTTTTTTTGTCTACGAAATTTTATTAAATGATTCTAAATATAATAACCGCCAATATTATATCTTACATCCCCTTAAAAGTAACGGATTATATATCTTCACTGTTGCAGGTGTTTGTGCTGTTGTATCGTTGGAGCTCTGTTTAACGATGAAGAAAATGTATACTTTACTAGCCCGCCCGGCGGAACAACGAAATAAAAAAGGTAAAACATAGTTAACTTTTTTAATTTTAATTACTTTTATCAAGACGTTGTCTCCCGTGGAGGATATAGACTTTTAAGTCTTTTTTTTTAATAACATTTGTTTAAGTATACAACACTGAACGTTTATATAAATTTCAACAAGGAATTAGGTATATAATAAGATAATTTATTGTTGTTTAACTTCTTCGTAAGAAAAGTTCAATTATAATTCGGAAAAGTTTAAGACTTGCTTGTAAAAATTTAGTTATTAAAAACTAAATATTAATCGCTTTTCTTTTTATATTTAAAGGTGAACAGGATTATTTGAATTCACATATTTTTAGTACTATAATAATATAAGTTTTTTGATATCTAAGAAAAAAAGTTACATGAAGCATTTGTTTATTTATAATATGTATATTGTAGACAAGAAAAGATTGATAACTCTTTGCTTTAAGTCCGCCTTGAATCTGTTGGATCTTTTTAACATTATCAGGTTTAAAGTTATTATATAACTATTTTTTGAGGCTTTTTAAAAGTATTTGTTTTTTTTGTTGTTTCATAAGAGAATAAAATGTTTTAATTAAATTTTATTAGTTAGAATTTTAATAGCTTTAAGTACATAACAAAATTATATAAAGTGTTTGGTTTCAATAAAGATAAAATAAATTATAAACTTTTATATTATAAACTTTGAATTTTAAAAGATTAAATTTTCATTTAAAAGAGGAAGAATTTTATTTGCAATTTTGTGTTATTATACATTTAAAAAAGACTTATTTTATAACTTTCTTTTTCTTACTATAGTTTTTTTTGCATATATATAACATCCTTTCAGCATTATAGAAGTTTTTTATTGTACTTTTTAATATCTACTTTGGAAAACTTTTAAGTTCTTTAAATTTTATTTTTCTATTTTTAATAATTAAGTATTTAATTGTACAAGTTTTGGTTATTTTCTTGGTTTAGTAAAAATTCTGCAGCTACGGACGCCCTGGTAAGCTTATTATAATATAACAATCACTTTGAAAAAATATATAACTTGAGGCAGTTTTTAAAATGTTTTACTTGCTAGCTTATAGATTATTTACAAACTAATTATTATTTAAGTGGAAAAATTTTGATAAGTTGGAGAATTTCTTGGGTTATATTATTTTTGCTAAACTCTTTAGAGCATAATATTATTACTTCTGGTTTATTAGTTTCTACTACTAAAGCTAAGAGCGCCAATTTAGTGACATATGGTATTGATTTTGGTGCGCTTGGCTATTGAAGATTTAAGTGAAATACTTAATATATTTATACACTTTTACTGTATGTTTACTTTGTTAGTAGTTATAGAGTATTTAATTTATTACTTTTTTACGTTCTATATATAATTATTTTATATTTACTTTTCGGTGTTTGTAGGTATTCAGTGTTTGGCATAACTTTTCATAACACCGATTTTGATTGGGGAGCGGATCATGCTGGCCACACTCAAGGTCTTCTCCTATTGGCATTTACTATATTTTCCGTAGTTTTACCTCGATACCTTATTATATTTATCTGCAACTCTAGCCTTTTAGTTTCTTTATATTTTTTCATTATTTTTTTAAGTTCATTTTCTTTTATACAAGCTTTCATGCGTTGGTTATAATTATTATTTTGCTAAACATTTTTTGCACAATGAATTACAACGCTGTAGAGTCAGCCTGTTATGTGTTAAAACACTGGGCTGGTGAGAAACTAATAAAGTGAGGCGATAATTAGTAGTTGGTACTTCCACTAATTAAAAAGTCTGCAAGCTATGAATAAAAATTCATTTTGGAAATTAATAGCATATTAACTACAACGCGTCTCCCTTTAAGGATTTAACTTTTGTTGCCTATAAATTAAAACTTTATTTGCTTCTTTTTGTTTGGTCTGCTTTTATAGCTAATTATTTTATTTATTCATAGGAATAGCCTTTGGGCTGAGTATCTTTGTTCTCCGCCACTTGTATATATATGCATCGAGTGTGCTTTCTAATTATAATTTATAATCAAAATTGAGTTTATAGTCTTTTAATTCCGTTATGTTGATATTTATTTTTTTTATTATTATTAAATAAAGAAAAATAAAGAAAAATTTTGTTAGTGATTATTGCTTGTGGTGAATAATTTTTTTATAAGGGTTAAGGCTTTTGTATCTATTTACTATCCTTTAAAACTTTTAGAACTTGAGATGGTTAGCAGTATGCGTAGTTAAGAAGGGCTTGCTATAATTTTGTACCTAAGTAGCGCAGTATAGGAATTCTTTTAAAGGCTGTTGCGTTTCCCGGTATTTTTCGTTTTGCTGTCTATTCGCAGGTCGCATATCAGCTTATTGAGAAAGCATGGAAGAAATTGGTTATACAAATCACTTAAAGTAAATACACATCTATGATTGGTTTTACACTTGTTAATGGGTACATAATGTTTGTGATATATTATTGTGGATCGTTTTGGAAGTTGTTTATATGAAATGAGAAATATTGGTGATATTGCTATATATATTAATTGTAGTTCTCTGTCATTATAAATTTTTTAAACTTTTACGTACTTTATAAGAATTACAAGTGCAAGTAATTAGATTGGTTGGTCGAGGCTCCTTAGAAGCGACCTATTGAAGTGTTTAGTATTTATATACCTTTTGTACTGGGTGATTTATAAAACACGAGAGCGGCTTATGCACCGATAAACTTTTCGCTTGTATTTATTGCATAATGATATTAGTGTTTCCTTGGTATATAGGTGCCCGAAAAAGTTACGTCTTGTATAAGATTTGGTTCAGCCTTATTGCTATTTAATACATGATACTGTATAATTTTTTTATGTGACTAATGAGATTGGCTTAATTTTCTTACGTTTTATGGTTACATCTATATTCTTTTTTATTCGCTTGAAAGTGAGTTTTCGCTTAATTATTTAAGCTCTCCTATATAATCTCGCAAGCACCTCTTTATATATAAGGACGTGCAGTTAAACCAGTTGGGCGTCTGACCTGTTCTTGAAGAGGATTTATAAAAGATCACAAGGAGTTTACATATGTTACAAGAACTTTGTTTTCTCTTCTAAGAACTTTATATAGAGTTGCGATTTTATTAAAAAAATTAGTTGATAGGTTGTGTGATTAATTTTTTTGACTTCTAACAAATAAAGTTGCTTCATAAAATGCTATTTGTCTAATAATAAGTGTGCCATGGGTCGATATTGACTGTGGTTCTTCTTGATTGATTTCTCCCATTGGTAGACTTATACAGTTTATCGTTAAAGGTTTTTTTCTTCAGCAATTTTGATTTTTTTTAGAAAGGTAAGTTGATCTAAGTAGTTCTTCAAAGAAATGTGTTCAGAGGAAGCTTCTTGTATTTTTAATGGATATATAAATATCTTCATATCGATCATAAGAGCGTTTAAGAATTATAAGCGAATAAGTTAGCTCTTTAGTAAATGAATAAAACTAATCCTCTCTTTAGAAAGTTGTTCAAACGTTGCGTCATAGTGACAATTAAGGTTTTGCCATTTTTTTTCTTTGCCTGTTTCATTTAAGTAGGAAGAGTTGATAAGGCTGTTTATATTAATTTTAGTAGGAATTATTTGTTCGAGACTCTAGAAAGATTATTTTTTACATCAATTTTGTAAGCTTTTGTATAGAAGGCTACTGTCTTAATGACTCCTAGACATTTTTTCCATAATAGGGCTACTTACCACTTTTGTATAATGTGTGTCAGTAACATACAATTATCTTTTAAATTGGGTTGTTAAGATGGTTTGTATAATTGATTGTATTTGGCGTGCAGGAATAAAGGTTACTAAAGTAAATTTTAATTTTTTTTTGGGATTAATCCCATTCAGCAATTTAAAAACTACCTTTTACAATATTATATTTGTCGCGACGGTTGAGTGTCCAGCATTTTTCGGGTAAAAAATAGTCTCAAAAGTGGATGTTCTTCGCTGCAAACTGTACACTTTGAGTTCTCTTCCGTTTTTAGTGTTTTAAGGTCATAATTAACACATTTAATGCAATATTAAATAAAAGTCAGTTGACCATATATCTATTATCAGCAGCAAAAGTTTTAGAAAATATAACTATAATTTTGAGGGTTCACCTAAAGTTGATTAGTTACAATAAAAAGAAGTATTATATATTTATTTTTCCAGGAATTAAAATTCTGGGGAGTAGGTACCAGTCGTATGGGATCTCGAACTCTAATTTAAGTTGTTTTCAGTTAGTGTATTCCTAGTCTCACAAAAACTTACGTTAGGAAATTTGACAATTCGTTTAAGGTTAAAATATAGTGTTAGAGAGTAGAAGTACCTAAACAGGGCTAACCGCTCTTGTAATATATATTTTTGGAAAAGCAAATAATCGAAATGGTTCAAATTTGTCCTTATATTTATTTATAGAATCAGTGTTACAGTTGTCTTCATGCTCATTATATATTGATATTCTTTACAATACTGCCTGTTTAAAATTTTTACTGTCATTAATTTTAGAGACGTCGGGTTATTATCGTTATTAGTTGTAATTATCTTTGTCGCCCTTAAAAGTAGAACTTTAAAACTTGTATAAACAATTATACGGGAGGCTCTTCATACCTTTGGTACTGCCATCTTGCCATATAGACATTGGTAGTTCATTCCAAGTACTACATCAGTATAGGGATATTAATGAATGTGCGCTATATCAGTTAAATATAACTAACGCCCTAAAATAAACGTACTTTATCTTCCCATAAGTTGTGCACAAACATAGCATCCAAGTAAGCTAAGATAAATTATTAGAGCGAACACTCATAAATAATAGTTCTGCTGCGACACAACACCTAATTAATAATATGGTAAACTAGTTTCAAAAGTCTATTGCGATTATCCACTGAAGATTTTCCAAGAAAAGTTGACAGGCGCTTTTAGAAAGTCCCTAATGATCAACAAATAGAAGGGCGCTGCCCTAGGAAATTCACATTCCACTATTATGTTTATCATCACCTCGAAATATTTTAATCAATACAAAAAGTAAAGAAGTTATATAATTAAGGCCAGACGGCACCTTACACGCGAAACTATGGAATAGATACAGCTAATCGGGAAGGACCTATTAACAGCAGGGCACTTCCCCTGGTAGTTTCGTCTAGCAGTTTCTTAACAACCAACCCAGACGAACATTACTCTACCTGATTGGCTGCTAAAATTACCACTGTCCACCAGGATGCTGTCTTTTCGCCCATATTAAACACGTATCAGTTTGTAAGTTAGATACTAGTATATTCTTCCTATAATGTTAGATACAGCTATACCATTAATAGTACTTATATATATTTGTTTATCATACCGAAGTAAAAAATAATTATTAAAATGGATGGGCTCACCGAAAAGCGTTACGAGAGACAAATTCAGTATTGCCTTATACTTATTGTTTTTCCTTCACACTGTATAGCATACGGCTTACCTTAGCTTTTAAGAAATTTTAATAAAATTATATTTTAATAATTAATAAACTGAGCGCCTTTTGAAATAGTTAATGTTATTATTATTAGTAGCTTATTACTTATAGCAAATATGAATTGAAGATTTTTTATGTAATTTGAAGATTATGGGGCGTTCAAGGTCAAACATCGCTTAGAAATTCTAAAGTCTGCTTGATAAATGCCGACGCAACTGGAACTGAAGCCCTCAAAAATTTAATTTTAGCAGGTTTATATTTTATTCATCTTTTCTTTAAAACGTTTCTTATAAAAGTAACCGCTAAATACTTTACAGTTAAACTTTTATTTTAAAGTACAGCTTTCATATATTTTTTTTAATATTTAATTTAAGAATCAATTTTTGGTTTCTACGTGTGATCAATTTTTATTTATTTAAATAGAATATATACTCTAAATTAAAACTGAAAAATTCGGTTGCTTAAATTTTTTGTTAAAAATTAAGGAGTTGGTTCTTTTACAATTGTGGATGACACGACAGTTAAGGAAGTTGACTACGGCAACAATTTTTTCATAGCAGAGGTAAATTAAATTTACCACATCGGCAAACCGTACAACTTAAATATTAAAAGGGTAAGCTTGATCATTCTAGGGCCGAATGCACTTACGAGTTATTGCAGGAGCTAAATCCCGAAGTTACTGGAAACTTTATTTCCGAAGTTTTTTTTCGATTGTTGCCTTATTATTAAATTCTGTTATGATGATCTTCGATTTATTAGGGTGTTTTAACCATTTTAAAGACCGAGCCAACTTTTTTTGATAAATTTTCTTTGGTAATTGGTGCTAACTTAACAGAGAGGTTCTCCCTGCTCCTCGAGATCTCCTCTACATGTCTTTTTATTATAAGTAGAATTCTACAATACGTTGGGAGAGATTTATGGGACAAAAACATTCCGCTTATACTGGTCTTTGCTTATGGGATGATCGCCTACGTCCGTATAGTCCACGCTCTTCACACTGGTTTTCCTGCATTCATTCGGGCAGTGTTTGAGATTTTTATATTACTTTTATAAGTGGTCCAAGGGCATGTGGATAACCTTCCCCACGACTTTCAGTGCGATGCCCCATTTCCGGCTCTGAAAAAATTAATTACCACTACCGATCTCGGTATCAGGCATTTTCGGGGGTAATTTTCAAACTCGAAGTCCTTATTTTTACTTAAAAGATTCGCTTGACTCAACGCAACTTCGGGATGTGCCTTATTTATTAATTATTTTGTTTTACTTAAAAAAATGGCTTGAATTGGTAAAATGTGAGATCAAAATAGTTGCAAAGTTATGTAAGGCTCGTTTGCAATAGCATTCCGGTCGACCTCCCGAAACAAGAATAGAAAAAGATGAGTTTAAAAAACTTATTCAAGAAGGTTTATATAGTTTGCTTGATCATGTAAGATTGAAAAAGTCTTCTATTATAATACGTTATTTTACTCGAAAAGGTGGCAAGAAATTTTCTGAAGGCAACGAAGTGAATTTTGAGGAGGCCTTCTCCTTTGCTTTTTACGCTTGGCGTCGTTCAGAAGTACAACTAGTCTTTTTTTGTTTTTTCCCAATTTACAACGAACCTTTTACTTCCGAAGATCCCGTCAAACGTTCTCGAGGTTTTTAGGCATCCGTGCTGTGATAGTCTAACCAAAAAAGTAAAAACTTTGCTTCTATTATCAAGTATCCTACTGCGGAGATTGTGTAATTATACGCTGTTCATGGGAATCAGCAATATATTAGATGCTTTTACGTGTCGCACGTGTAAAAGATTAAAGTAGGGAAGGCTGCCCAAAACTTGTTTTTCTGTTATTAGAGCGACACATTTTGGTTCCTAGCGCGGGCCGTCAGGGACTTCACTTTCTACGATAACAACGGTCGTTTACCATTGAGGTTGCTCAAGCGAAGTGTCCTTCGATCTCTACAAATAACTTTTCATCAGAGGTGTGCTGCCCGATATGACGGCGGGAACGGCCAACTACAGCCAGCTACTACTGCTGTACATTGCAGTATATTTGACCATGCTCAGTCTTTCTCCACTCAAGGTCGCTTCAGATACCAACAAGAGGCAGTTAAACACGCATCGATGGTCTCCGCAAGGGTTCACAACCTGCTGCTTCGCTGCGGTCTCGTAAGTTAGCGCTTTAAGACACCGTCGTTATATTAATATTTAGACGAAGCCAGAGGACTATATTGATGACGAGGAGATCAAAACGATCTGCGAAAACTCGGCCACTTTAAAGTGTTTTGAAGGTATCTCGCATTATCATTCCTCTTTGGTTTCAACAGTAACGAGCTTAGTTAGGTACATCCCTTCAGCATGAAGAAGCTCGTTTAGACGACTTTAATGTACAGCGTAAGTTTATTTAAAGCGGAAATTTCTAATTTTATAGGTAAATTGTTATTATTGAGGATAGCCGCAGAGGTTTTTTCCTGGTACTTCTGTCTAAAGGCGGCTCGTTTCTTTCAGCGTAGATACGGGCACTCTCCTGGTACACCAGCCAGCCCGGTGCGTTTATACAAAACAAAAGTTATCATTTAATTTTGAAGGAACGGGGACTAGCAATTATTTAGGCGACTTGCTGACCCTAAAGAGTTGTCTTGCGGAGGTGTATTTTTTGTCCTGTTGAAATATAAACATTTTTATTCTACTCACTAAACTCTGCTTGAAGGTTTTGAACGAAATGAAGTCGAATAGAAAAATAGAAGACGAATACTTAATTGAACTGTAAGTTTGGTTTTTTAGTATTTGTAGGTTGATCCAATAATTTTCTGGGCGTATAGTTGCCGCTTTGGAGCGAGCGAGATTCACAGCGTGGCAGCGTGCGCCAGCGGTTTCGTACATATTATCATTATCTTTTTTTATAAGCTGGTTTATGGGAGGGGTGCAACCAGGCATCGCTGCACAGGAGGGGATAAAAGTTCTCACCCGCCAGTTCTACCCCCTGAACAACGCACTGATAGTGGACACAGTAACCGGGCAAGCAGTCTCCTTCAGAGTGTGACTGGCTAATTTAGGCAATAAACTTCCTATTCGCTACTTTTATCTCTCGCTCACGACAATGTCCAAGTGGAAAGTCTGCGAAAGTGCGTCCAACCTCTCTGAGGCGACTTCTGTGCCGAAGAGGATAATTTTTTCTAGGGAGACGCACCGCTTTAAAATGGAAAAGAGGTCGTCCTTCCTAAAGGGACGAGTTATAAGAAGCTGGCGTACTAACACCAACAAAAAAAAAACAGTAGGACCCCACTCTGGTGTAGGACAAGTCAAGAAACTTTAACGTGACGGGAAGGGAACAATTCTATCATAACAATTTGTAGTTGTAGTGCGAGTAAAGAAAATAAACAAAAAAGCAACCTTTTGAGGGAAGTAAGTATTAGAAAGATTAAGAGAAAAAAGCGTGGTGTCGTTGAGCGCGGTAAAGTCTAACAAGCTGATGTTAAAGGCGTTGCTAAAGTGTCTCAAGTGGGGCAATCTAATAACAATTATTTATTAAGCGAGTGCTAAAATTTTGTTAACAAAGTGGGATGCCTTGAAAGAATTACTCTGAGATATTTATCAGAAAAATTTAAACCGTCAATTTCTAAATGCTTTAAATTGCTAAGTTCAGGAAGAGACACACTTAAATAATAATAATACGTTATAATAAATCCATAGAGGTATCAACAGAGGCGTGTCACCATAAATCCAAAACTTTTAGCCTCGTCCAGTTCATTTGAAGACTTTCCACATTCCTTAACTTCTTCAAGTGAGTGACTTGAATGCGACATTTAAGTAGGCTAGCGTCCAAACTTTCTAGTCCTTCTATGCTACATATGAAGTTTAAACCTGCGGCAGCCGATTCAGATAACTTTCTAATAAGGGAGAGCTTAACCTATAGGTACCGTTCTCAGTGATACTCCAGCCTCTTACGCCTTTAATATTTTAAAAGGTAAAGCAACGGCAACCATTTTATACCAAAAAAAAAAGTAAACCCAATTTCTTAAGATCTACAAAGTTTGTGAGATATTTAGCGGTGGTATCATTTAATTGTCTAAAACTATTCTAAGCAGAATTAAATGTTAATTAATTACAGAATAAAAACAAATTACTAGAATAAGGGTATCAAAACAACGTTTCTTCGTAAAAAAAGATGTAACGTTTTTTAGCACGGTATTAGGCCTAATTAAAGTTATGTTCGGGTTAAGTAAAGAAAGTTCTTCCCAGCTAATATAGTCATACCCAGATAACTGCAGATGGCGTAACTCATGGAACTCACCGACAATTTTCAAATCTATACAAGGCGAAGTAATGCTCATACATTTAATTTCTGTTAGCCTTAAATTTTGTGACAGCAAAAGCCTTTTATACTATTTATTGTATAATATTAAGAAAATATATACTTAATTAGACCTTAGTAGATTGTTAGAAAGTTGTATTGTGGAAACTAAGCTCTCAAACAAAAGATTGGCTACTTTAACAGGAAGAGCGCTTAAACTTGTAGGGTTAAAAAGGTAAGATGAAAAAAGAATAGTCAAAAAATAGAGCAGACTTTATATAAATATGTATTTTGCGTTTGAGAGCCTCCAAAGAAAGGAAAAATAAAGTTTGCATCTCACCCGAAAAAAATAGTACAAAATAACGCCAGTTGTAGAACTATAGCGGTAGTACGCATCCCCTTAAAAAGCTATTACAAAACTATATGGCCGGCCCAGGGCTAGCCTCCAAAGTTTCGTGACCACTTTAAGAGATGGGGGACGGGAATTCTCCGTTAAATGAGACAGTATTTGTTATACATGTTGCTCCATTTTACTGTTTAATTCAAATTAACACTAATTAATAGCATATTATTGACCATAGTTATTAGATTCACTTTCTCTTTAAAACTCTATCTTTGCATTTTTTTTTCCATATATAATTTTAAGCTAATATTGATTTCATCTAATATCCGTATTTTTGCGTTAGCGCGTAACCAGATTCACAAAATTAAATTTAAAAACTGTGCATCCAATTAGCTCGCATATTATTAAGGTGCCTATTAAGTTGGGCAAACAAAAAATTGTAAAAATAATATATAAAAAATTCGGAGCACAACTTATAAAATGTGAATCTGAAAGAACAATTTATCCCTACGATACCCCTAGCCTTTGTTGGTAACTATTTACTATTGACATAGTATAAAGGTAACTTATATCTAAGACTGTCCATATAAGCAAGATCTTTAGTCTTGGGCGTCTACCAGACCACAGGTGCATTTACTATGTCAGGGGGGCAGACAATAATTCTGGTAGATTAATAGTAGCTCAGTTCAACGACAAACTGTATAATTAATAGAATAGAAACGTAAGTATAACTACGCCATTGTCTACTATAAGGGTAAAGCAAACTCCCCCTCTTAAAAGGCATCTAGCACCTTTCAATATACTATCGCCAATGAAGGTTTTGCTACTACTGAGAGCAAGTCTATCAATCTGGGGGTTACATCGTATTATAGTTCACCTTTGCTGACCTTAAGTTTAAGTACATGTATCATGCGTAGTTCATATCCGGTGTTGGTATTTGTAGCACAGTACTCTTCTAGCATTCAATGTTATCTCGTCTCACAATACTAGGAAGCCTCGGCTCATAGAAGATCACTGGCATTAAGACAACGCCAAATCTGAAAGTTACAATTTTAATCCGTATGAGGTTGGACTGTAACCTAAGCAAAACTAGTTTTGTCGAGATGGCCCATTCGTCAGATGCAGAAGTGACCAATACAGGCGCACGTCGGGACTACGAGCTATCTTGTGAAAATTAGATTTGGACAATCTAATGCAAAGCCTAAATATGGACATCCTTGTTATTTTTTAAAATGTAAAAGAATTTAAACAATGCTGGATAACATATTAAATGTATATTTAAAGCAAATACAAATCTTTGAATATGCCCTCCTCTTTCGTTTTATTTTTTGCTCTCTTGGTTTTTGTCTTTTTTTTTTCGTGTACAATTTGTTCTTTTATATATTCTCCCCTTTATCTTAATAGGTTCCCAGCCAAGCTTTATTTACAATTATGTCCTTTCAAAGCGCCACTTACGCATCTGTAGTAAGTAAATTGAAGTTAGTCAAGGACTGGGCAAAGTGGAGTATTTACTTAGAATCCTAGCTGATCAGTTAAGATGCTATTGGAGCAGTTATTGATACTAAGTATTGCGATAGGAGGAAACTCGGATTGGCATGGCACGCTATTATTTAAAGCATTAATCCGAGTTTAATGAATATCGTCCGGAGATACGCAGCTTGGACAGTTGGGTAGTTTTACGAAGCCATTTTTCAATTTTTGTACAAGTTTTATGTTGTCACAGAGGGCATGGTTTTCACTTTAGAAGAGGTGTTTGTGAACATAAAGAAATGGATGAAGAAGACGTCAGATAATTAACTGGACCGCATAAATGTCTCAAGCCCCAGCATTGAATTTCAAGACAAGGTTGCAAGGATTAGGGAAAGTATGAAGCTTATTAGACTTCGGGAGCCCTACCACATGATGGTGTAGGGGCCTCCTTTAAGTAGATGGTATTAATAACCGAAATTGTTCTGTATCTAAATTAAGCTAAGAGGGAGTCGTAGCCTCTGCTATTACGTGGGAGATCATATCTCAAGAGAAGTATTTGATACATTAGGCTGTGCAACCTTGAGCGCAAGCTTGTCAAAGCTGTCCATAGAGAAGAAGGACGAAGGATCTAGCAATAGTATGACAAGTGACAATATTACAAAGGCAAGGCTTACGAAAAAATTAAAATGTTTTAAGTGTGGAAAAGCTGGGCATATACCAAGGCAGTGCAGGGCCGGGGGTTGAAAGAATCCTCTTAAGCGGGGAGCTCTCAAGTTCATATTGACTCAAGTAAAATTTATTTGGATACGGATGCGAGTTGCCACATACTTAACAACATAAGACCCACGAATGAAAGAGTCATGAGCATAAAAGGTCATATACCGGCCTTAGGTGTCGGAAAATTCTATAATATGAAGCTCTCCATGTACCTACTGCGTCGGAGAACCTGGTTAGTGTGGGACAACCGTGTGACGAGGGTAAATTAGTAATTTTTGATCCTACTGAAGGAAAGAGGCAGAGCTTCGCTTGCGAAAATAGTAGCACAAAGAAGATAGAAACTAGTTTTGAATAAGATTTAGAGTAGATATACTACATGGTTTTGCTAACAAGGGGTGTAAACCAAAGTGGTTCTTGGATGTGGTGCAGGATACTCAAGTTGTAGATGGAAGGTCACATACACCGTTATATTTGACCACGGAAATATTATAGGTAAAGAAAAAAGTGAAGAAATACAAGAGCCTAAGAATGGCAAAGTTGCTATCGGCTAGTGTATAAGATCGCCTTCGGAAGCTATGTTCTCCCGGGATGAGGGCCTCCATAGCTTAATCGGTAGAGCATTGCTAATCTGAAGTACTCTAAACTGGTAAGCAGGCAATTGTTCGCTCATCATCCAACTTTGGGTGATGCGTGAAAAATAGATAAACGTCCTTGGAAATTATATCTCTCCCTTGGTTTTTGCACCCCTCTTTGCGCTCTTGACACTAGTTTGCTCACTATGGGAAGAAGAAGGCTCACATCTTAATATTTCGTAGTTGGTCATGTCGACTATGTAAGTTCAACTAGCACCGGCCACATCCTCAGGAAACATAATTTTTCCGTCAATTTTTTCTAAGTTCACTTTCGAAGATACGTCATGCCCTAATGTCTTTAATGACGCCTCTTTATTAGTTCGCATGCAACATAACACATGCTTTATAAGCAACATAATTCTGTCGTTACCGTGTGAGCTATGAACATCATTTAGTTACCTGACCTTAGTAAGATCGAAATTCTCGTTAACTCCTGCGTGATTTGAATCCCAAGCCTTATTAGAAGGTACTAAATTGTCAACCTCTGTAGAGAAGTTAGAATATTTATAAAATAGGTCTTTTATCTCAGAAGACTTAAAGAGGACCTCCATTCTAATTAGTGACTAGGATAATTCTGTTAATTAGAACTTCAACTATCGCATGGTGCGCTTAAGTTTGCCCCAGAGAGAGCCCAGTGCAAACGCCATAAACATGCTCTTTTGTGGCTGAAAGATCCTATTTGGCGTTCTTATACAGGTTTACAACACTAGTGGTGATAGAGGCCAATCCAATCATCAATTAATGGAAAAAAAGTTATTCTCCTGTGAAGGCCAGAAGGGAGTTGTGCAAGCATCAACTTTCCTATTTGCCACAACAATGGCACTAATGCATGACAAAAAAAAAACAGTCTAAATGGGAGTGCCAGTGGCAGTACAGAATGCTTTCATGACTTGTTTTTTCAGATCAGCTTAACCCCGGAAATTATAGCTACTTTCATTGAGCAACTAAGTTTAAGGTAACCGCAACGGTTGCTAGAGGATTAAGTAGACCGATAATGACTTTTAACACTATCATCACAATTCTATCAGCGTTCACTTCTAGTTTCTTCAACGCTTCTTTCAAGAGTTGAAAATCTTTAATTTCTTTACTATGAAGGTAGCGTAGAAAGAATTGCTACGCTTTAAGGCAAGCTTTGTTGAAACCAAAGAGCCAACCGTTACAATAGCTGGCACTTTCTGTAGCCAAGGAACCATCACATATCTCATGAACCCTAAAGCGCAATCATAGCTGCATTTAACCAAACGAACGATAATAATCCTGATTTCAAGTTATCGCCAGATAATTTCTGATTGCACTGCCTAAACAGCCATGTTTCTTACATTATTATTGTAAAATGGTTAAGTTATTATTGCGGTAACATATTCTGAGATCCTGCCAAATTTAAAAGAAGGCAATTTGCTGTTGGACATTATTATCTTTATAATATATATATCTGTATACCATTGTCGGTGAAGCAGTTCGGTTTTGCATTGCACTTTCTTGTCATTTGCTGTAGTTTTTTAAGACCCCAATCTATAAACTATAGGGCTAAAGCTGAAAGGAGTTATAAAATATATTAACAAGTAAAGCCTCAAGGGCATAGAGGTATGCCTCATGTTGTAATAAACAAACACACACCAATACAAATATACTCCGTAAACCAGTAAAATGTCACTAGCAGAATAAAAAGTCAATAATTTTTAAAACTGCTTGTTTGCTTTGAGGCTTGGATGCTTGCTCGTTTGAGTGATAAAAAATGACCAGCAATACTAGATTCGTAAGAGAGGACACTCTTGATAGTATGTTTGCCCTCAACTTGTGCACAATTTTTTTTTTTTAATCTTGTCTCATCACTAAGCAATGTATTTAGTAATTGAAAATATTTCTTAGCACACAATAAGCCCATAATTAATTCGTTAATAAGTATGCTTGCTATAAAACAATTGGTTTGCTTAGCCAAATACTAGATTTAAACTAGTGCCTTATAATTACTAAACAAGTGCCTCAAGTTAAGTTACCGATTTATTTTCCAATTTAATTCTAAAAGGCTCCGAGCTTGTATTCAGTTCCTTCAATATACTCTTTTGAGAAAGATTATTGAACCTTGTTTAAGTGCTTCATATTTGTCTCTTCAATAGGTGCGCTACCTCGAAGCTTATTGCTAAGTTTGATGTAGAGTTTAGATTCCTTTCCTTGTGCCATACATTTTTTTTACGCTGGTTTTCACTGATAAGAGTAAAAAGACCTTCTCAGTTGCCTGAATATTCACCCAAAGCATATATAGCACTTAGTATAATGAGCGTAGACTTTAAAATCGTAGAAAATCATCCTTTCAATAAGCTTTTATTAAAAAAATCAATTTTTTCTTTCTTTACTTAATTTTAAAGCTCTAACATCAAATTAGTTTAATCCCAAAAGTAACTATCACATTTCAACTAGCGTATGTTTAAGTAAATTGGGTCGTCTTTGAACGACTTTTAAAAACTAGTCTTGGTTTTCCTGTGTTACTCTTTACAAAGTAGCTCCCACTAAATCCTTCTTTTTAAAAGGTCACTACGACTAGAGGAGTTGTAAAATATTACTTTGACTGCTTTGGTCGCGCTTTACATAAGCATAAAGCTGAAGCAGCTCTTCTCGGGCACGACATCAATTAATTGCAAAGGTATTTTGCTTTTTATACAACCAGACTTATGGCAGTGTTTAAATTGTCATATCCATTTCAACCCATCTATATTGTAAAAGATTTACTAACTACTGTACTAGTACCACTATACACGCTTTAAGGTGTTTTTATTAATAGGTACTTCTTTGGTAAATAAAAAGTGAGACCTGTTTAGTACTCCAATGACTTCTGACTAACAGCTAACATTCATTCTCTTGCCGAGTTTCTTAACACTTACAAACTTGATATCATAGCCTTTGGGTGAGGTTATACACTAGAATCAGATAAAAAAAAAAATTTCATGTTTCTTAGTAAACAAGAATATTTCACCTCAAGATAATTTTGTCTTTATATAATTATTAAGTATTATACCTAAAATTATTTGGCTAATGTTATCGATTAACAAAAGCTAGAATTGGCATGATAAGATCTTTTCAGATCTCTTGCATGTTTTTACGCTTGCCTCTTCTGATTATTTATAAAGCGGAACTGTTACGTATTTTTTATTATAGATATTTTCGAGCTTTGGTTTCCCCGATTTTTTGTTTATTGGAGTTCTATAAATTTTTTTCTCCATTATCTTAGCCATAATACAATCTGAGTTCATTCTTTTTCATGCAAACCTTTTACTTAAACCAAAAACAAGTACGTTATTAATTTGATTACCACAGGGTTATTTCTTTATTAATAAACATTCCTAATTGAATAATGAAGGAACTAGCTATTAAATCTTAATTTGGTAATTTGATGCTTTTCCCTAGACATTTAAAGTTCTTGCCGCTACCAAAAAGTTAGTCGTCATTTAGGCAGCTGAGGAAAGATTAGAATATTTTAAGTCTATTGAAGTTCATTAGTTCATTTGACTTGCTTTACTTAAGATTTAGTTCAAGCATTTTCAATAATTCGCTGACTCATTACGCAAGAGGTATTAGGTTTCCTGTTCAATTTCATTCTTTTCAGGGTCTCTTTAAAAGTTTTTATATTTAAGAATTATCCTACAATTTTGTGTATTAGCTAAATTCCTGCCACAAATATCAGCTGTACTGCATATACGCATCTTTCAAGTATTCAAGGCACACCTTATTTACACCAAAAAATAACAATTATCTCATTTGAAGTCTCGAAGAAGAAGCTGCAATAGTTCTGCGTCTTTTACGATTGAGAACGTTAATAGGAGCACTACCCGTATTTTTATCTACACCATCTTTTTGATCACGAAAGAGCGTTTTTATGTCTGATTAACTATATAATCATTAATAGCGTTTATATAACTGGACTTCCTAGTTCAATTAATGTTTTAGAGTCAGTATTTATACAACTGGTTTTATTATTACTATTATTTTTACTTAATATTATCAGCGGTATAAGTGAAGTAATTATTATTGAGGGTAACATTTTTAGCATTATCCTTGCTATCCTATAAGCATCTTTGAACTTCCTTGATTTCCCTTATTAATTGGATTTAAGTTGTTAAAGTATTCTCAGAAGGGTCACACCCTTCAACCTCTTCTAAATTTCTTCTTTGACACCGGTAGATTGGCGTTATCTCTTAAGTGAGAGAGCCTTAATATGCCAAGTGGCATAGAGCAGCTCTTTAGGAAAAACTTGACACAAGAAGCTAAATAAATTACGAGAAAATTCTCTATAGTGAGTAAGGTTAAAATAAACTTAATAAGAGAAGCATTCAAAGTTTATATTGCAAATTCTTGATTCTTGAATTGCTGAGGTCACATTTCAACAATGTAAACAGAACTGGGTACGCCTTAAGAAGTGGGTGGTATAATTACATTTAACGTAAGAGATGGGTTGAAGGAGGTCTTACCAGGGTTATTAAAACATTTTGCCCCAGAGAAATTATGTAAACCAAAACTAATTAGTTTGATAGATCCGAAATACAAATAAACAGAATTTAGAAAAACTCACAACGAGTGTGATAAGAGAATGTGATATGACGATTCTATACCCACCTGCATATGAGGAAAATAAATTAAAGCAATTTTTTTAACTGCGATGACACCCTTATACACCAGCTATACCAAAGTTTAATACCATTTTAGCTACATATATATTGTATAATACAAAAATTATATTTGGGGATATAAAAGTCAAGGAATATAACTATAACTTTTTAGTGCCGTGTCTGTCCTCTTGAACTAACCTTCCGCTTGAAAAGAAGGAACCGCAAGTACGAAATTTAAAAAACAAAAAAATGGTCAGCTAACAGCACTGACTGGCCAAGCCTTTCTCGGCCTCTATAAATTTTAAATTAATGTTAGCAAACTTTTTTTAATAGTATCTTTAAATTATTATATTAGCCCAATCTTTAACTCAGCTAATTTTCTTTTCTCTCTTCAGTTTTTTTATTTGACATAGTTGTGCTGTGAATGTTATTAAAGAAAACGTCCTTTTAACCAATGCTATCTTAATTGCATGCGGCCCTCCACGAAAATAGTGCAGGCGTCCATACTTTGACCCACTGTTTATGGGGTTATATATCTAAAGTAAATTGCAAGCCGAGCTTCTGTATCCTAAAAATGGGAAATAATTTACAACTGGATATTTTAGATGATTTGTTCCAAAATAAATCTATAGGGGAGATAAATGTATATGAAAAGCTAGTAAGGTTAACAAAAAAATATTTATTTTTATTATAACTGTTGTAGAATTTTAAAAGTTATTGTACGCTTTATACTATTTTAAAAAAACAAACATTAAAAATATTAAATTACGTAATCTTTAGAGGGAAAATTGAAGATAAAAAAAAGTGAACTTCGGAGACTTGTAGGGTATGAAAAAACTTTAGTTGTAAACTTAATAATTCAAAACTATTTAAAAAAAACTTCTGGCCTCTTTTAGAGAGCGCTATCGTGACTTGATAGAGGCATCGGATTCCATAATTAGGATGGAAGAAGTTTCCTAATTTTCAATTAAGAAAATATATTTTTCCTCTTTAACCATTTTCAGATCTCAGTAAAACTAGAAGAATTGATGACTACTACCTCGGGACTGTTCACTAACCACCTTGACTTTGTTACATCTTTGCAGTGAGTCTTAACGCTAACACCATCTCTAATCTTTAATTATTGAATAATTTCTAATTAATCTCCAGATCAAGTAAGGGGACAGGTCCTATTAACGCCTTTAAAGTTGATAGTGGTTTACTTGTTCAGGCACTGTATTTTTTCTTTTTATAAAGTTTAATTATAAAGATATCGATGGCCAGGATGAAATATCGTTTGTCACCGCCTTAGAAATGAAATATTTATTAGATCTTCCGGATCTTATCGCCGAAGCACTCGAACAGAAAAATTTAACCGCAGCGGCGATATTGTTTGTTTTTTATGAATAGAGAAGTTATAACTACTAACAGTTAGGACAACTTATTGTTAAGGTTTTTAACGGAAACTCCTATTGCTAAATTTTTACTTGACGGTTCTCTCTATAACGAAACTTTACTTAAACGGTTTCCTTTTATTCCTTTACAATGCGATGCTCTCTCATCAGTTAAATTGGTGAGTGGCGCCTGCTTACTAATTTTTTTATATATAAGAAATATCCTGCTTACTTTATTACTATAATATGTATGGAAAGGCTATCATCAACAAAGGTACTTCGCTGGTGAAGGGAGAGTCAGGTTATAATAACCTTAACTTTGTGTTATTTATTCGTGATTCTTAAGTAAAATCTGTAGTTTATATTTTTCTATATGGATTTTTTATATATATAGGTATTTATGTTTGTAATTGCCCCACTTTTAAAATCAGAGTAAGCGACTTTATAACTTCTTTATAGGTAGTGTTACAAAAACTTGCGACTTTTTAGTAGCGCTCGCTTTACTACAAGGGACTGGCCCTCGGGAGGTTATCGTTAGACTAGTATCGTTTAAACACTCTATGATACCAGTTTATGCTTAAGCAGACCTTTCAAACACTATTAAGCAACCGTCTTCTATTTCTACAGGAGGTCGTCCTTAATAATTCAAGTACTTTAAGCATAATTATGAGTTTATTTTTTATATACTGTTTTCATCAGGCTCGTCAGCGTTGGCTCAGTGTTTAAGGTGTATTGTTAATACTGTCCTGGATTCCTTTCTTATGTTTTTCAAAGTATTGCTGCGACCCATGTCGCCACTTTCTACCTCCATTTTGCTTGTTTGCAGGGCTTCTACCGCACAAAACTAACAGAGGCATTGGCTACGCCAAGGAGAGAAGTGCTTCTTCGCCATTTTCCCGACACTCTTTATGCGACGCACTATGAAGAACTTTGTAGTGTGGCCCCGTGGCTTGATGAAGGAGTTAATGCTCTATTAGGCAGCACTCAAAAAGAAATTCTCAAGTTTTCTTTATTTCTGATACGTCTGCTCTTGTGTAGCGTATACTCACCATCAGTGGACGCATGGGAGACGAAGAGACGCGTCACTTACTAAACACATGGCTTTCTGAGTGCGTGAAGCTTGCGAATAAGTTCGTTCCCGAAATGTTGGTACAGACGCCTGTGTCCCCCCCCTCCCCTTATTTTTATTATATGCCATTTATATCAAATTTTTGTTAGAAAACTGTTTCTTCCTGTAGTGAATTATACCGTATAAATAAACGTCTTCAAACGGAATATTGGGCTCTTGCAGTTGGTAATACATATGAGCTTGAAAGTATTTTTACTTTTGGTAAACTTAATAGAATTTGAACGGTGTGAAATTGGAAATTTTTTTTTAGAATTAAACGACGAAGCAAAGGTTCATATTGCTGCTAACTTCTTTACAATCATATAACTGTTGTATCAGTATGATTGGGATTACATTTGCAACTGTGTGCTTGGCTCTCAGTTCGATATTCTGCTGCGGCTCTTCCGGCCTCATCTTCTGCACCGTTTAAGGTGGTACCTGAACACGTGCTTGAACCTTTTTTTTGAGCCTACTCGACTACAGTTGTTCAATTCATCAAAAGTTTGCAGCGGTGGCTCAAGCAATTTCATCAGAATTGGAGCTTCTCTTTCGTGAGAGTGGGAGTTCCAGTTGGGATGTTGGAAGGTTTAAAGCCCCTATTCCGTTTCCTATGTCGCCTGCAAAACTCTTCGACAGCTTCTGTTGCGAAGATGGGAGTGACCTGGAAGTCGTGCTTCCCTTCGAAAACTCTGCTTCTCCCAGCAACTACAAACTTCGCAACTTCTCTACGCTCACTTTAAAACGTTCGTAGCTCAGTACTTTAGTAGTTATAAGTTCTTAGTTACTTGTAAGATTTACCCTTTAGGGCTTGGCCTTAGCCCACCCCTTCAAAGACTTTTGCTTCTATTTGACTCTCGCCTTATGCCTATTCTGGCTGATGTTCTCGACATATCCGCTGGAGAAGACTATGCTAACCCTCCGGAGGAGCCAATTGCAAGCAGCTCGCACATCGCCAGCCTCGTACGGGAGGCGTGTTTAGAGCTGCTTCGGTCATTGCAGGATTTGCTTATACCAATAATAAACGATGGAATTCCGGCAGTAAACCATTTTTTTTTGATTAACGGTTGGAATGAGAGAAATGATTCTATTATTAACTCCAGGAAACTAACAAAATGAACCGAGTTATATTCATTGGGCGAGTTTGCCACGAAATTGCCAGGCACTCATGTGCTTTGCCCGGTAATTTTTTATGATGGAAAATTATGATAAATCTACCCTTAACTAACCAATTTTTTGCATAGAATGTTTTACAACGAATTTTAAGATAGAAGAACTACCAGAGGCGCGACGGGAATTTTTAAGGTGCATACATACCACTAGAGCCGTCTGTCATCCTGTTCATAAGCGCTTCACATTTTAGATACAAACACTTGACCGCCCTCGAGCAGGACTACCACAGCGACTTTAAAGAAGCCGTCGGCATCCTAACTGAGAGCTTTTTTACCTGTTTAGACACGTGGTCCCTTTATTTACCGCTGCCAAGCCATATGCAAGTATGGACTTTGTTTTCGCCGTTGTAGGTCTAGTGCAGTAGTAAACATGACGCTCAGCACATTGAACAGTTTAACGAGTTTGTATTTATCCGAAAGCTTTACGAGCGTATTATACATGAAGGCGGGTTCTACGGGGCAAACTATATTCTAAACTCTTCAGACTTGGAAAGTTATTAAAGTTACTGAAGAAGACGAAGAAGGAAGACAAGTGGAGTCTCTTCTTTCAATGCCTACAGAAGTTCGTTGCTCATATTCTTGTATAAACTCTTCACTGCGGTGTTCTCATCAGCCATCGTCTATTAATAGTGCACTCCTGTTGTGTACGCTCTCTTTCAAACTATTTGTATTCAAGTGAAGGTTTATTTGGATGTTGGATGTTGCGAATAATTTACTTTTCGTGTCTGCCTTTTGTAGTGAAGCTTTGCAACTTATTAACTTTTATAATCGCTTACTTTACTAAATAATAATAAAAGAATAGCTTTGGATTCGCTTTGGACGATATCACCTTGCAAAGACTAAAGACCACTATTCTTAAGGGCTATACTTCTCATTATTCTAATTTTCTTAAGATCAATAAGATAAGTGAGAAAAGTAATGCTTAACTTTTTTTTCTCTTTTTCCTGTGTGCGGACTGACTAACCAATGCAGGTGCCATTCAGATGTATGTAGATTTCTTATTTGCCAGTGCGACGCTAAAGGAAGAAGCAGGTTAAGATTGTCCTTGACTTGCGTCAGCTTCGCGCCCGTAATTTTTTCCCGACTCAGCGCTTTCTGATTCTGACAAAACTCAGCTTGAAAAGACACTTTCTAAGATTTTGGATCACGTAATCAAGTTATTAGCTGCTTGCGACTAACTACACTCAGTTGGTAGTTGCGTAGGTGGATCCGTTCGACCTCAAACTATTACATGGTCTCCTTGTGAGGACCGTTCACGTTTGCTTACTGAAAACTAGCAATCTCTTTGGAGTATTAGGTTTAGCAAACCGCCTGTTGGTTGAAGAGTACTACAGTTGGCCCTTCTTTATACATTTAGCTTGTAAAAATATTCCCGAAGCGTCAGCCCCAATAGAAGACGGAGATGCCGCTGCATATATTGCAGAGCCTAAAACGCTCCTTCCTTCACTGCATATTCCTCTTGAACAAATTGAGGTTTATAACAAAAGTCTACAGGAAGAGAAACTGGCGCTTCCTCTCACAAGATCTGAAGACTACACCGTTTTCTCTGTAGAGGAATGCTTGGGAAGCCCCGATCCTTGCGGTTTTCAAGAGGACAGCGGTTCGCTTATGAGAGAGGTAACTTTTATTGAAAAATAGAATTTGTATACTACTTTTCTTCGCCCATGTAAAATATGCATTTTTGGTTCATAATATGGAGTATAAAAGTTTTACTTGCTGCTTACTAAGCAGCTTCTCTTTTATGGCGTAATATTATGAACAATTATAGGTTACAAGCGAAGACAGACTCCAATTCATAAATGAAAAAGGAAGAGAAATGATGGGAAAATTTCAGAATCTTGCTTATGTGAACCACGAAAATATCAAAAAGTTACTATGGGGTGAAGTAGAGTGAACTTTTTTGTTATGAATAAAGACTTACTTCACTCAACTTGTACGTGCAAGCAGAACACTTATTTATGCTTGTCTTTACTAAACAACCTTTTCTTAAAATTAAAAAGTCCATATCTAACAGAATAGACTCTCTTTATATTATTGCTTGATAATGCTTTTGCTTAGTTAAGTAAAGAAGGTTGCGTGTATAACCTCGTCCTCACAAATTCTGCTAGACGTAAACATTTATGGGTTAGAAGTTGTCCCCAGCAGAATTCTCAAGGAAGTTTAGCTTTAATAAGGTATACAAAAACATCAGGTCTTCAGACATTTAAAGAACAAGGGATAACCGGAGTAATTCCGTGATATTTAACTCCCTATCTGGCACTGGTCGAAAGTTATTAAAAAATTACTAACAATTGGACTCTTGGTTAGCGGTACATGAAATTAGATGTATTTCATATCAAAAGGAGGGTAAGGCATCTACTGCGGTAAACATTAATCATTAATCGAGAGAATTAGGATGGCGGCAGCAAAAAAAGGAAGCACATAATAACTTTCTAATGACAAGATTATTATATATTATAACTACGGACTAACATATAAGTTACATAGCTAACCAATTTATGTTATGATCAAACATTAAAGTTGCTAAGTAAAAACTCTATTTTATCTACCGAAACGATCACTTTTTAACCCTACACGCTTATTGGGAACCGCCACATTCGCGTAGAAACTGTTTAGACTTTCTATAAGACTGTCATTTACAGCTTAAGTTATCTTTGCAAATAACTATAAGTTAAATAAAAAATTAAAATTTTACTAGTTTTATAACATAATTTTTTTATAAACAAGCTGCTTTTTTAAACTTGTACTTATATATATTTTTTTAAATTATGGAATAAATTTTTAAACTAATGCTATATAGTGAATTTATGAAAGAGGAAAGGTTTTCACCTTTGCTTCTCGAACCTTATGAGTTTTGTGTTGACGACGCTAGTGTTTATTATTACCCTGAAATGGATAATGATCAAGAGTCATATGAAAAGTAGTAAATATAAATAACTGTTACAAACTTTAATAAATTCTACACAATTTTTTTTAGAAGGCAATACGGACGCTTAAAATTCTGTTCGAAATCTTTGGTTTTCGACCCCAAGGAAGTGCAGTAGTAATAATTTTAAAAGTTACTTGGGTTTTAACGTAACCATATTACTTAAAAGTCCTATACTTAGGATTCCTTTTGTTTTTTGTTTAACAATTAAACGGTGGGAAACTTTAGATAAAAAAAGAGTCCTGCTCTCAGAGATTGGCGCTGAGGTTATGCCTTCCAACTTCGCTTAACCATTATACTTCTATAAGATATACTAGAAAGTGTGCTACCTGCTCCCTTCATAATTAAAACAGAAAGATATACCGCTTGTTAAAACTATAAAAAACTAAATTATTAGGGCGAAGTTCTTTTTGTGAGATCTAAGAAAGTAATTAAAATGAGAGAAAAGAATGTTATAGCCCCTTTCAAGTTTCTAGAAGTGAGTCTTGCTTATATTATACTTCGTATATATATTTAATTATTTTTTACCTACAGGCTACTGCCGAATACAAGTTTACCTTTAATTATACTTCTTTATCATACTTTCTTCCTCTTCTGGAAACTCTCTATAAGTGCTGCAGTTTGCCTTTATCAGAACAAAAGGTTTTATCGTAAATTGAATTATTAATTCTTTACTTATAGTAAGCTTAACTTTAACAATAAAGCTTGTATATGATAGTATTCTGGCAAAAAAGGAGGGAAAGGTGTGTTTTGATTATAAATGGTACTACGTTGTAAAGTTAACTATTTTTCTTATTACTAATTTATTTAAATCTTTCAGGTTTGAAGATGCTGACGAAATTGAAATTAATAAGTTTATTGGTTTATAAAAAGAATATACTTTTGTAATATATTGAGCATTTAATATATTTTGGTCAGTACGTAAAGTTGACGCTTTTGTGATTTCACACGGACGAGTTGTGCTGACGGCAAAGACGATTTATTTTCAACCATTAAGCAACATGCATTCAGAAGTAGTCGCAAAGTACAAGACTCGCAGTATCTCTCGGGCTGTTCTTCGACGGTATCTCCTGCAAGACTTGGTAGATTCAAAAGGCTAAATTGCTATTTATGCCTGTTACCTGCTCGTCTCTCCTTGAAGGGCGTTGAGCTGTACTTTTCTACGGGGAACAGCGTGTTTTATGCCTTCCGAAGCTCTAAGGAAAGAGACCTTTTCAAAGAAGTCATAGACGAAGTCGCTGGTAAGTAAAGAGCTATAAGTGAACAGGCCAACTGAGGGCCAAACATTTCGTCTTAAAGGCGTGGGGGGAGCAGAGCCGCTCCGGGAGATGACGAGAAGATGGCAGGAAAAGGAGATCGACAACTTTGAGTATCTGATGTACCTAAACAGCGCTGCCGACAGGCACTGCACGGGATGGTAGCCTTTACTGCGGATGGCATTAAACTGGATATTTCAGATCGCTGAACGATTTGACGCAGTACCCCGTCTTTCCCTGGATTCTCACCGACTACACTTCATCCGTTTTGAGTCTCATTGCTGCTTTGTAATCAATTTTTTTTTTAACTATATTATAAACAAGATCTCGACGATCCATCCGTCTATCGGGACCTCTCAAAGCCAATAGGAGCGCTTAATGAGCTACGTCTTCAGCTGCTATGGGTTACTATCGATTCCATTTATGGTTCTATCTACTAATCCTAAACGTAGGAGCGTTATCTTAGCATGAGCGAGCCCAAGTTTCTGTATGGTACGCACTACTCCTCGCCTGGGTTTGTACTTTACTATTTAGTAAGAAAAGGTTATTTTCGTTCTTTATATTATTCTTGTTGCTGCTTATCCGCATACCGCTGAAGTTCCCGAATATATGCTTTGTCTCCAAAACGGAAAGTTTGACCATCCTGATAGGCTCTTTAGCAGCGTGCAAAAGACTTGGGAGAACGTCTTGAAAAGTCCAACCGGTAATTTATGACATTTCTTTTTAAGGATGAAAACTATTCTGTTTGCCCGAGAAGATGTCAAAGAACTGATACCAGAGTTCTACGATACTAGCAAGGCCGGCGACTTCCTTGTGAACACGCAGAACCTCTTTTTCGGGGTCACCCAGGATCACTCATTGGTGGACGACGTGGTACTTCCGCCTTGGTCAAAAGGTCCGCGGGTTACTCTCCTTTATACTTTTGTTTACTCTTCGTGAAGACGCCAGTGACTTTGTGAAGACCATGCGAGCTGCCCTAGAATCAGAGCACGTGTCCGGCCATCTCCATGAGTGGATTGATCTTATTTTTGGTTCACATGTAAATTTTATTCGTTGCTGAAAAAATATATGTTTTATTAGGCTTTAAACAAACCGGAGAGCCCTCTGTTGCAGCTCGAAATGGTTTTTGCTTTGTCTTATGTCAATACTGATAGCCTGCCTTTATCATTACTAGTTTTCTACTATTTAACTTATGAAGGGGCCGTAGATTTCGACTCTATTAAAAGTTCAGAAGAACGAGGTTTATTCTTAAGTGTATGCCACAATAAACACTTGTTATTGCTATCTAGCTGCTCTTGAAATGCAAATCTCTGAATTCGGCCAGACACCCAAACAGTTGTTTTTCAGGCCGCATCCCCCCCGTTTAGAGGTCGTCCTATTTAGTGTTAGACGTCTGAACTTCTCCTATGTCACTTTTGAAAGGAAGACTTCCGTAAGAACCAATAGTATTACAACATCAGGCCCAGTGGGCGCTCCGCCCATCTCTGAAGCAAGAGACCTGCGCCCGGGCCTCCGAGCCTCCGACGAATGCTGCTTCCTGCGCGAGCGTATACTGTGGGACTTTAGCCGCTTGTCTTTTCTCTATAGTCGGCGGGCCCACCGACGGTTCTTTTTTTCACTTGTCTTGTCTCTATACTTTATGGTTGCCGATGTTTTTTGCAGAAAATTAACGGGCCTGTGCCTCTCCACCACTGGTCAGCCTATGAGAATCCGCTTTTGTTTGCTGGTGAACTGTACTGATCTATGCATTTTTTTAAAGGAGCTCATTGGTTCAGTGTTTCTGAAGACGGCACCCTTTGCATTTTCAACACCACAAATAAAGCTCAGTTGCGAAGGTTGCACTTAGCGAAGCTTACTATCGCTTTTTAAGTTTCATAGTGCACGGTTTTATAGAATGATTACCTTATTATTTATATAGTGCGTTCCATAAAATATTAACCATTTTTTAGGTTGTACTTATTACATTTGACCTTCGACAAAATGAAGGCTGAAACATTATCTTCTCTCCTATATGTGTTTATTGCCTTCAGGATAGTTATCTGCCGTTCTGCTCTCTCCTCCGTCAGTGTTATTGCAAAGACAAACGAAGTCGTTGTTGGTTCTCTGGACGGCCATTTGTACGATATTAATATATAATTATACTTGGCCGCTCCGTACTTTCTCCTCGCATTGGCCCGAAAGATATTTCTATTCCATTTCCAACGGGAAAGTATTACGAAAGTGGTTGGTCCATGAGGATGCAGTGAGTTGCTGTGAAGTCAGGTACGCAGTCAATGTGACCTTCCTCTTTGGCACTTACCATGTGGGGCAAGAATGCAAACTCTCGTGACAGGCTCCTGCAATGCTGACGTCAAGGTCGGTGCATTCCTCTGTGATACTGCTCTTCTCAATCTGTCTCTTTTTTTTAAGATTTTTGAAGACGTGGAAGTCGAAGGGGACATGGTCAAGAGCTTCCGAGGCGCTTACCGGGACCAATACTCCTCCGTCACTTGCATAGACCTTGGTGTCTCCATTCTTAAAAGTTGACCTTTTTATGCGCTCTGAATCCTATTGAGCAGACCACGAGGCTAGTACGTTTGTGGTGGGAACCAGCGAAGGAAGCATTTCAGTGTATGTAAAAAGCGCGTCAACGGCTCTTGCACTCATCGAAAATGCTCATGCGGGTGCCCTTTGACTTAGTATGTTACCCTTTTAGCCCTATTTAGGTTCGATTACCCTAAGGGGCTGTCTACTCGCTCGCTTTGACTCAGGAGTCTTCTGGCTTTGTTTCCATTGGTTGTTTTCTCTAACACTGCTTATTTTAATGCGCATGTGTTCTATGATTAGCGCAGGAGAGGACTTGAGGTTTGTCTCGTGGACCACTGGAGGTCTGAGGCTCTTCCAAGTGCATCTTCTGCACTGTTACACGTGTGCAGCTTTGCTTACATTTTCGCTTTTTTAACCACTTTTGATAATATTTACAATATAGCTGTCTTAAATACGACGGACAAACCGTCATAGCAGGGACAGTCTTAGGTCAGTTGGACGTCTGGTAAGGTTACTAATAGCGGCGTTAAAGGCCCCAACTAATGATGACAAGGGACATGGGCTCCTTCACAAAGATTAAAACTCTCGAACCAGAAGAAGGTAGTTCGTAATATTTCATGACTCATATGCTCGTTTTAGCCGCTCCTTAGAGGCCCGCTTGGAATGTCTAGCGGTATCCCTGGACGGGCGCTTCGTCGCTACCGGTGCCGTATTACCGACTTTGTTGCAAATTCTCGGCTTATTTGTTGCAGGAGCTTCCAATGGCTCGGTTTATATATACAGTAGCGATCTCTCGTGCCTCGGACAGGCATAGACGGACAAAACCTGTAATAAACAGGCAGAATAAATGTTTTGCTTCTCTGTTTCCTAAATTCAATAGACTGCGTAATTATGCCATTACTCACCCCCTGTGGAATGCGAAGCGCTATTTTTATGAGCTAAAGAGCTTTTATAATTAAGCGCAATTTTACTCTACATTGGCAGCATGTCACTTTTATGAGAACAGCCATTTCGGCGCGTAGAAAATGAATTTATCACTCTGCATTTCCAGCATGGGCTCCCTTCCTAGGTCAAAATATGCCACGTAGAGCTTCAGTCTCTCCTGCTGCGCCTCTTCCTGCGGGCCCTCCAGCAAGTCACTGGCCTCTAACTGCACCAAAATTATAATGGAAAGGAGGGCAAATGACTGCCGCACCTTGGAAACGTATTCCGCGAGTCTCCGTTTCAGCGTCTTCTCTGTTATTTCTTCCCGCGATACCCTCTTTAGCAAATCACTAGGAGCCAACCGCGTCTTAGCCTCGTCGCTGCACGACACACACCAGGTCGCAGAGAGTGCTTGCTCCTTCACTTCCTTTTAGATATCTCGTAAGAGAAGATTCGGGTCACTACAAAGACGAACGGTTATTTTGTTCAGAATGGAGAACAGAGCTTTCGAAACAGGTGGAATGTTCTCGCTGAGCGCCGTTTTCCTGTTCTGCTTCTCCATCGTGAGCAGTCTCCTCGTGATCTTTGTGCGTAGCTGCGCGCAGCACTGCTGTATAGCCCGCTAGAAGGCGCAGTTGTGGTTGACACACATGCGGCACAACCGGATGAAAAACCTTCACGACGCTTCCTATACGGCCGTCGTCGTCACCGATGTACTCCTTTCCGGTCCCCTTGAACGGTATTTTGGTGCTAACGAGGGACACAAACACTCCAACTTTATCACTATTTGGGTTGATTTTGTACAAGTTCCACCTGCCAAAAAGCAGTGCAGTTATATTTTTATGCCATATGTTTTAGTGCAGACGAAAGAGAACGACACTTTATCTGGTTTAACGCCACAACGCGGATAATATCGCTGCCAGGCTCGAATAAGAGTGGAATGCGATTGGCAAATCTGTATATATTGACGCCCTATCCGGTAGTCATATACTCCGCATCAAAAAGTGTGGTATTCATTAACAGGGAAAGTACCGTCTCCACCGATCGGCCTCCCAGAGAGACGGCAGCCTCGACTATAAACGGGTGGCCACCAACCACATCGGCTCTACGGTGTAGGCAATAGCATGAATGATCAGCGATGTCTAGGTCAGATATAGGCGCACGGCTCACTGGAAGTGGCTACCATGTCCGGTTTGAGTTCTTTGATGACGCCCAGACGCAAATTGTACTCTCCTGCGGGACTCAGGCACTACACCACACCCGTGAGCATGTGGGGCGAGTTGGAGGGGGGAATGAGGACCTCGGGCGAAGGATCTGGAAACTTCACCTCCTTAAAAAGGCTGTGCAGCTGGAGGTAATGCTCTTTGGTCAGTGAAGAAACTTGGAAGTGGCTGTCCAGTCCCAGCTCGCCTAACAAACAATAAGTAAACAACATTAAAAGCGAACAGCTATTGGCGAGAGTATATCGTTAGCTTTCGCTGAACAGAATACGGAAATATTAAACTTATTATTTTTGAGGCTAAATCGGATGAAATTGAAGAAAATTGAGTCCTCAGAGCTTTTACTAAAGTGGAGTTGCTTACCTGCCTACAAAGAAGGAATAATAAAAGTAATAGTAATAATAATAATAATAATACTCCAAGAGCTGCTTCAGAATAATCAAGTTTATTGATGAGGGATGATGCTTGACCTCCAGGGGCGGCGGCGGCATGTAGTCCGTCCTTCTCGCATACCGCACCGTAAATGACTTTTTTCTAGTTCAAGATAAAAAGATTGTTTAGACCTGGACAGTACGAACACTCAAAAATAGTACTCATCACATGCAGAGTCGAATGAGAGGGTGAACTCCGCGTAGGGCGTAATGACAGCCAGTTGCCGCATATAGGCCAGAACCTTAGACTTTGACGCGACAATGAGCACTGCAGTGGCTATGTGAGCTGGCTAGTATTATTGTATACGCACCCGATACGGCGTCCAGCTCCCTTCAATAAGGACCGTAATTTCCGAGCCACGCCACGCGGCCTGGTTTTCGAGTTTCTCGTGGACGAGAATGTTGGGGACGTTCTGGACAATATTGATATCGAGGACACACTTGGAGACCGGCTCGTTCTCTCCAGTGGAACTCAAGATGCAGATGGGCTGCGAGGTGCTCATCTTCGACCAGATGAGAACCTGCAAGAAAAAGCGCAAGGTCAAACGGACGGCTGCATTCAAACACTGATTTGAAGTTTCATGCCGTTAGAGCCCGTCTTTTAACACACTGCCTTAAATAGTCTTTGTTTATACTAATAACGAATTTATTTTGTAGCGCTCTTAGTAAAAACTTGGCATAAGTTCAAACTGTCAATGAAAAAAGAAGCGTAATTCTACTTAGATAAAATCTATAAGAGACAAGAGATCGTCGCTTTACCATCTTTGCGCCGAGTCCGAATCTTCCGCGGTTCTGTCTAACGCAGTATTTTGTTCCGGAGAGAACTAATGCGAACTTAATATTTAACAAAAACGCAAAAAATAACATGAGCAAAACTTGCGCACACAGACCAACTGGAATTCTTCAAGCGCGAATCTACTGATAAGCTACGCACCACAGTTTACTAACCTCTTCCAAACATGTTTGGTATGTCTTCATGAGGCATACCGCATCCGTTATCCTTGCAATATTACAATATTTAATATAAAAAGTGACTTGTATAAAATAGAATTGATTTTAAAGAAATACTATTATTTAAAGTAGTTACGTATAATTTACGAAAAGCACAAAAGAATGCGACACTTTTTTATTTCTTCAATAAAAATCTAATAAAAACTAACCCGAACTGTTAACTGATAATAAAGAGTTTTTTTATCTTTTTCTTTATTTTTAGCAGGATAAGTCTCTTCTTCAACTGGGTTCGAAGTTTTATATTTATATATTTCTTCGTGTTTCCGAACAACTTTATCAAAACCGCTCACCAAACGAAAGTTTGCTTTGTCAACTTCTTTACTATAATTTTAGTTAAGTCTTCGTACTATAAAATGCATAAATAAGATCCGACATTGCAACGCTAACTTCAGGAAGTTTCCCTATGGATTCAGAAGCATCCAGGGAATTTTCTACTAATTCTCTTATGGAAGTATACAGGGACTTTCCAGGCTTTCATATAATTATAATTAAATAAAAAAAGCAATTTTAAAGACAAAACTTACGTTATCAAATCCTGGTAGTCATTATAATGCCAGGTTAGGCATATAACAATAGACCAGAAATTCAAAGTCAAAAAAACGGTTATTAATAAAATAAAAAGAACTTTACCCGCGATCGCTTTATTATTAGCAAAAAATTCAGCAGGGCTTTTAAACTGTAACTTGGGCCGTTGCACCATCTCACAGAAGAAATAAAGACATCTGAATTCGTTGGGACTCTGCTACTCGAGTTTTACGTGTTTAATCTGTTACAGTTTTATCACTTTTGGTGGTTTAAAACTGTTGGCTTATTGGTTGCACGCGGAATTTCCCTCCAAGCCCGAAAGAACGTGATTTCTAGGAAGCAGGTTATCATATACTAAGGGCTGAACCCCAGCAGCGTTTAGGTGTCAGTTGCCTCGGCGGGAAAGTTTAGTTTATTTACTTTACACCAAATCTTTATTGTGGTAACTTCCCTTACTGGTGCTATCTTAATTTATATAAAAATTTTATATCCTTAGTTTTTCGTAGCTTTAAACTATACGTCCACTAGCTTATAAGCAATTTGAAGAAGTAAGCTTGTATATATTTCAATATGCTTTGGTAACAAGGGAAAGGATTTAACCTTTTTATAATTGAGATATATATTTAAGACAGCTTGTAAGGAAGCCTCATCTTGTAACTAGGCTCTGTTTGGTACAAGAACAAGTGGAATACGAGGCTTGGAACTGATTTTCATTAGTAGTTCACATCTGCTAAATACACGTAACTTAGCCTTACCTTATTTATTAGGCGCAGATTTCTTCTCTCCTTTTGGTATGTTAAGTCGAGTGATGTTAACATTTAGTTAGCTTAAGGAATTAAACATATCTTTTGTTACATCCAGGAATTAATGTATCTAGTGTTGTCATCCCCTATGGTCCTAAAAACTTATCTTCTAAGAGATACCGAAGCTATGGATTCTTTAACAAAAGCAAGCTAATGGGTATAATGCCACCTATTTAACAGTTCACAATTTATAGCTAAAATAAGAATAAAGAAAAAAGTGTGCCTCCGTCGACTATAAATTTCTTTTTCAACTTATAAGGTATAAATAGGAGAGGTTCCGCATAATATTACTTTCCTAAGTTTTACTTGTTATCCGCTCCTTTTTTTTTTTATTAACTCTCACTTAATTCGTAAGTTCTCTTTAGGATTTAAAAGGAAAGTAAGGCGCGTGTCCTCTCCTATTATGTCTTGTTTTTAAATATGTACAACGTTAAAAGCAGGCGTGATATCAGATCTATTTTCAGCTACCAACGCCACTATATCTTCCCTCCTCTTTTACAAAAAAATATAATAAGCTCCACGACATACTACGACCAAAACAAGGACCAAAAGTGCTATACCTTAAGTTATTCAAAAAAAAGTTTTCCGCCATTACTTCATGAACGGTAGTTTTTACTCCGCTAAAGCTCTTTATAGTTGTGATCAAAATACTTTTTATAATAAAATAAGTTTCGCAATAGAGAAATAAATATATAAACATTTAGATTTATTAAACCGTTCATGCAATACAAAAAGTTATAAGTAGTCTGTAGAAAACAACAAGCAGTTCGGGAGACCTACAAGGTTAAGTCGAGCTACTACAATCCAAAAAGTACGATTTATTTGGCTAAAGCTAATAGATTACAAAACTTTTTAAGTTAAGCGCAAAAAGCCCTTAAAAATTAAAATTAAAAGACAAAAATTTGATCCTTCAAAAAAACCCCACCCGGAAGGTTTTTTTTTAACTTTTTTTTTACATGTAAGCTGCCCAGCCGATGTACATGATGCATAAGTTCCTCAGATCTGTAGCTTCCTGTATAAGCCGGTGGACCTGAAGCGCCAATCTGTTACGCCTTTAGCAACAACCTTAAACTAGTGAGTGACCTGTCCTTCGGTAGAGAGGGGCAAACCGTTGTCTGCCAGCTTCCCCTGGAGCTTATTTTCAACGGTTTTGATAATTTTAGAAGCTGCTAATGAGTAAAAAGTATTTTTTCAAGACATTCATTAGGAGTTTACAGTCGCAGTCCCCAACTGGATCGTATACAAAAGGAGCGAGCATATTGACGAGAGAACTTTTTTCATTTCTAAGGACTTTTAGTGTGAGCTGGCACGTTTTCCGAAAGAGACCTGCCGTAAAGAAAAGTCACCAAAATTCTGGCTCAGAAAAACGAGAAAAACCTTCATAGCCGGTTATACCCAACGCATCAATCATATTGTGAGTCAAGCGGAATGGTACCCTCTCGGGAAGAGGCAGAGTCTTTCCTATATGCGAGAAAGTTAAATAGAAGCAGCGTTCACAATAGTATTGTAAACCTTTCTCAAAGAGGCAGTTAAAATCCACGTGAACGCATTCTCCGGTAGTCGAGTCGACAAGGAGGTTTTCTCCATGTCTACGGGAGGGGTTTGCGATCTAGACTACCATCGATGCAGCCTGTTGAAGTCAATACCTATCGCCCAGCCCCACAACGTAGCCAACCATAGACATCAGGCTGACGCTGTTCGTGTAGGCAACACGGCTGGCATACCACGTGGAGGGGTCCGGAAACTGTATAGGAAATAGTAAGAACTCCAGAGCATATGGTCTGCTAGCTCTACCTTGAGCAAGAACCACTCGAACAAGGCGGGATAGTGAAGTTTTATCAGATTTGTTAAAAAAGGAAGCATCGTCTTATGAGTGTGTCAAGTAGAGAAAGGAAAGCAATACAAGTGGAATTGTATATATAGTACGGTTACGCTGAGTCGCTGTTCAGATTTTAGTGAAAAATAAGTTTTGATTTCTTTACGCACTCTACTAGTAAACGTAGCATCCCTTGACTCGTAAATGTTGTTCAGTATCTGCTTAAATAAACAAAAGCCAACAACGATAATGGTCCCTTTAATAGTAAGAACCTGGCGGAGTCGCTCCGTATGGTGAACCCACTCTAACATACCGCACTCTTCGTTGAGAACAACAACGGCATAAGTACGAATGCGCAAACAACGTAATCTTAATAAAAAGATCAAGATAGAAGAGAAAATTATAAAGAAAAAAAGTCCGAATGGTTGGAGCTACCTTGATTCTGAGTACTTGTTTAGTATTGTGTTGACTGTTGAGAAGAACTCCATGATTCTTTGGTCTTTGCGTAAATCATCTTTGGGCTTGCATAGAAAAACATATTCCATGCCATCGTCCCCAATAACGGTAATCTTTTTGGGCCTCTATAGAAACCGTGATACAGAGCTTTCAAGGCGATAGGAAACCCATTATAAAAGCTCACCTGAAGAGAATTCAAAACTTCCACGGAATCTTTAAAAGAGAAAATTCGGGGGGGGCTCAAAGGAAATGGGTGGTGCTCTTTGAAGTCACTTCAGTGGGGAAATGCTTAGAAAGTTTAAAGAGGCAAGGTGAGGGGGAGCAACACCTCGACGTTGGAGGAGGCAAAGTGCCGATGAGGAACCGCTGAAGAGGAATTATCACGCGCAGTGGAGTAATGCGGAGAAGTTTGCTAGAAAAAAACAGTAGAACCCCGCTACGCACCCCCCCCCCCCCAGCTAGCACGCACACAAGAAAGAAATTACCGGAAGTCTTTTTCTATGGAAATTTTGCTTTCGTTCTTCGCTATGGAGCGGTTGCAGAGCTCTACTAACAGGAGCCTCAGTGATTTGTGTTCCTTAACCAGCTCACTAAGCCCGCTGTCCCTTCCGCTGTCCCGAAGACCTGTTAGCCAGTAAGCAGCACCGGCAGTCTCTCAAAGTAAAACGTACATAATTTGTTTAAAATTGCTGTGCAACGAGTCTGACGAATAGGAATGGATGACACGGACATGTGAGATATGGCCCACAACCCCTAATAATGACATAGTGGTAAGAGAAATCAAACATGGACGCTTCAACTTTGAAATAGGGGTGCCTGATCGGGATAAGAGATTAACACTTTGAGAATGATGGACTCTATGATTTGGTAAACTTTGCTGTTGGTGTGGCAAATGCGAGAGAGTAACTAAAGGAGCGTGTACATACGTTTAGAAGAGAAGAAGGACAGGAAGTACGTAGAATACACCTGGGAAAAAGCAGTGTAGAATATGAAGGGAGGAATCTGCTTCACCCACTTCTTCATGTACGCATTAAGGGAGTTGACGTCTCTCTCGTAGAGTTCTGTCTATGAAATATAACCAGCGAGCTTAAAAGGGTTTTTTTGTAGATCAACCTTTCTGCGCCCCGTCAGAGCTGTTAGCTTTCATGTTTTCCTGCGACTTAGGAAAGCCTTTGCTGAAATATTATAACAATTAACACTATTTAATATGTATAATAACAATAATTAGGAGTGTACGTATAGTCCAGCCACAAAGTAAGAAGTCTAGGCAAAGTCTGAAACAAGTACTTGATGCCATATAACAAAGAGCGTCCAAAATTCTATAAATGGTAGTAAGAAGCTTATTTTTCCCCGCAAGAAAATAATGAAGACCTCCACAACGTGAAGAACATAAGGTTCGCCCATTGAGTCGTAGTATTTGCCAAATCTGAACCAAACTGATGGAAGAGATTGGGGGAAAAAAGGAAATATTATTGGTTTACAAAGCCGTCCGTACCTTTTTCATTTAGAAAACTCTTTTGAGAGATAACCTCCTTGAACTGATCAATCACGTGATTCTGGTAGTGACCAGTTTGCACCATCCATTTGGCAACGAGCAGTTGCATTCTCATCTCATTGGCCTGTTTATGATCGCAGCAAACAGCAGGCTCGCGCGGCTCAATAGTGCCCGGCATGGAGTTGGAACATGGCTCAGTGGAGTCAGAGACGTTAAGCGTATCGGTCTGGGATCGACGCTGGAACTGCAGCAGCTCTAGCAAGGCGTCGTTCTGGTACCCCTGGGACCACAGCAGTTTGGCCTTCTCAAGCTCAAGTTCGAGCTCTACCACATACAATTTAATGAATATGGACACTGGAACTCAGTAAGAGTACCATCCTCATCGCCAACACTCCCGCTAACCAAAAATTCTTTGTGCAAAGAGCACTTAAACGCAGTCTCGTAGGCCCCTGCTTTACGAGCAAGCTTCATGTTCTGAATCCAGCTCTTTGCTAAGAAACACCCAAAGGGAAGTAAAGAAAATAGAAGAACGACTGAACGGCTTTTACCAAGCTGGCCGTCGCACAAGTTCGTCAGATTTTCTGCTACTTCTGTATTTATATCTATTCACTTTGAAGTGAACGACAGTGAATGTTCAACAACCGTACGCGTTACCTACCAGAAGCCAGAGAGGAAGTCGTGCTAAAGCGGAGAAGCACGAGTTGTAGAAGGGCCCGATGCACAGTCAAAAGTGATTCGCGAACTTCGAAAGAGCTTCGAAAAGTATGTAGGTTCTTTTAAACGGCCCAAAAGCCAGTGAACGAACCGCTTTGTTAACTCAAGCTTCTTCCAGTTGTTATTTATTTCCCTCATCAAACTTTTCGGTTCCAAAAATAACAACTTGGACGCAACGCTCTCTATCCCCTGCAGGATGTGTAGATGGACAACTGACCCGTATGCTCGCTCGTAGCGCCCTTGAAAGGGATGCATTCAGCAGTAGCAAGCAAAAAGGACAATGGTTCATGTGCCTGTTTCCATGGCTATAGCAGATAGCGTTTGAATTATCTTGCTACGCGCATTGCATAGCTCCTTGTTGAAGGCATCATGCTCTTGAAGCCGCGCGGCCATCAAGATGCGGCCAACGTCGACCTTTTTTTTTTTAATACCACGCTAATTAAGTACAGTGAAAAAAAAAAACCCCCACACCTCAAAACTGTCGCAGCAAGGTGCAGCTAAAGACCGCTCTAGCGCAGACCAATCACCCAAGCGCCACGCTAATATACACAGATATAAGCCCACACTTAGAATGGAGCGAACCGAAGGACACCTGCGTGGACTCTAAAATGGTTCAAAGCGCCAAGAAGTTCAGGTTGCCGAACCTCAACATCATTAACGTACGAAATGATGGTCTCATAATTAGATAAGTTGATGTGACAGCGAAGAAGCCCTCGTTTTATAAAAGTTAAATTAAAGATTTCGACAGCTTATAGAAGAAAAAAGTACCTTTTCTGGCGGACAAAGCGTTAGGGTTGTCAAATGCTTCTTTAGAATAAAAAGAAAGAGCGTAGGACCTGGATAACACATAACAACGGCAACCAACATACATCCATATTTAAAAAAACCAGCGATTAGCGGCCTCAAGGTCAAGTATCTCATCATTCACGTTATAAGAAAGGCGGATGGCAGAAACGCCAGCCATGGCTAGAGAGTTGCTAGTCAAAGCCGGCTTATATGATATGTGGAATAAAAACCTTCCGCAGAGCCAATGGACCCGTAGATCTTGTGCAGAAACGCCAAATGCTGGTCGAACAGTTCTAAAGAAACTATGACAGGACGAAGGCGGGACTTACTAACGGCAAACCTGCGGTAGTAGTACTTTCGGAAGAAGTTTTTCTCTCGAGACGGAGAAAGGATTCTTTTGGAGAATAAGAGAGGTAAGCCAACGAAGGCTCGAACAAAGGCGAACCAAAGTAATACAGTGCGCGATCGAAGGCATTGCACCGGAAGGCAACATCAGCCAGCAGTTTGTTAGGGATCCCTTTCAAAAATGAGTGCACGCCACGCAACTGCGAGGGAAAGAGGGAGTAATACAAAAGGCAAGCTACAGAAAAGTTTTTTACTGCTTCGTCTGTTTCCAATAACTTGAAGTTCGCAGCTTTATGAAAGTTAAAAAAGAGCTTCAATAAAAGGGTAAAGAGCTATATTTAACTTAATTTGAGCCTTAGCCAATGGGTGAGCTGGTCAATCATCGAAAACACTGTAAGCGAGCTTTTGTAGACCTTCAAGCAGTGACGGCAGTAAAAAAAATGGCAGATGCCAAAGAGGAAACTGTATAAACTATATCTGGCAACGTTGCGCATGCTTCGGCAGCCGTAAGCACCGTATTAACCTGTCGATGTGGTTAGTGCGAATCCTTATGATAATCTCGTTGGTTATAGCCGAACCTCATTAAGTACTTGGTCGGCTAGAGCCTCATCCTTCTGGAGGAGGATATTCAGTACGGCATGCGGGAGCAGGTGGATGGCTAGCGTTACGTCATCTTTCACGACTGTCTTGCATGGATCCAGAATTGCTTGAAATCTTTAACAAATAGGTTCACGTCTCGAAAAGTAGGCAACGGACGGGGCGGAGTCCGACCTTCCAGTAACCAGGCTAATCAACCCCACAGTCCATGCGGATATCCATTGATCAAAACTAAGCCCCACTAGCACATGGTTACGCGTCATAGAACAAGACAATAGTATGATTCAACCAGTAGGCTACCTCTAAACACCACTCCGGGAATAGCTGCTTTCTTTGAACCGGTAAAACTTCAAACATTGGCCAATTTTTACGTTATTAAATAAAAATAGACAGAATAAAAACCCGTATTCCGACTTGAGGTATGGATGGATAATCTCTCGAACCCCCTTAGAAAACTTCATCCAGTTAACACTCGAAACCGATTCGTCAACGGGCCTATTATAGTAAAAGTTTTGCCGCATAATCATCTGTGCGAAGACAAAACCCTTCCAGAGGAAGCTCGGGATTGAAAGCGCAGAAGCGCAGAAACTCTTGAATAACGTATGCGGCACGGTCTTGCTTCTGTGTGTCTTCCGCGGCCAGAAACGAGGGCACCAGAAAGTCTGTGCAGGTGACCATCAAAAACATACAGTAGCGGACGTTTAAATGCTGTCCCGACCACTGATTAAACGCATGGCAAACTCCACAGCATTCTCAAGGGCCTCCTCCAAGGGAGAAGATGTGCATTCGGGTGCTGCCAAAGGATATTGAAATGCTCAAGGAACGAGGGTTTTGTTATCTAAGAAGCACATCTACAGGATTTAAGACGCATTCGTCTGTCGCAGGGGGCGCTATCGCTCAGCTTTGCCGGATCAATAGCCCTGAAGAAAGAAGGAACCAATTGTTTAATATCACCGAAGATGCCTGTCTACAGCCCCCACGCACCCCAATTCGCCGAGGCATTCGGCCACAAGGAGTCTGGCTGTCTTGTCTTTTTCAAACGTGGAGTCAAAAAGGCGCTTAACTGCGGTGGAGACGAGATGGGTGGTTCTAAAGAAAACGATTGCGTCAGAGTATAAAAAATAAACCGGATGACGGTGGCGTACTTGTCATCCCGAACCAAATAGCTAAGTTCGTCCACGTGTTGATGCAGAAGCGACTTCAAATGCCGGAGAGCAGCAATTCTCACAGTAAGGCTAAACTAAACAATCGAAAAAGAAGGAACGGCCCAGGCAAAGGCAGTAGACCTCTCGTTCGTAATGCCTCGATTTTCCTCAACGAGGTCTCCAAGCTCCTGTTGAAAAGGGCGCGCAGGTAGGTGCTGACGCAAGTAAGCATTGAGCTCCTGCAGGCAAGGAAGTTCCGGAAGAAAATATATATTCCTTAGATATTCTGGATAGCTGCATGACAAAAGAGGAATATGGCACACTGCAAAAAAAAAAAAAGGAATAAATAATATACAATTCAGCGTTCTCAACAATAAGATAGCGCAGGATAGCCACGACTTCTTGTGGGAACGCGTCAACCAAACCTTTAAGGAAAAAAAAACTTTAGAGAGACTGAAAATACGTTCGGCTAATAGAGCGCTGACCGAGAGTGACATAGACAAGATTGCTCAACATTGGTCCAAGATGGTTAGCCGGAAGCTTCCTTATAAGTATGGCCCAACCTTGCAAGGCGGTTCTGTTTGCAGTAATATACACGCGTTAAAGATATTGTAGGTAATACGGCAGAATCAAGACCTTGACAAGGGGCAGGACTGCATGGCGAGCCTGAGAATGGCAGTGGCTTTCGCACGAATCCCGTAGAGATGCTCTGGTGAGATCATCTCCATAAGCGATATCAAGCCATTCAGCACCTTTAGGAAATCAGTAGTGGTAACCAGAAGTGCGTTAATTACTAGAGAAAGTCAATAACCTTCTGCTTCTCGTGGGCAGAGAGGGTAGTGTGCAGTAGCTGAGCGTTCTTATAAAAATAAACTCGCTGATCAGTTGCAATGAACGGCGCATAGCTTACAAAAAACGCCATTATGGCCAATAAGTGATCTCGAAGGAAAGTGGAGAGCTTTCCATCGGTCGATAGGCTCGAGCACAGATAGTCAAACACCCAGCGAACCTACAGACCGTCCCAAAGTAAGAGCTTATGGAAGTCTCGCCTCTAAGAATACGGGCGCACCTCTTCTTTTTTCCTTAAAAAAAGCAACTTCAAAAGGTTTCTCAGCTGACAATTTAGCAGATCGCGCACGGTGGCCCTGTGGCGTAGATAATAGGAAAGAGAATATTAAAAGTGGAGAAGATAAGTACCTTCTTGTGTCTTTGTTCGAGTGATTATTAAGCTGCTGGGTAATAAAGTTCATTATATCTGCTACCTCCGTATCACTAATCTTTTTCATAAATATAAATTCTAAAATGTAATGCATATTCTCCACTAGCAGTTCCGGAACGTCTTCTAAAAAACAGTTCAGTGACTCCACGCAAAGGTACAGTCTCCTTACACCTTGCTCAACCAGCCTAGCTGCTTCCACGAGAACAGTAGTCAACTTTCCCCGAACCATATACGGCAGCGTGAACTTCATCGTTTTCTTCAGCAGGTCGCCAACATTCTTGCAATCCAAAAGCTCGACTGACAGAGGAACAATACATGTGGCCCATGTAGGTGTTAACAAAGCGGGAAATGGGAACCATATATCTGGAGTGTTCCCTCGCCCTTGGCCAAACAGTCCACGAGCATGGCGGCTAGTCCGTCCATTGCTGGAAGAAGAAGGGTACTAACAGAGACCCCTCTCTCGGAGGCCACTTCCTGAAGCTGTGTGAGAGAGGAATGACACTAGAGGGCCCCAAACCGCAAGTCTGATAATACTAGTAAAACCTGGTCGAATGAAAGAGCCCGAAGCTTGGAGTTTTCAGAAGTCAGCAGCTGGGCAATCGACACGAGTGACAATGCCAGTAACTTCCCCTCCGCAACCCTCAAGGCAAAGCAGCGCCATTATTACAGAGCAAATAAAGGGAAACTGTAGAAAAAAAAAACTTGGCGACGGAGCTTAAAGCAATAATGAGTGTTTCTCGTAACTCAATAGTAATGTGAGTGTCTCCTTCCGCAAGGCAATTTAAAGTTTCTACTAAAAACGTGTTTTCAGGACTCTAATAACAATGAAAAAGGTAAAGGGAAAAGCTGCACCAGCGAAAATGTGAAGGGCGTACTGTAATTCTATCCAGATCCACCGCTGCTTGATGCCATTCATTGTGAACAAGAATGCCCAGTTTATTGCTAAACTTGTTGAGAAGAGCGTGCGTAAAAGCCTATAGGAAAAATACCCCATCAGATATCTCACACGCGGACTGCTGTCTCGGAGAAGAGTCGTGCATGTGGTGATGATGTGGCGGGCAAGTCCAGCGTCGAGGGTAAATACGTCGTGAATTGTGAGGTGGCGGAAAAGAGTGTCGAGAAAGAGAATGAATAATCTCTTGGCATGCTCCCCCGTCAATAACAAGATCGAAGTGTCCGAGGTGGCCGCATGGATAATGAGTCCAGCAAGATCCACGACGGCGTGTGCGCTTTCAGAACAAACGGAGGAGTCTTGTGAAGTTTTCTTGGCTCTGCAAAGACAAGCCTCTGCTGCTGAGTCGTGTTTGGCAAACAAAAAGCACGGGAGACCGCAAAAGAGCTCCAAGACAGGACAGGCGCACCAATCCAAGCCCAAGCAGTAGCTGAGAGGCGAGTACAACGACCTTTGAGTTAATTACAACGAATATAAAGAAAACACATACCACAAGGACCGGATAATGCGGGATATGAATTCCATCCGTTGAGTGAATGTTGATGTGGGGTGGAGTAGATGAAACAAGCCCTCAAGACTGAATGATCCGTCTTTGCAGGTGTACTCCTTATGGCTGCACCCAATTGTTGTCAATAAAATCCAATGAATATAAATGATAACTGACCTCTCTAATGAAACTAAGTCGAGTAAAAAAGAATTTATTATAAATATCTTGATATTGACAAAATGGTCGGGTAGGAGACCCAGGCCAAACACGCATTTATGTTTTAAGTCAATGGAGAATGGGCAACTGAAAATTTGAGTCTGTTCATGCTCGGCCACACTAAAAAGAGCCTTCACTCTAACGCTGGGCCACTCAAACTTTGTTGCTTCGCGAAGAACGGAAGAGAGAAGTTCCTCTGCGCGATACAAGGCGCTGGACGCAACCATCAGCAGGCTCGCCTCATCGCTGTGTTTGCACTGAAAGAGAGGCAGGAAATGGTTTGACAACCATATCCAACCGAGTATACAGCCTAGCGAATCAAGTGTCTTCGAAGATATAAGGCCCTCCTTGTCTACGCCAATTAGAAATAAAAGTCAACTGCGCATGCCTAGAGAGTCTTACAAGAAACGCAAGGGAACTTTGAAATGGCCCCCATAATTATATTGAGCAGCTGTACAAAAAAAGTAACTTCAACAACACCATGCTATACTCAATAAGAGGTTAAACCTGTTTATTTACACGTCCATGCACCGCCAAGGCGCTCAACCAAAATTCAATAGTAGAAGTAATAAAAACGACAATTTTCTGTTTAAGAGTGGTATAGTAAACAAAAGTGTACAAGGGAAAACTGTACAAACAGACGTACTTCAGTCCACTTCTGCTCTACGATGCCCTGCTCAACTATCACGCGCAAAGAAGCGCAGGCAATGAGCCCAAGAACTTTAAAATCAGAAAAAGTTCTCTCGCTCTAAAGAAGTCAATGTTTATATTAAATCGTCAAAAAAATATGAAAACATACTAAAACAGGTGCGCCAGTAACAGTTGGTATCTTTAGGCGTTCTAGCAATAAAGTCCCCAAGTTCACAACTTGTATGCAGAGCGGCTCACTATCGGAGCTATAAGCAGGCAAGCTAAATGGTCAAACAGATAATTTCATTAAAAAGGTTAACGTTAATATTGATAATCCCGGATATTCAGAAGGAGCATTCTGAGCAAACAAAAATAAACAAAAAAGAGGAAGCTTTAGAATTAAATAATCTAGTCACGAGGCTTATCCATGCGACCGAAGCATAGCGCGTGATGAGCTGTATTAACTGCTCGGCCAAGAAATCTTCGTATGCATACGCCCAGAAAAGATAGACAACTTGTGCAATAAATTTACGATCTTTAATAAATTTCGCAATATTAAAAGCAATTGAGCATATGTGTTCCTGTAGAGAATGTTTAATAATTTCTTAACGATATATAAAACTTGAGCAGACAAACTTTGAGGTTATTCGTCTTCGAATATTTTAACACAGCGCTAAGGGCTTTTGAAACTTTGAAAAAAATGGAGTAGGAACACCTTAGAAGAAGCGGATGTTTCAAAAGTTTTTCAAGTAGAGCAGAAAGTTGCATATGAATAGACTCATCATCCACGCATATTAGGTCAGACAGGTAGTCTACATAAAAGGTAAGGAAAGGAAAATCACAAAATAAATATAGAGGGAAAGTACGCAACCGAGTACACCGCCGAATAGCCCAGAGAAGGCGGGCTGTAGTTCACACCCAAAATGCTCTAAAAGTACCAGCAACAACGCCCAAGCAGCCTGAAGAAGTAAAAATAACAAACCGCCTTACCTAGCATGCTACAACAAATGAGAAAAGCAAAATACGCGATGCACAGAAAGAAGCTGGAGGGAGGTAGGCAACGGCAAGTCCACCAATGCAATAACAACGTAATAAAAATGATAATGCGTTCCAGCGATATAAGCTCCTGTCGGTTCAAGAGTTCTTCTTAGAATCACGAGAAGATTACTGAGAAGGCAAAGGTAGGAGGCGTACTCGCTTAAATTCAGTAATCGATCTTCCCCCTTGTAAATCAAAATAATTTTAAGTAGGAAACACAGCAAAGGTAAAGATGTAAAATACCAGCCGCCAGGAAAAGACAACTTCTCCCTGGGCAGTCGAATCAAAAGTGGTGGCTGTAAATTTCGAGGCAACTGTCACAAGATCTTCTCAAAAGAAAGGTGATTAGAAAATCATGTCATACTAAAAGAAGCCACTCACCAAGTAGCTGCTGGCAATATTGTTCCACCATATAACTGTAGTACAGCGGATAATAAACTCTCGCCAAACAAAGTAAGGAAATGTAGAGCTTTCGGGTCAACTTCTGGACTTCTTCCTAATAAAGTTTAGAAACAAAAAGGCAAATAAAAAATAATAAAATACCTCGCAAACGCATAACAAAGGAGCAAATTTAGATAATAAAAAAGAAATATATAAATCGGACGAGTCTTGAGCGCTCTCTCTACAAAATTTTTTCGAAGGGTCTGCAGACTCGGAAAAAGTAATAGGGTCCGGGCAGCCCTTTTGAAGACAAAAACACTTTTTATCAACTTCAAATACTTGAGGAATAGATTCAATGACACTACTGAACAACTTAAGAGTGGGAATGAGCCCAGAAAGTTGCTGTGTGTCAGCTATATTTTAAAAAAAAAATAAGTGCAAGAAGTAGTACAAAAACTATCTTTAAAAGGAAAAGTACCACAGCCAACTGGTACAGACTCGGAAACTAGTGACTTTAAGAAGTATTTGTAACGATCTAAAGCTTTTAAAAAATCCTATGGTCAAATATATAAAGTTATATATTTAAATCAAGAGCGGTGTTCCTTTGGTTTGTTACCTGGGAGGTTTGGTTGGGATGCTCATCCACTAAAGCTGAAAGTAATTCATCAAGGGTAGCCTTGTCCACACTCATCATTATTTAAAGTATATCAGTCGATGCTGTTAAAATAGTTATTTCTAAAAGCAGGTTTACATCGAAAAAAGGGTATAAGCTTCAAAAAGTTAAAAAGAAGGGATTTGTTGAGCTCAAATAACGAATCTAGCTATTAACACACGATTTTTAAGTTTATATATATATACCACTTTACATATTTACAGATCCTATATTAGTGGGACAGATGTATACAATAAATAAAGCTACATAAGCAACTTTACATAAAAACTTAGGAGTATAAGTTTTAAACAAGTATTAACTTCATAATTTTTTTAAGATGTGATTATTAAATTAATTAAAAAAAAACCAAACTTTTTTAGCCGTAAAAAACTTTAACTTTTCAAGGTTCTAAGCCCTTTAACCAACTATAGTAGCTAGAAAACGAGTGAGGAGTAAGAATGTTGGAAGGGTATTAGCAATACACTTTGCCGTGCTGAACCTTTATAAAAGTATTTATTAAAAGATACATGCCTACAGAAGAGAGCTTCACTTATTTAAAGCCTTTAAACTGCATATAGCCCATTCTTTATTCCTACCACTATGTAATCTGCCTCTCTTATTAGAGATGCTATACACGAGGGCCAATAGCCTATGAAAATGACTAGGGTTCGGTTTATAGTTTCAGTCAAGAGTTGAGGGTTAAACATTTTTATTTAGTGAACATCTGCATGCGTTAAAAAAAGTAATTTTCTTACATTTTTAGGGATATCCTTTATTTCTTCTTTTAGCAAAGTTATTTCGGTTGTGAGTTATCTTTAGATCATAATCCTTACAATTTCTTTATTGAAAGTAACTATGGGTATTTTCTTTTATCCTCTTCATAAACTCAGGTAGCCACCTTTACATTATTAGCGGTTATTCATTTAGTAATATTTGTTTTGATAGGAGCTTGCTTTTATTACATTTTCATTTTTTCTTAAAAGGAAATAAATGAGTGGTATTTAGGGGTGCGGTATTTAATTTGCTATATATATCAGTATACTCTTTACTTATTTTGAAATTCAAAGTTAGCTTGATCGCCAATAAAAAAAAATTAACTCATTATACCTTTGTTACAAACTGTTGCTAAATTTTTATTTAACTTTAAAATTTATCGTTTATCTTCCTTTTCTTAAATGGTTATAATTTTATTTGAATTTTAGCATATCTCTTTGTACTCGTAGTTTTTGAGCACTTTAGCCTTTATTGTGTTTATCCCTAGCCTACCCTTAAAGTTAACCTTTGTTCTAAATTCTTTTGATGTTTCGATTCTAAGGTAGCTTTACTAATGTTATCAAACGTCATAGTGTCAGACTAACTTGTCCTACTCTAATATCATTTTATATTACCTGTTCCTTTCAGATACCTTGCTAATACAAACATTACCATCTATGATCGTAACAACCGTCACACGTCCCTCTAAATTGCCTTTAAAGAAGCAACAAGTTTAAACGGCTAGATTTTTTCGAGATTCCTATTATCTCTACTCATACACTCTATTTAATAGGCACTTGGTCTTTTCCTTAAGTGTTACGATTATCAAATAGTAATATTCTATAAGACTAGCAGATAAAAAAAATAGAATAGGTTAAATAACTTTACAACTAGCCTCGGGAGTAATGCATGATTAGATTTTATAGGTTTACAAGAATTCAGAGTAAAGAGAACAGTACTTAACACTAAAAGGAGGCAAGAGACGGAAGCAGAAGGTGGAACAGACAATAACTAAAACGCATTAAAACAAAAAAAGCTCAGAATAAAGAGCCTGTACGAATACACTTTCGATGAAAAATTAGATCTCGTTCTTAATGAACTTCGGCCTTATATACCTTAATGTTGTACTTGTGAAAGTAAATTATTTATTAGTTATGGCAGCTAATTATTGTGTTTAAAACGTACTTATATGATACAATTATATATATATTATTATTTATATATTTTTATATATTATAAAATTAAACTTTTAATAATCTTTTAATTTATGTATATACTACTGTTTATTTTTTTTTGTGATTATTAAATTGTGAAGTTAATATGTGCTCATTCCCATCCATTCTTTTACCGACAGTGAATTTCACATATTAAATATTAGGGAACCGTGAGTTATCTTTTACCGTGCAGGTACACTTGAACCTATTATAATGGCCACATAATTTTTATTATCATACTACTGCATTTAAATAGAAACTGAAATGGGAACTAAATTAGAGCAGAAGTTTAAAAATATGAGTAAAATGCTATTATTGGGAAAGTTTATCTATAGCTTAAAAGTGAGATACTTTTTATGCTCTAAGATCGCAGGGCCCTCTGAAGATAGTAAGCGTCTGCAATCGAACTCTTGAGAGATAAGAATATATTAAAAAGAGATTTAGAAAGGTAAAACTAAGAATAGCTTAGAGCAAGAAAAAACGCAAATATTATTACAAACGATTTAGAGATTCATTGCCAGAAAATGAAACTAATGCTAAATTACTAGCTTACAGCATAAGTCATCCCCCTGGCAGAAGGGTGGATATCCAACAAGCTGTCAACACACATCTACAAACTTCTAAAAAACTGGAAAAAATTTAACTTTAGGCCAGGAGGTGGAAGAGGCTTATGTCGAATTCAGGGCAGCCGTTGTCAATGCTTGTTTAACGTAAAGTAGGGTATCTTAGTGGCTTCTCGGCGTTTAAATTTCCTAGTTACTTATTAAACTTTGCGCGGTAATACAGAATGCACAATCTTTTTTTATAACTAATAATTAATGAAAAAAAGATGAAAGTCTGACAGTAGTGAGAAAAAAATATATTTACTTGATTTTTTGCATAACGTAGTTGGGAAAATCACTAATGCTACTTAAATGGCACTTTCTATTATCTGATAAAACGAGAACGAAGATGATATTACCTGCTATAAAAAAATCACCATGTAAGCTAGATGATAAAGTGACCCCCCACCCTCACTTTCTTACACTCATGCTGCACTCCTTGGCTGCAAACACGGTGATTCACTCAGGGTAATTTATTTACGAGTATTTTTAATAACTACATTTTGTTTAGTCCTTTATTTCCAAGCCACAAATTTTTCGTTAAAATAAATATTATTACGATCTCTGATTTATATTTTATTTATACAGGTCTCGTCCTTTTAACTCAAAATTGTCCACACTACCAACCGACGTCTGCAGGAGTTACCTTGTTGCAATTGCCAACTGGTGTCTCAATAGGGCGAAATTAATTCGCAACTTTAGAAGGGGGTCATTAACTGGGTTAGATTAATCCGGTTTTAGTATGCTCAGTGTAAACAGTTATTATCCGCGTGAAAAGAAGTAGGCGCTTTTGTTTACTAGGTAGCGCGGTCCTATCCATTGCATGTAAGAAGTCCAGTACGTCTCTACCAAAATTACGCCGATGAACTGTCAAGGTTACAGTTAGAGAGTACCCAGACCATCACGCAAAGTGTCATGCACCAGTTAGAAGCTATAGCATTTGGTTTCGTGAGAGGTATTAAGCCGGGGTACCTCTGAGGATTCTAGAGCATTAAGAAATTTTAATACTGATGCCTACTTGCCTACTTTGGGGCGGTCTCTTTTAAAGGGCGTATGGAGTGCTTAATACTAAATAAGAACTTTATATTTAATTTTTCATATTTATTAAAAAGAGTTTTGATTAACTTTTTATGGTATTAAATTTTAGCGAACATGATCTAGCTGTAACAAATATATTGGTAACCTTTATTAACTTATAAAAACATATATAAAAAAAGTAAGTTCACTTAAATTAAAGAGCGAACTACTGTTTCTTATGAGGCATACATATAAAAACTGTTATATTAGAAGGAACACTCAAGTTTGTACTTAGTTGCTAATTATAATGAGGAAAGCGTTCATTTTTTAATTTTTAATGATAGCGTAGTTTAGAGGATCTTAACTTTTAATTTTAAAATACTGTATATAAGATAACTTTTAGGAATCTATATTGGAAGTTTACTTGCATGCGGTAGGAGGAACTTAAGCAAGGTACACCCAATTTTAGAAACTTATGAATTTATTATTGTAAAACAGTTCAGTACTAAGTTTTAGTGAATAGGTTCGCTTGAGATATTAATGCATCTTTTTAATTCTAAGTGTATAAGCCATTAAAGTTAATAACAAAATAAAATTAGTCCCTCTTATTAATAATTTCGCTATTGGTATGCAGCTATAAAAATAAAATGATTCCAAGTGTTAAGAATAAGAAAGATAAAGGTCGTCGTTACTTAAAACACATTAGAACAACGACAAACACGGCTGAAATTGATGAACAAAAAAATAAAATCAAAAAAATAAAAGAAGGTAGTTTTTAATCTCATTCAGCTCAATAGAATCGAATTTATTGACAACTTAACAGAACTTTCTTTAAAACTTAAACTTCTCCCTCCACAGTTGCAATTACTTTCTGAAGGTGTAGAGTTGGATTTGTTTGACTCAAATCAGTTATCGGAAACTAAGGTTCTGTTTTACTGTCTTTGTTTATAGATTTATTCTACTTACGTTAGCCCTTACGTTTATGATATTGCAGCGTTATTCGTTAAAGAGAATTACCCCTCCTACGAAGTTTCCTAGCACTTCTGACGTCTGGTCACTTTACAAAAAAAAATATAACTGTTTACTTGAAACTTTAGAGTTGTTGGAAGGTACTTATGCTCTTTTCCTTTAATCTATGACGAGCTGTACGTGGTATCCTGCTTAAGAATTTACATATTTTTTTAATACAGAAAATAAGGATAGTGAAATTTTTGAAAGCCCCACCAAAAGTTTTGAAGAACCCTTTATTAAACTAACTGACGCCGATATGAAGATATACGGTAAAGATCCGCTTAATGACCAACTTATTACCGTCAAGTGCAACTTGTGCCAAACAGTTGTTAAAGATTCGGCTTTTTTGGAGCACATGGGTATTATAGTAGTGATTATTAAGTAATAATAGAAATAAAAAAGCAGTCGAGGTTTCCGGGGGCTGTCTTTATAGTAAAAATACTTTTTAACGTAGAAATACTTCATCCTTTTGAATTAAACCGCTTTGAAAGGAGTAATCAAAATCATAATGAAAAAGGTACTAGACCTTTTAATTCCGGTAACTGCAATAATACAGGCAGTGATTGTTGCAGTTACCAATGGTTTTTTAATAACTTTTTATTTGTATAAAATTTAGAGGAATCAGAGAAAAATGTAACTATGCGCGCAACTAAAATATTGTAATATATTTATCTCTTGTTTATAAATTTTTTGTGGATGGACTTGCTGCAAAAAAATAGCAATAATTTAGGAGAGCAATACGCATTTTGCTCGCTGGGACAAAGCTGTAACCATTCTAATTCTGGTACTTATGAAGGTTATCTCACTTTTTCTTTTATTTTAAAAACCTATATTTTTAACTTATTAGGAACTCGAAAAATAATACTTAGTGAAGGTAAACGGCTAGTTTTTAAAAATGTTTTTCCTTGAGGCCCTCGTTTATATCTTGCTATATATGCCGCCGTTTACGGGGCGTGTTCAGGAGTTATCGAAGAGGTCATAGAAGATAGTGAGAAGCAGCTGGGCTGCCCGACAGCGTTTTCTGTATTACTTTTATATTCCCTCTGCAGTCATTCTAACTAAAAAAACGCTTGTGTGCAAAGAAGACGGGAAGCGCAAGGAGTGATAAAGAGCTGGCAGTACACCTAATCCCTTTTCCTTGTCAATCGTTTCTTTATACCAACAAACAGAGTATTCCTCGGGAGAAAAAAGCGGGCATCGAGAAAAAAAATGGACATTTTTCAGGTAACTGCAACAATTGCACTGGTACAGAAGTGCAGAAAATAATTAGAACGTCTAAAATCAGGAGAAAGTAAGAATTCGGCCGGAAGCATTGCTAAGAGATCCAATAATAATAATTACTTCAGGCGCAGGAACCTAGACCTAAGCACGGACTTGAATCGATAATTGTAAAGTTGCACTAACGTAAACTCCATCCTATAAGGCCTGGACGCTCGCTGCGGTGTAGAAGTTATCCGTCCACTTCAGAGCCATGAAGGCGACAGCGAGACGGCTGTTTTCACGTGTCGGAGATCGCTTACCTGCAAGATCCACTCCATTACTGCTAAAAGAAGGTGAGTCACACGGACGCAGAGAGGCGACACAAAAGTACATGTGTTTCCTAATAGGGTCGTGGGTCGGAGTAAAAGTTTTGACGAGCTGTACGAGCACTACACGGGAAAACCGCTAAGGAGTATAAAAACGATCTGTTTGTGTGTGTAAAGGACAATTTTTTTTTGTAATTTTATAAGGCCAAAAAAAGGGATCACGGAAGCCGGAAAACGTCCACTTGACTAATACAAATAAGCCAATGCCTTTAGCTGTCCAAAGATTTCCCTTCCAGAAAGTGGTAGTGTCTTGAAATTACTTTGTATACCGCCCCAGTTTAGCTTATTCTAATTTAGGGAAACGCTCTGACTTTCAATGCTGACCAAGAGGCTACCAGGAACATGTGTCTGTCCTATGTACTTCACGAAATCATGAAGAACATTTAATGAGTTTCTAGGTCATTGCTAATCTAATCAGGTTAGGCCTTGCTATATCAATTTTCAAAGCTTGTCAATTAAAGTAAGCTAAAAACAAAACATTCTGACAGACTAAGTAAATTCGCGGATTAAGCGGTTTATTCACTGATCCCTTTCTGGACCCTCATTCAGCAGCATCTGCGAAAAACTCGGTTTATTGAGCCGTTGCAGGCTTCGTGCGGAAGCACACCTGCTGAATAGAAGAAATTCATCACAGCCACCAGGAATAAAAGCTACGTCGTTAACGAAAAGCCACACCACTTCTTTCAACTTTGAAGAAATAAATATGTTAAGCAAGTAGCTTTACGACCTGCCGCTCCACTGATCAAGTTGGGTCGTTCCAGTAAGATCGGCATAAAGACTCCTCTTGCTGTCCATACTGGCGTAGTGCACTGCTTTTAAATGTTCGTTTCTATATAATGTGCATTCTAATAAAAAACATTAAAAAAAAATTAAGGGAGTTGTAAATAGTTGCAGTTACCGTAGTTCTCCTTTTGTATAATGAGCTTTGGCCTTTTGCCAGTAAAACGTGCCCGGCGTGGTATAGGGTTTTCTACTAGAAAATGAAAGGGGGTGTCTACAGTGCGCATTACCTATGTGAATTCAAGTCTTGACCTTTTGAGTTCAAGCCGCTGAGGTTATTAGGAAGCGCGTTGAGTTTATACATCGATCCCTGATAAAATTCAGTACTATATTGAGATGTGCCCGTAACAACGACAGCAGAAGCAAAACCTCGCACCGGAACGTGCTGAAAAAACCCCGCAGGGTCTCGGACACGCCCTCAAAAGTCTTGAAGCACTATAATATTAATAGAATCACTATTTTAAATAGCTGCTGATAAGGCGGTTGTACGCGAATGTGGGGTCTGACCCACTTGGACAGTTTACCAATGACTGTGCCGCTTGTATACCTAATTTGGGACTTCTTATATGCGCTTAAGGACAGGGGAAAGACAAAACCTAGAGTCCAGCAAAACAACAGCTCCGAAGTCCGTCTTGTGCCTGATTACCCTCCCTGGGAAGTAAGAACTCTAGTCACCCATTAAGTTAGCCCCCCTAAACGTTAGGGGTAGCACCGATGGCTTGGTTGACTGTCCTTATTGCCTCGAGATTGTACCACTCACTTCCAGATACCTGTCGATATTAAACATTAAAGCCTTAATAAGTTTCTAAAAACGAGAATAATACCCGAGCGGAACGGTATAGATCAAGGTATCGTCTCTTGCAGAGAACCTGCAGATACAGGAAAGGGAATGGATGACAAAGCAAAGGAAAGTATTGAAAACCTTATAGCTGTAAACGGGAGGGTACGGGAGACCGACTATAATAACGCCCCGCGCCCTGCTATTAGTGAAATCGAGACCTTCACTGAGCTGCGCGTGCGAATATAAATACTAAGAAAGGCAAAAAGATCAACAGTTATAAGCAGAATACCCTCCCGCGAAAGACACCAAGAAAGCAAGCGCCATTGCGTCGGGACTCCACGGCTTGCAAGTAGGATCTGAGCGCCTTATGACGGACATACAACATACACGGAACTAAGGCCCTAAAAGCTTACGGCAGTAAATTCCGCAGGGATTTCGCTTTCAACAAAAACGGGCTTCATCATGTTCAACGCTTCCCAAATGTTAAGTCCCTCAGCAATGTAATAAACACTGATGCAGCAGAAAAGATGCATACTGTACTTCGCTACTCTTTTTCCACGTCTGGACGCAGTTGTTCATCACTCCATATGTTGGGAAAAAAATCAAAAGTCCAGCTGGAATCTCATTTGCTAAACAAACTGAGAATATATCTTTTTAACAACTTCAAAGAAAACCAGTAACGCAGTAAAAAATACCAATAGACTCTCCAAGTTCACGCACATATTGTACGCTAATAATAGCTTTAGTATGAGTATAATTCAACTCCGTGATTTTCTAAATGATAATAATTACTCGTCTCTTGTCCGGAAGGTGCTCTTCAGGAGGGTGCCCTTAAGGCCTGATGGATATATAGTAGCAACTACACAAGTAAATGGACGTCGACTAAACCGCAGGAGAAAGCTCCGACCCACAACTGTTCTTTTTGGATTATATGAGGGTTCTCTAAAGTGAGGAAGGCCGACCTACAAAAAAAGGGGAGGGTGAATACGGAGCAGCGAGCAGAAATGAAGCCCCTTCCTTGAACTTACAAACTTAACTCGGTGGTATACGCAGCAAGCGGACTAAGAGTGCCTGTAGTAAACATAAGGCCCTCTAAATATTAAAAAAGACATCGAGTGTAACCGGAAGTCATAATAATATTGTGGGACGTCCCCAAAATATCTTTTAAAGCAAATTTAGAGTTTAAGCAAAGAAATGAAAGAACCCCTAGATAAAAACAATTGATAAAAGCAATGAGAATGATGCACGCTTCTTTTTGCAACTATAAAAATATACTTGAACATTTGCTACGGTCGCCGACAAGAAGATCGTCCTTTTCTTGCGCGTGAAGAATAACCTTATCGATCACTGAATGACCCCTGATGGCAAAGAATGTAGCTAAATGAGAGACATACTTTAAAATTGAGGGCCACTTCCTCCGTATTTTTCATCTGCGTAGCAATTAAGTCAAGAAAATAACCTCAAAAATGCAGAAATTTTATTTATATAATAAAGCGCCTTTTCCGAAAATAAAGTTTCTATAAAGTCCATAATGCGAAAGAGAGCATCGAATTGCCTCTGTCTGCCGCTGTCCGGGCCAAAAGGAGCTGACCCGTCTCTTTGCTGAGCAAAAGTTACGTGTTGTTGCAAAAAGATAAAAAAGAGAGCAAAGAACCGCGGTTCCTTCAAGATTTCCTAACCAGAGATGCGCTTTGTAATAAAAAAATTCAACTTTTGTTTATTTAGATTATAGCACCTTCCAGAAGAGACAAAACACACTCAAGGCTGGAAAGAAACTCGCGCGCAGAGTCATAACGAAGGCCACAACTGCGGTCCAGTAGCTCATACAAATAGCTTCTGCACCACGCCAGGCCAGTTTACCGAGAAGTAAACGGTTCATATAATACACATTGGCACCCGTCCATAAAGGTGGGCGCCTTCGGGTCAAACAAAGTTATGTGCTCTAGCGCTAGCTCAAAGTTGTGAGCAAATGCTACGTAAACATCAGTAACAGTTTTTTTCGTCATATAAATATAATATAATGAGGACTTCCAACAAGCGATATCGACATCAAGTGTGAATCGGCTGGAGCAGGGTGCTGCTTAATATAACGCTTCGCGAAGGTAATTAGCCTGCAGTAATGCACAAAAGAAAACCTAGTACCGCAGCTGCTTTTACGGAGTTGAGCAAACCGGCAAAAGTGGAAAGCGGAAGCTCAACAGAACACGCGTCCTCGCAGATCTTATCCTGAAATAATAACAATAGCCGCCGGTTATGTGCACAGAAGAAATATTCATACAATATTGTGTGCTTCGTCAAAAATAATAATGCTATTATCGATGTCGACCGACTGCTGAGCTCGTATGTTGGCGTCAACAACGTAGTTGTAAGGCATGAAGATAATCTCGCTTTCGTCACTCAGTTCTTTAGACATATAATAGGGACACACGCTTTTCAAGTAATAATAATAACAAAAATACTTATAGTAGTAAAAATAATAACAATAGAGAACCTGTCCTTCTTGCCCATAAAGGCAAGTTCTTCAATATCCATACACAAGTTTTTATAGTCTTTCGTCTTTGAAGCTTTAGTAAATAGTCAAGATTTTACAGGATAAATAAATACGCCAGCTACGAATACTAGTATATTATAAACGAAAGACGCTGTTTATTATATGATAATAAGGTAAATATATAATGTTAAATAACGATAATTATTATTTTTAAATTAGTTATTTAAAAAATTCGCCTATAATTTAGTATTTAGTTATAAGAATAAATATATAGAAGGAAGAAAAGTACCAATATTATTTCGATAAAGACAGCCGGATTGCGAAAGGAGTTGTGTGCATTTCTTTCTCTACATAATTGAAAAGGCCAATAAATATAAATAATTAAAAAACGGTCAAGGTTAAGCAAAAAAACTTGTAGAAAGGGATTTTTAATATTCTTTATGCCTTCGTGAATACATAGTTGATTCCTTGAACCTCTCACAGAAATACAAATCCTTAATAATATCAAAATAAGATTATTTTAAAAGTTTAACTTAAATACAACACGAATTGTAAGCCGTAGACTTGAATTCTTTAACGGCCTGGGATAGTTGCGCATGAGTTCGAGAAGTGTATATAATCCGTAGAATATCTATACGAAGTGCAATAAATAGTAGAATTTACAAACATCTGATACGATATAAAGTACCTCTATAAACTTTGTCAATTTGTTCAATTTTTTGTCGCTTTTTATATTCTCTCCAAGCTAAGGTTGCGCATAGTAGACATAAAGTCTTACCTTGTAACTTAGTGAGTAAAATAAGAGTATATATAATTTAAATATATACCGGTCCCGGTGGGGCTTTCAAGAAGGGCAAAGCATTTGTTCTCTAAAGAAATTATGACCTTAAATAAATTTTAAATAACAAAGTTTTTTTGAGTAGATAGTAAATAAGAGCTTGCTTTTTCCATGTAAACTAGTTGACACTGGTATGGTTCATAGGGAAAATCGATAGGTACGTTGTGTATAATTAAACGAACCATTCTGAGGGGTATTAAATAGTATTATATGGTATTATTATAAAGTAGCACAGGGACTACTTATGAAGCGAGTTTAAATCTGCCAAGCCAGGCATACATTCATACTCCAGTTTGCTTTTGAGCTCTATACATTTGTTTCACGAGGTTTAATACCCTTTAAGCTTCTGGCTGTCGCTAAGGGCCGCCGAAGAATACAATCTGCGGTTCCCGTTGCTTTAAAATTGTTCGTTTAAAACTAACTTAACTATTAATTTGGAAATGATAACACAAAGGTAAAGAAATAAATCTAATCTAAGAACTTTATAAACATAATCATTAAGTGAAAAATAATACTTTAATGTGCTTAATTGAATATTTGGTCGAGGCAAAAGGTTTGGGCGTTGGTGATCAAAACTGTTATTTCTGCATAGCAAATTTTTAATACTATAATTTTTGCTTCTTAGAGTAAAAGTTATAGGTGTACGCCACCGAAATTTTAGTCTACAAAAAACATTCGATGATTTAATTGAGTGCTCACAGAGCCCTTTTTTCAGGCCGTTATAAAGCAGGTTATAGTAATTTTTATATGAAGGATAGTACTGTAAAAATTAATTATAACTTCCTCTTCAACTTTACACTCTAATGAACTGTGTAAACTGGAACTAGCTATAGACTTTAAAATTTATCAGACTTCAGTTATCTCCTAAAAATACCAGGCATTTCAGCCTGTCCTAGTTAGCTGATTAAATGGTGTAACTGTCACCACCACTGCTTTTTATAAGCGCTATGAGTAATATAATGATAAAACCGCAAGACGTCTCGATGGAGGCCAATGTCCTCGTGAATCCATTTATAAAGGGCAACTCGCATCACCACCACCATTTAACTGCCGAAAGATAATGGTTGTAAGCGTCGCATCCGACGCTTGGGCGCGTGTCAACGATATTCGTAACCCAGGCTCAGCCCTGGGAATTCTTATGCACATTACAATTTAAGATACTTAGCAAGCTCCAGCGGCTTGTAATGTAAATATATTCTATTAAAACGAAGGTTTACTTTTTAGTTTTCAATAAGGTTTTTTCATCGTGCCATAATAAACTTGACGAAAATTTAAAGGCCTGAATGTTTCTCTATTTGCAACGGTCTAATTTTGTTTTCATAATTTTTGTCCTAGCTTTATCCTCGAGCCTATAAGGTTTAAAGGATTTTTGGGAGATTTTTAAAATACTTACTTCCTTAAGAATTATATGAAAACGTGGCGACAAGTAGCGTATATAGCATTATATTGACGAAAGCAGCCGAGAAAAACGCGATATTTTAATGTTATATTTGCTAAGGATAAGTAATATAAAATGATAGTGTCACATTCAATCCTTACGGAAATCTGGCAAAGTTAATCTACTTACGTGTCCTGTGGGTGCATGGGTGGTAGTGCAAGCGCCTAATTAATCTCTACATTACATATTTTGTCTATATATATATATTTACTTAACTATGGTTTTTACATACTACAGGCGTTATATCTGCTATAACTTAAACTGCTTAAGCTAAATTCCCTCATTTTTTTATGGAGAGGTCCGAGAAGGGTAGCCTTTTATCAAATTTAAGGCCTCTCGGGCTATTTCTCACATGAAAACAGCAATGCCTTTGCAATTGAAGCATTTAACATTTATTTTCCCAAAAATTTAGAATATTATTATTATCTAATAAATGTTCTAAAGCCGTTTCAATACCAGGTTTTCCAAGATAGATTCAAAAAATGTTTTGGTCATTTATATAAATAAAAAGATGTGCGGAAGTATAGTCCAAGGCATTAGTTATCAAATTTTTTGCGTGTTCTTCATATGAGAAAAAGGTTTTATATCCCGAAGTTTAAGGTGACGCAATAGAGGTTCAATTTCACATTCATAATGTAATTGGGAATTCGCCCAAACTAAGGGGCGCCTGTAAACATTCTAAGGAGATTCTATTAATGAGGCTAACTTAGGTTTATATGCAAAGTCGAGAAGTAAAACCATGAAACAGATACGTAAACTCATAATAGGTCTGATTACAGCTTAATACATAAGAAGTTTATTTTTAAAACCCAAACATCTTCTTTTGCATGAGGATACAAGCAGAAGTTATATTCTTAATTTTTCAAAAATTAATATAAGGCTCCCAGTTAAGACTAGAGTCCTTAATAAAGCTAAGATATTTTACTTAATTGCACCAAGGAAGAGAAGTCTTCGATAGCGCTAGAGCTTTAATTTCCCCCTTTTATCAATTTCTTGAGATGATTATCGCATGACTTTTAATAGGGTTTATCGTAAATTTCCGCTTTGCAAACCATTTTTCAAGTGTATAAAGAAAAGCCTGCACACATTTAATAGTTTGAACTACAATAAATGGCAGGGGCGTTAGTATATAAATCTAGGAAGACTTGCTTAGGAGAATAATAAAGGCGACAGTAGAGAGCTTTGAGGGGCTCCAGCTTCAAAGCTCCCGGGGACTGCCAAGTCTTCTGCTATTCGTACAACAAATGATCTATGGCAAAGAAATAAATACAGCAAGCGCATAAGGTATTCTGACAACTGTATATACAAATAATTAATAGATAAGCCTTTCTTGCTAGACTCTAAAAAGGTTTTTTAATATCTTAGAATACCATAACCGTTAATTTCTTTTAAGTAAAGGCTTTTGTTGTGTTCGCTACGATCCTTAAAGTTTGCTGTGTTGTAAGTGTCCTATTCGACAGCCAAATTGATGTGTGCGAGAAGAATTGTAGAATTTTCCAATTTTTGTCATCAGGAGAGTATTACGGATTCAGCGGTATAATCTTTAGCATAGTGGCTAGTACGGGTACCTTTTGGTATAAGAATAACTTTGATTGTCTCTATCTTGTAGGAAATTAACCCTGATAAAGAATAGGATTAATTAGTTTTGAAAGGTACTTAATAGCCACTGGAGAAAGATTTTTTTAGAATTCGATTTAATACACCATCAAGGCCCCTATTTTTATTATATTAAATTTATCAATTTCAGTTTGAATCTCCTTATCACCCATAAACACCTGAGATCAATAGGTGATGCGTCTCTATGGAAGTAAAATAGTATTCAGTTATGCACGAAATATTCATTTGTATTATTAAAGATAGTGGAGGGATTGCGCTAAGGGGAAAGTTTGCAAATGTTTGGCTATTTCCTTATTGAAATTAGGAGTTTCTCCTTTACCAATCGAAAGCGATATATCGATCATTCTTCCATACAACATTGTTAAACGGATATAATGTTCGTAGCTTCATATCCGAAAGGGTATTATAAAAAGCATTTAGTTCGCTAAGGACCTGCATTACATTAGCAATGTTAGAGCTGCGTAAGTTTTTGTGGATCGGAATGGTAATTACTCCAAAAATATCCATAGCGCGCAATAGCCTGTCAAAGCGGCCGTCGAGGTTCTCGGCCTATGCAGGAGCGAATTTATTAACAGAAAAATCTCCCCGGAATTTTCAGTAAAAAAATTGAGCCCACAAAAGAATAAATTGAGCAGTGAATAATCTACAGCGATTAAAAAAATAAATAACTGAAAAAAGGACTGTACTGGCGCCGGTCTTGATTTTTCTTCATAATCCGAAAGCGTTTGAAAGTATATCTTTGACCCTATGGTCTTTACTTTTCCATCGCAATATATTATCCGAAAACAATAGAGAAATTAGACATTTAACCTTTGAGGACGAATGTCCACCGAATGCTAGAAGGAATTCAAGAAAGATATTGACCAATCCCGCAAATGGAGAATTTGTCGATCAAGGAACAGCTTGACATGACTATTGCCCAAAATCTTTCTAAACCAGAAATAATTAAAGCAATCCGAAAATTTTGGGTGCAATCGTAAAGAAGGATATTATGGGAGAAGGGCCACCAGCGAAAGAAAAATTTAGAGATGGTGTACCAATACCTTTTTACGATTCCACCGTCAAGCACCGAGGCAGATCGAGCATTTTCAACGGCAGAAAACTTTTGTAAGAAATTAATGTGTTATTTGCTATAAAATCTATTTCCGTAAATCATTAATTTGACGCTGAAAAAAAAAAATTAATTAACCTTTCGTTTTTTTTTTTTTTTCGTTTTATCTTTCTATTAATAATTTTTAAAATTTTTCTTGGTGAAGGTTTCTGAAATGTTGCTACCTTGTAAGGAATGGAAAGCGTCTAAGTAGGATAGGACTCATTCAGCGCTAAAATTTTCTTTTCAAATTTTTCGTCTTGTAGATCGCCTAATATAAAGAGAACCTTCAAATTAGCAAAATAGTAGTTAATTTTCTATAGGCCTTCCAAAAACTAGCAAAACTAGTAAATTTTGTTGATGCCGCGGGATTGACTCGAGAAATCCTGCAGAATTCCGCAAAGCCCAATCTCGCGCGAGAATGCATTCTCTAGATACACCGGGTCATAATATGATGATAAATCATAAAGGTTAGTAATGTGCACAGGAACCGGAATGTTTTTTAAAAAAGCTATATCTAACATACCAAAAAAGCCTCTGGTTGAGCGATGTGTGGTTCAAAGGGGACTAGAACAAAAATCACCTTTTTTTCCCGCCCAATATTTTAGAACCTTGCCATTCGGATTGTTTTTTTTGCTGTTCCATAAAGAATGCTTGCTATTTAGGTCTCCACAAACAATGACCGGTTTAGTATTGTTAAATAATTTAACTCCTTCAATAATTCTTTCCCAGGCGACTAATCACGGGAATAATATTCGCTGAACCAGGTTTTTAAAGTGATGCATCCACCGGTAGTTACCAGATTTTCATATTTTGGTAAATTTATTAAGGAGTGCTTTATATGTCTCAATAAGTATGCCTACGCCTCTCACTTCCCATGTTTTCACGATCTTTTTGATATATATATTATAGTAGCCCATTTTCAAAATGAGGTCAATATTTTATTTTGTTGATCAATCTCTAGAGCTCCCGTTTTTTTTTTATCCGAATGCCAACGGCATTCAGGAGAGTATCTTGAGATGATGCTTATGGTTTGGTTGGTTTCATTGAGATTGTCAAGTTTTTTAAAAAGAAATCACCAATGGATTTCGATATTTGTGTACTAATCACCACACTCAAAGAGTTGCTATCTGTTTAACAATAAGTTCATCGAATAATTAACAAATTTAGTAATGTGCGCAACTAGGTTTCCTTAGTGCGCTCCTATTAGATAATGATAAAATAGAAATTTAAGCCATACAAAACGCGAACTTAAACACAAAAATGAATATTCAAATTGCCAAATATAGAATGACCACAGCAAGCAAGATTATTGGATGAGAAAAATTAATTCTCGTAAAAAAAAAACTAATTAAATTAATTACAAAAACAAGGAAGCTCATTGGCCAAGATCTCGGAGTTCATTGGTTGACATTTTTCGAAATATTAGTATATGAAGAGAAAAAAAACTAACTAATTATAAAAAAGGCACAGTTTACCCAAAATATTCATTGCAACTGAAAGGTAAAAACTATTTTCGCAGACCGGTATTATGTATGGGTATCATTTGTGTAGACCAACAGACTGGTTTTTCTACAACTCACCCAACTTTACTTAAAAGCTGATTAAAAATGAGAAGAATGTTTACGAAACCCTACTCTCCTTTAATTTTTGTATGTTAGTATTTTCTACTGTATTTCTTGAGTTAAAATTAAATTAAAAACCTATTTTAGTGATGCTGCTTTCTTTGCGGTATTAAAATTTTTATTTGAGGCCTCATGAGAAGTGTATTAATCCTCTTATGACACTACTTACGATCAACTAACATTTCCATTACACATCGAAGATTATAATAAAATCCTAAAGATGAATTGTATTTAGTAGGTATTTTTTATTTTAATAACTTTTTCCAAGTATTTATCAGGGCAGTTGCCTATCGATCATAAGAAGGATACACTAGTTTGTTTATCTAACAACTACATTTTTACTACTCCTTTGGTAATTACCTTCAATTTTTACTAAGTAGTTTCGGCTTAAAATTCCCTTTTTTACTTAACGCTTTCTGTGACACTTCTTTTTTGCAGGTTATTGACAATTCAAAAATTGAAGATATTAACACGTTTTTGAATTTTTCTAATGAAGGTTGCAGCATATACATGGTAGTTGTGCAAAAAAACACTACTCCCTTTAGGTAACCAGGTGTTAAAAAAGTATATCATAAAGGTATAAGAAACTAGGAGCTTCTAACTATAATAAATCGATATAAAATTCCTTCTCTTACTTTTATAGTTATGGTTATTTTTCATCAAATTTATTTTTGATTCTATGTAGATGTTGAATTGTTTTCTTTGCGTTTAACAGATAATAAAACGAAGTTGGATTTAATCAAATTAGGGGGCTATAAGGTTTTGCTTCCTCTCCTAACAATCGATAAGGTTTTAAGATATTGAACTATAGATACTCCTGGCGTATGCTATCGATATAGCATGGGTGTTTATTATCGGCTCTCCAGGAGTTACCTTCAGCACTCCGTAAAAAGAATTTCTAAAGGCAAAGGTTATATATATTAACTCCCTAGGTCAGTGTACGAATAATTGTTACAGACACCGACGCTGTCTGTCAAAATGGGGATAGCAGTTACTGCTGTCCTTGGAACTTTTTATATGGTGTTATTTTACAAACTGAGTTAGCAAACAAACTTTATGTAAAGTTTGTAGCCAGTATTCTGTTTTTCAACCCAAATTCACGTACTACAACTTTAGTTATACTTTCACTTATTAGTAAACTTTTCACCACAAAAAGCATGTGTGTGCCGGAATCCTTCCATCGCCAAACCTGCCGTTGGTCAAATGACATTGAGCATCAGAACTTAGCTAATATTCCCGTTGTTGTTATTGCTGACAAGTGCGCGGACTACTTACTACGTTGTTGTGCAATTTGAAATGAACCTCTGCAGTCCTTGTTCTACTTGAGGGCTTGGTCTTTATTAATGGAACATACAATGTAAGGGAGTCATGCTAGAAAATGTCTATATTATTTCAGATGGCTTCTACCAAGACGTGCTATTCATCTCTCCAATGTTTGGTTTTCTCTTCTTTTATTTGTTAAAATCAATTGTTTATTCCGTAAATTTGATAAGACTTACGCGTGTTTTTTTGCCGAGCACCCGCCATTAAGCAGCTTTAAGGCCCAGATCTCGAGTAAGTTTCCGCTCCCTCACTGAGGAGCTTTTACGTATAGTTCCACTCTCTATATAGGTAACACAGTACGTCACGTGCGTTTTTTGACTTTGACAGTTCATTGCAGTATGGAATTATTCTTAAAGAAGTCATTTCTAAAATATATATCAAAGAGTTTATTAAACTTGCTTAGTACTAGAATATGAATTATTTGTTTCTCCTGGTTTTTTCTCCTACTTTTCACAACTCAGGATTAAACTTTTTTAGGGCCCCACATTGTTTTGTGCTTCCGCTTGATCTGATAATGAATATATCCACACCACTTCTGATCCCACACCCCTATTAACTGCTTTCTTCACCGGCTTAGTTCAACAATTAATTGTTAAAAAGTGCTAAGTAATAAGCTGAAAGTAGAATCGGATGTTGCAAGCTTAAAACTATATTAAAAAAAATAATTCAAGTGTACTAATAAGTTAGGAAGAATTCACAAAATTTTTAACTGTTTCTTTAAGGGCTATCTATTACCGAAGCGCACTTGGGAATTAGTAAAAGATAAAATTATTTATACTCAGGTCGGATTCGATTGGTGGCTCAGAGAGTATATGGAAAACGAAGGTCGGAGTGCGCAAGAAAAGACAACCCTAAATTTAGAAATTTTTATTCAACTAAGGATCTTGAATGCCTCACTCCCGCTTTCTCACGGACTTTCCACTACGGCAAAAAAAAGTCTCGCTTTATATATTTTCCTCTTAGGTTTATATGACTTTCAAGTATAAGATAATCCTCTTAGTTTATAGGAGTTTATAGAGTAGTTATGATCATAACAACTATATTCACCACCGGTTTAACACGCTTCCAAACGTGAAAATAAAACATGTGGATAAACTAATAAGGATTTTTTTTTGCGTTATAATAGTAAACTTTTCTTACAGTTTTGTAAAAAAAGGGGTTTTTTTTTAACTCAGTGTTTCATATATTTTATCTACTTTTTTGTTGTTTCATAAATCAAATTTTTACATTTTTCTTTATGTAATACACTATGAGGGTTCTTTAGACGAGGGTAACATCGCACTATAAACGTGAATGAGTGAGTATTACTTTTGCTTTAAAAAATTAAATGTTTTGTTAGTTCTTCAACTTTTCTAGGATTATACGAATACTTATTTTTTATATAATATGGTAGTTATAAAATCTAATAGCCTCTTGACAAATTCTGTTTAAGTTTGGCTTATTGCTTTCATGTTTATAAGGTAGCCTATAATTTTCCAATAATTTATTTATTATAACAGTATAATTTAAATAACAACTAATCACATTCCCTTCCCGACTTTTTAAATTTTTTATTTTTCTTAAAATTTATTTAATAAATATGAAATAGTATTATTTGAACAGGAGCTCTAAAAGAATTTAAAAAAGCAAAATCCATTACCTCCTCAAACGTTCCGTGTGTTGTGGGCTATAAAAATTACATTCCAAGTACAAAAAGGCTCATTGTTAATTGCTTTTGACCGCTTTTTAACAAATATTTTACAAATAAAATAGATTGGATAAAGTAGTTAAAAATTTTTCGTCCAATTATAATTTTTTAATTTGTTTTATAGTATTAAACTATTAAATATTAAACACGAAAACTTTTTAATAATATTATAGAATATTATATTAAAATTGTTTAGTGATTATTTCATTTTAACTTATAAATTCATTTTAATATTATGCGGTGGATCTTTTAAATAAAATTTGAAAATCAATATAACTTGATGATAATCCCTTAAAAAAGGTAAAAGTCAATTTTACTTACTAAAAATGTTTAAAAATTTTAAATCTGTGTAGCCATTGAGAAAACTGTAGACTTTAAGAACATAAAATAATTTTAGTTTAACTATAAAAATATTATACAGCTTAAAATACCTATTTTAGGACAGTGTGCTATTTGAATAATTTAAGACCAATTGTTTAGTGAACGTTTCATCTTTACTTAAATATACAATTGTTCTTATTTTCTTTAAGGTTAAAATTTCATAAAACAGTTGTTGGATTTTTAAGACATGTTTATTTATAGAGAGAAATATTACTTTTTAACTACTTTTAAATAAATAAAAAGTTGTGTAATTCTGAAGTAATGCTTGTTTAAAGTTATGAAAATATATTAAATCATTCATTTTTTACTGATCACTGTATATATTATAAAAAAGGTTAAGTATTTTTTAAAAGTCTACAAAAATGTACTTTTTAGGCCAAACTTGCATGGTTTGGTATGCTGAAAGTTTTACCGAGTATCCTCAAAGTAATTTTGCTTGGTTGGTTGGGGATAAGCGGTTCATTTTCCTCCATATTTCGTCACAATCCTTGAAATATTATAATTTATGGTGCTGTTGTTTTAGAATCTCTTACAAAAGTTGAAGAAAATTTAATTAGAAAAATTATTGATGCTAACATTTGGGATTCACTTTATTTTCTCTGCACTTATATTTTTTTAATTGAGCAATAATTTCAGTAAATATTTTTTAACTTGCTCTATTTACGTGAATGATAAAGGTTATGTTCGATGCTTGCACAAAGGAATCCTATCCTTTTACCTTAAAGATAACGTCATAATGGTAATACTTCTATATTTTACCTTTACGTTTTTCTTAAAATTTTAAGGCTGTTAAAAAACTTGGAAATTTTTTTTAATTTTTAGGTGGTCAGTGAAAAGTCAGCTTACACCAAAGTCTTAAAACCAAAAATATTTCCGTAGTGCATGTCAGTAGAAACATTTTAAGTCCCCTGAAGAATTGAAATATTTGCTTTCACTTCCAGCAAAACTTTTTTTTATTACGATGATACCTCTTTAAACAAATATTAGCAGTGCACAATCCCCTTTTTATTATATATAATAATATTTAATACTTCTTTTTCTACTGTCGTTAAATTTTTTCCATCTTAAAGAATTTAGAATATAGAAATTAGCGAAAGGCTAAAGTATAATAATTTTGAGTTAAATAGCGGTCCTCGTGCATTTCCCCCAAAATTTATTAAAAAAAATGCTGCTTTAATTCTAAAAGTTTTAATACCAGAAGATTATGGCTAATATATGTTCTGTTATAACCATGACAGATAGATGCAAAGTTTACTTAAAAAGTAACGGATAGCCTCAGGAAGGTCACTTAATTTAAAACTAAGGGCTAGAAATAAATATAACAATTGCTGCTAAATATTGTTTAAATATTACCGAAGAGTAAGTAGTTGAGTTAGTACTAGAAAATGTTTGATAACTTAATATATTATATTAAAGCTATAACTTAAACTTTTATTTTCAAAAATAAATTGGTTTATAGATAACAAATATTACTTATATTTGAGATTTTAGTATACTTTTTATATTAACTAATAGCCACTTGATCTCTATTATTACCCTTTAAGTAGTAAAACTAATAAAAGAGTGCTACCATGGCAAAACCGAAACCGAAGAGAAGAGGGAAGTCGCGGAGAGTTCAAAGTGGTAATTTACGCCGGGTTTGGAAGAACTGCTCCTCAAAATGCTAAAACTCAAAGTTGATAGCACTATGTTGTACATTCCTCTGCTGCTGCTATTGTTGATATATTAGTTGTATTACATACTTGACTCATTTTGTTATCTAATTGATCGAGTAGATCCCTAAAAACTAAGTGGACATTGATGTTAGGGGCGATGTTGCTACAATTCGAGTAGATTTTTGTGCACCCATAAGCCTAAATCGTGTAGGTTCTTGTACGAGTGATACTAAATTTACTGTTTTGGATCAACTCCACGTGTATGCTAGTTTGAGTCTGGTCTCTAATAGTTCTATGTGAAGTATGGTACACTTTAGAACGATGCTGGACAATAGTGCTAATAAATAGTATCGGAAACCATAGAAACTTTGTAACTAATGCCTATTAGGGAAAAACTTTCTATCTTTATGAACAAGATTATTTACTGAGGCTCAAAGTAATAAATTGTTTTATTTAATAAAAGCTTAGGTGAATTAACGACTACTTCCCTTGTTTTTTAGTTGGTAAAATAGGCAAATCAGCCTCTTATCATTCGTTGCCAACATAGCTGAATTAGCCATGCACCGCTTAAAACTGTTAGTTGACGCAAGTTATGCTTTGGAAAAGTTTAAATTTGGATTTAAACAAGGACAAGCCCTGACGTAATAGCTACTCGCTTGACAGAATGACGATCCGTGCCTTTAATTTAAAGTAGGCGTCAGGCGTGATCTTTCTTGTTGCCAAAAATTCTTTTGAGCGAGCTTGACACAAGCAGCTTACCTTACAATCTCGCACTACAGCTCTCCCCACCGGATTTTTACAAATGGGCCTCATTTTTAATACTTTGTGTAGGCGATAAGCACTTATTTTAAAACTACAAACAGTTGGCGACCCTCAAGGCTTTTTTTAATCACCCTTACTCTTCGTACTTTAAGTCGCGACGCACTACACCCTGAGGAGCTCCACGCGCGAATTGCTTTATATGTGAGTGATACAGCGATTTATTCTTTGTTTGTAGTGTTACTTAGTTATAACTGCTAATTAGGTGTCATTAGAAAATCATTATAAACGCAGATTAGAGCAAAACCCTTTTCATCACGAATAAGCCTACTACACAACCATTTATGCCAAACTTTCGAAGAGAGGATAATACCTTTGCGTTTAAGCGAAAAAGCGAAATAACTGGAATTATTATTAATAATAAGCTCTCGTGGCGACTGCACGTGAACTTAATCGTGAAGAAGGTCAAAGCGAACTGTCTTAATCTTCACCCCTACTTTTAGCCAAAAGCTATCTCTCGTTGCACAGCAAGGGACGCTTATATGTGTTACGTTTCTTGCCACTTATGGCTTACGTGCCTGACTGCTACGTTTTTTAACGGGAGTCTCTCGACTTTTGGATAGAGTCCTTGGCCACTATTTTGGATACAGTGCTGATAACATGTATGAACAAGCACATTAATCGAACACTGGCAGATGAGCGAAACATGGAATGGCGCGCGCTATCATCCACCGAGAAATGGCCTCGGAATTATACTAGGAGAAAAAGGTAGAATTAAGAGATGTTCACTTGAAACTGCCTTAACACTAGCCTAAAATTTGATGTTTTTTTTCTGACTTTAGCGAGCACCAGAAAATACCACTAACCATAGAGTACTAATCGGGATTAGGCAGTACCCCAGCTACTTTTTAAGCCCCCACGATTTTTTTTTAATTCCGCAGTTACTGCCATATGTACTTTCGCGTAATCCCGAAGATTATTTATCGTCACATATGAATACTGTAACGCTTTGGCGTTAGCAGTAAGTTTGCATAGCTATTAGCAAGTTAACACATAATACCTGTTAGCGCTCTAGGGTTTAAAAAAAAATTTGAAGGGAAGATAGATTTAAGCAGTTAAGGATTACTAGTTAAAACCTGCCTAGTAATTATAGGCGTCAAGTATAATTATTGATAAACTACTACTCTTGAGCTCTTCTCTGAAGATGGGCCCATCTAGCCAAGTTTTGATATTTGGAAAAGCGCCATGTAAATAAACTTAACTCGAGTAAGATGTTTTTTTATTTCGGTAATTTTGTCGAGCTTACCAGGAGTCTCTAAACCTGAATACTTACTAAATTCATATTACATCTTATAGCCTAGAATGTACTTTTATATTATACTATATTACTTGTGTTGTAAATTCAACACAATAGAAAATACTATATCTGTAATCAGTAACGGTTATTGAAGCTCTTATACAAACAAATTAGTTTTACCAACGGTTAAGGGTGTTCATATAAAACACAGTTAACTGACTTAATAGCTAAGGAGGATTCTATGTAATGGAGAAAGTGAAATAAATATCAATATTGTAAATCAATTGAGTAAGGCTCAACAAGACTTGAAAGAGGCAAAGAACGGGTAAATCGACCAAGAAAAGTCCACTGTTAGTGCTATAGAGAACTTGAGCTATTTTAAGGAAGGCAGCTTGCAATGCTCAGTATTCGAAGAATTTGATAAAACAAGGTGCACTATAGTTTCTGTCACTACTTTCTTATTTTCAATTATGAACACTTGTATATGTTATGTAACCTATAAATATTTATACAAAAACTTTAAGGAATTTTAAATTATTAATTATTAATTACTAACAAATAACATTACTCTTCTTAAGTATAATTTATTTTATTCGTCAAGTTGCATAGATAAATCGCGCTCATGTTGTTCTTGTTCCGAATCTTTTTTCGTACCGACCTCTTCGCCTTCTATAGTTTCTTCCCTTTTCGATCGACTTTCCAGTTGGCTTAAAAGCTTAGCAATTTCCTCTTCTTCGATAAGTTTACAAACTTCGTTGGCGCTTACAACAAGAACTGAAGTGTTGTGAACAGTTAGCTCATAATTGTTAGGCAGACTATCCCTTAGTGCGTGAAGGCCGTAAATAATCAGTTCGTCCCTCTTGGCTATTATAATATTAGACGCACTTTCTTCAAGAAAATATTATAATCTTTAAAAATAACCGTTTAAAAACTTTGATAAGTTTCTCTCCAGATAAGTTCGTGAAGATTGTGAGCGTGATCCAATAGCCATGGCCTGGCAATCAAAAAAGTTGGCTGAAGGACAGAACTGATAAAGTTTCGGTCCTGCAATCTTCTATAAAGCATAGTTTCTTTTTTTTAAATATATAAAAATAACAATAATAATTTTAACGTCAAAGCCGCCTATGAGTAGCCCAACCCCATACGGTCGTCCTCCATACTGTTGAGTTGTGACTTGGGCCTCTTATAAAAGAAGCGAATCAAACTAATATTGAGTAGAAGATCACAAATACGAACTATCCCCCAGCTTGGCTACAAGTCTTTGTATAGGCATCGGCGTTTCAAAAGCAAACTTGGAATGCAAACATTCTGTTCTCATAAACTTACTTTTACAGAAACAAAGCGAGCCAATAAGTATAATCTCAAGTATAGTAAAATTAATATAAAATAAAAAGTGCTACCTCAGCATCCTAGCATCAGAAGTCAAACCAGCAATAGCGCAACCGATATGATCGTCAATGTATAAAACCTTTTTCTGATGAGTCGAGAGCTCGTGGGCGGATCTCTAACAAAACACCATTATATTAAATTCTATAATTCATGCAAAATTTATAAGCTACCTTTAAACCTAACAAAACAACATGGGTACTGGACTTTAAACCAACAGCGCAAGAACCTTGTTTTACTGCTTCCATTGCGTACTCTACCTGATGCAATCTTCCTTGAGGACTCCATGTTATTGCATCACTGTCGTACTGATTACGAAACATAACTAAAAAATTAATATATAGGTATTAAAATTGTGAGGGAAAAAAAAGAATATAGAAAAAAGCTGGAACAAGAAAACTCTTAAAAACGCAGCTGGCATTCACCTTGCTTACCTTCAAACTTTAAGGGTTACGACTGGGTCAAACATTCATTAGAATTAATAAATCAGCCACACCAAGTCTAAAGGCTGGTGGCTACTGTAGTCGCTGTGAAGCATAAAACGTTTCTCAAATGATATCAACCGTTATAGTGTACATGAAAGAAATAGAATAGATAGTGTTCCCTAATTACTGAGTATGTATAGCTTGAAAATTAATTTCATATTAATCACAAAAGGTAGACTTTATGTGGGAATTTTTACTTTCACATCTTCCAACGTAATAAATGAAAGACGGCAATAAATCATATATTTGCCACTATTAATTGTAAATGTATTATAATATATCATCCATTATATGAAATACTTTTTTATCGGATGAGAGTAATTAGTGACTACCGTATTAACCCATTATAAAAAAGTTTAAGTTGTTAATCCTAGAAATAGAACGAACGCCTTGAGTTGCGTGAGTAGCAACTAGGGCCAAGCTTCATCCAATTTTCTAGTGTGCTTTCGAAATAATATAGAGGTATCCATCTTAGCTTCCAGTTACAAAGCAGGTTTTAACTTAATGTGGACTTGTAGGCTTTACTGGAAGTTACTATTTTATACAATATATGTAAGAAGCTCCCTATCAAAGATTATAGAATTCCACCTTATCTGTGCATAAGAAAGAATGTTAATTTTTTCCCAAGGTATAATAAAAATGTTAATAATTTATATCACTCTTACCTGTATTATTTTAGTATCCTTTTTAATAAATTTTTGGGGTTGTGTTAGTTTTATATTAGATTCTTTTCATAATGCTTTCCTTTTGGCGTTAGGGTCGTGTTGTACCTTTATACAATCTATTTTACATAATTTACCAACTGTGATATATTATGTAATTTCTATTAACACTAATTTTCTATGTCTGGCGCACTCGAACTAAAGACGACCTCCGCGTATTTAACTAACCTCTTGTAGCCTGCACCGATCTCCTATAAAAATAGCTGGTTAACTAAGAGAGGGGTACCGTAGAAGAGGGTGTCTGTTGAAAAGCTGGGCCGTTTACTGCTTTAAAATTGTTTTTGCGACTTTAATGCTATATTTGTTTTCTTTTTATTGTTCCTTATCTTTATTTTTGTCCACTACCTTCATAAATGAAAATTTTATATAAAAAATAGGTTTACTTATTTTATATTTTCAGTAAACTTTAACTTTTCTGGAAGAAATAGTGACTATACACTCATACTATTGCAGTTTAACGGCTCTCTCCCAAGTTACCTATTAAAATATAGATGAATATTATTAAAAAAGCTGGTATTGATTGGACTTCAAAAAACAAAGCAGAATTTGGAGCGTGCCTGTAAAACTTCTAATTTTAATTCTATAATTACTACTTACCTTCCTCTTTTTAGCCTTTGCCATAGATTTGAGCCTAACAACTTTCAAAAGGGAAAACTAATACCCTTCCCACGCAATGATAGTTCTCTATATATTGAGGAGACAGTTTCAGCTGTTTTAATAAGTTATCTTATCACTCTGAAGAGCTATGCTGGGTTCATGAAAATTGTCTAAACTTGGAAACCTTCGATCTCTCACAAAATGAAATTAATAAAAGAATTCAAAGCGCCGAGAAGCAAGTAATATTTTTTTTATAACGCATAATTTTATACTTGTAACTTTATTTATTAATATTACTATAATAGTCGTTTTCTTTTCCTTGTTTTTAATAAAGTATTAACGAGTATCTTTTAGTTCTTTTACTACATCTTTAGGAAATTTATTATATATCATGAGTTACAAGCTTTAAGCAACCCTTAAATTACATAAACTGTAGAATTTCTTTATTTTTTTTACTAGCTTTGTTTTAATTGTTGTCAAATTGGAGCAACCTACGCATGCGCTCTTTATCTTTGCGGCCGTATGTTCCACTATCCTTGTTTATTTGAACAAGGAAGTCGAGCTTTTCAAGTAAAATATATAAAGTTTGTAGTTTTACATTTATTTATAAAGTTTCCATTTTATTTAGCTATCGTCCAAAATTTATTATTGTAGTAGTCATGTAGATGTTATACAAGAATATATGAATAACCACGTAAGCTGCAGGTTTTTATCGTTAAGTATCTGTTCGTTGTGCTCCATTAGCTTTTAATAAAGGGTATGTTCCTGCGCGGGCAATTTAAAGGATTTGCTTTATTGCTCGGAGTGCGACACTTTTTTGCACGGCCAATGCCAGGTCCTGTTCTTTGCTTTTAGATTTAGTCGATCCTTTTAAAAGTTTATAGGAACCTCCCGTGGATAATACAACTGTTTTTGGTCCTTTCTCTTGTTTTTGCTGCAAAAAATGTGCAATTTGCTGGTTTGTTTTTTGAGTTCACTTTAACTCTAGTAGATTGTGAAACCATAATAACTCTGCAGCTTGGGTTCGGACCCTGAACTTCTGTTTGTGTGCAGTGTGTGTGATCGGGGTTATCATACCTACTGCTTATCCCCTGGCGAGGGGAAAACCCCCTTTGGTTTGTATTCTACAGCCACCCTTTGCGAGCCAAGTTATCCTACTATCTATTAGATTCCTGGGTCTGTGCCAGTCCTGCTTGTCTCTCAAAGGTGTCTACTAGAACTTTTTTTTTTTTTATCTAAAAAAGCTTATATCTCCAGCAAAAAAATACTCCTTCAGAAACTTATAAGCGGCAGTTGTTTGTGGATAACGCGTTGGTTTTCTGTTCCACTATACCCAGTTGGAAGAACCACTCTAGGGATATTGTTTCCACAGAAGTAATGCGCAACTAATATAAAAGCTACTTAATTTTAAAGTAAAGTTATTGCCGCTCAAAAGACGGTTAATAGACTATTAGAGGGCGCTGCACGGATTTTGTTCTTTCAAGAAGATTTGACTGCCGTGGTAAGGTGTAACGATAGCCTCCCTTTCGATTCTCATGAAAAGTTTTTTTCCAGGAATTTTGTTATATTTGTGGCATAAGTGAAGGAAATGATGCAGATTATATACATTGCATCCAATGTGGTATCCTTGTAATGTCATTTACCTGTAACTTTGCCACTAAGACCTTCAGGCGAGTGTTTCCATATCGCGTGCGTTGGCAGACCTCACACCGATGTTTTACTCTGTGGATGGCGGTGTTACAGTTGCCAAGTGAGTTTGTCTAATGCTGCCTCATTTACATTATTCTTTTAGTTAATACTAGCTGTTACACAGGCTTGTGAAATATGCTTCAACACTTTAAACGTAAGAAAGGGGGTGATGAGTATTTATGCTCAAAACAACTTTAAGATCTCTGATGAAAATGTCCCTAAACCAGTAGACAATGCTATCAGTGAGCAGCATAGTACCATTTATAAACTTTAAAAAATATAAACTGTTAATACTGAGTTTGCAGGAGAACCCCCCCAAGGAGAGGGCTCACCTGCCATATCCTGCAGGACTTGTCAACGTGTCTTCCATATAGCGTGTCTGAGGTCATGTGCAGGCGCTACGGACTTGAGCACTTGGAACTGTCTGAGGTGCCGGGGGAGCTGCGTAGACTGCGGCCAGCGGGAACCAAACAGGTAGCTTTCCTCTCCACGTGTCTGTTATGTGATCCTACCTGGCAGTGTGCTGGCAAATCACAGCTACTACAAAGGTGACGGCGTTTGCCGGGAATGCGCTCATTACCGAAGGATGGGGCACGTTTGTTGCGTGTGTGACAGTGTCTATGACGAGATCCGCACCTTGGGGATGGTCAAGGCTAGTCGTTATTATAAATGTCTATAAAAATTTAGTTCTAATATATTTTGTCTAGTGCGAGGAGTGTTGCAAATGGGTGCACTTCGTGTGTCTTAACATTGACAGGGAACAGCAATCTCTTATCAGCTCCGAATTTCCGTATTTCTTTCTATATTATCTCATCGTGAACTCAAACACCATCAGGTTTTATTGCCCGGATTGCACGTGCCTTGACGACTGCAAGACCCGGTCAAACAGGGTGTGCATATTTATTAAGGATGAGCACCTTTTTATGGCTGTCTTTTTTTTTTATTGTTATGTAGCTATTAAAGAAGTATTTGGAAAAAAAGTTGGAAGCGCCTTCTAGTAAAGCAAACGCCACCTGCACTTTGGAAACCCCACTGGCGCACGAGACCATTATTCCCACCCCGCTTCCCTCCGCTCCTTTATTTCTTGTTAGTTTAAAAAGACATTTTTTTACATCCCCGTCAACATAATATAAAGATTTTTGTAACTGCTCAGTCTGTAATATCCTTTTAAAAAGTTAACTTTTCTTTCTACGGCAGAGCAGTGTCAGCGCAGGTCCAAAAGCTGCCAACGAAATGCTTTACACCTCAGTACGTACATTTTGCCTGCTTGACTTTCTTTGTTAACCTTTTTGTACGGCTTTACTAAGGTTTACAGCAATATCACACGCCACCTGAGGTCATCTTTCTTAAATAAGGTTTCTTACTTTACAAAGGTAAGCGGTTATTCATTCATATAAGCTTGTTAACTCCAACAACTTTGAAAAGGACCGCAACCAACTTCAAAATTACAAAACTGGAATTCAAAGAATAGGCAAAGAGAATGTACCAAAACATGCCTCCCATATAATTTACATGTGACCACTTTTTATATTTTTTTACGCAGTTCGCGTTGTTCGAAAATGCTAACAACTTTACTGAGAGGCTATACCCACGTGAGACGATGTCCAGTTAATTATTTTTTGTTCTTAAGTATTCCTATAATATGCTAAATAAAGTGCGGTCAATGGCGTAAACGAGGCGGACGATACTTCTCTCGATTTTCGCTATTTTTTCTGGAATGCTAAGAACCGCCACTCTCGCAAATGGCAACGCCTTTCCCTTTTGCATCGCCGACTGAGCCAAGTTTACTTGACTGAAGCCAACAGTGGCGAGCAGGCCGATTTTGTAAGTATGGTTGCGGACAGTCAGTACGCCTTCAACCTTCATACTGGTTGGATAAACCCTTTAACTCTCCAGCGCATCAATCGTCTGCATTTAATAAACGGTTTGCTGCTTCTCATTGCGACTGCTTACTATTTATATTATTGCTGGTGTATGATAGAGGGAGATATTATTCCAATCATAAGAAAAGGTAAAAACATTGAAAATAAAACAGTGAAACCTCTCACGTGGTATCCACTCCCTCGCATTGCGGTGGGGGAAAGGGACCCGAGGTGCTTTGTTTCCCTGAGAGGCGTTCATATTTTCTCTCACACAGTTGACAGAAAATGTTTCTTCTGCGCAGTCGACTTACCGAACGAAACTTTGGTCAACTATAAAGCAGTTTGGGTGGTTTAGTATTGCCTCTGGCCCTTTTCACTTTAATGTTAATTATAATATAAACAGTGGCATAGCAGTTGCATCGCCTCATGTGTGGATTACAAAGCTCACCTTGAGTCCCTACTAAAACTCCTTTTTCTTCAGGACATGTACAATGTTATCTACAACAAAGTTGGTCATCAACCCTTCTCTTGCTTTTTATTTATAACGAACTTATCGCTTATCCCCATGCAGACGACACTGGAGGAGGAATTAGGCTTCCACATGAAAAGCCGCGTGGGAGCACTGACCATTCACTCCATTGGAAATCTCGTGCCAACCAAGGAGTTTGTCTCGGAAGACCGTGCGTGCATCTATCCCGTGGGTTATCGTGCCACGAGGCTGTATTGGTAAATCCTCGCATGATTGCTTGAGAAAAGTGAGTCACGTGCCCTTTGCGTAACAGGAGTCTCTGGAAGCCCACCCTCAAGGCCGTGTATACTTGTCTAATAAAAATAAAAAACAACCGACCTCTTTTTAAGCTTTCTTGTCCTTCAGAAAATTGGAAGCTTAGGAACGTCGATCTAAACGGTGCTGTTATTGTCAATAAAAGGCGCTGTTAAGATTTTTAATATTTAGCACAACATTTTCCAGCGCTTTATGCCTCGTTTATTGAAAAAGTTAACCAAGCTCGATTCGCACAGCATAAAGATGGAATATGGAAGGGCCAGCAGTCAGTTTATTTTGAAAACAAGGCTCCCTTGACTTTTTTCGGTCCTCTAACATTTCTTACGGTTTATTCTTGGGTGTGACCAATTTTCTTTTTTACGTAGGATTAAACCACGACCTCGTGACGTGGAGGATTGAAAATCTTCCAGGTTTAACTTGCTTTTACTGCACTGAAGGAGCTAGTAGCATTAGAAGCTCTCTGGGTGTTCAGGTGCCTGGACACTTGAAAAGTTCTATGACTTCAAGCACTTTACGCACCCCAAAACTTTGAAGAGTAGGTACGAGGCACTAAATTTGGTGTGTGTCCTTTACAAAGCACTGCTATTTGTCCGTTAAACAACTATTTGCCTACGCAGCCAAGTTATCATCTGAATCACCCTCCCAGAAACGGTCTGTTGTGTGCCAGATTGATCCCCTACTGCGATGTCGTAAGAATGAAGGACTGTTGGTGTTCAGTAGAGAAAATTCCTTTAAAAAGCAAGCTTCCGATGGTTAAGTGTAAATGTTTTCGCTGCTTATGAGAATTTCTGAGCTAGCCTAGAATCGATAGTTTGGGGCTTTCCTTTAATCTGCTCTGTTATTTTGTGTACATAGAAAAGTGTCAAAGCCTTGGAGACTATCTCTTACTTTACGGATTTATCGAAGGCAAAGGCCTCTCGCTCCTCAAAACCTCAACCGCGGTCGCTAGAAAACCAGTATTTAACGTTGGAGGCGTCCTCACGCTTGCGCACTGTCGTCTCAAAGTCCTCTATTCAGGTTTTTAACTTCCAGTTCTTCCTATAATGATTTTTGACTATGGCTCATGCTTAGGGCCGCGGTGTTTTTGCCACGCAGCCTTTTGAAAAAGGTGAAGTAGTGATGGAGTACACCGGAGAGCTGGTGCGACCGGTTAGTTTGTTAACTTATTTTACCTTTCGTTTTTAATTAAAGAAACTTCTACAGATCATAGCGGACGCCCGAGAATCCTTTTACAAGCAATACGGGTTAGGCGACTACGTATTCCGCCTGACCGACTCCGTATACATAGACGCCACTTTTAAGGGAAATAATGCGCGCTTTATTAATCACTCCTGCGAGGTGCGTTCTTTGTCAAGCCTTTTTTTCTCAAAACTGCTTGACTTTTGCTCCTGCGGTAGCCAAATTGCAAGTCACTCGTCGTGAATATCGAAGGAGAAGCTAAAATTATTATCATAAGCGCGCGTGATATTGAGGTTTACGGGTATTACTTTTACTTGTTTAGTACTGCTTAAGTTTATTATGAGGCCGGAGAGGAGCTGAGTTATGACTACAAGTTTGACTGGGAAGATGAAAAGAAGAAAGAAGAGTGTAGATGTGGCGCACTGAACTGCAAAAAGTATCTGAATTATATCGACAGAGTAAAGAAGAGGGGTTGACAGAGAAATCGAGTTTTGGCTGCACCAACCAACTCTCCGAAGGCTAGATTTACGTATGAATACCAGCAGCGAACTCCGTGTGCTAACGAAACTACTAGAAAAATTTATACCAAGTTCACTATTAAAATTTGTAACATCATCGCCCTTCTTTTTACGAGAAGTATCAATATTTAACAAGCGAATAATTTACTTTGAAGAAGCATAATGACTCACATGCTTAACTTTGTAATCTAGTCACTATTGTAATTTCAGTTATTCACTACAGCTCAAAAGCATAGTGAGGACCCAGCTAGCGTTGTACTGGCAATACACATGTAAAATTAAAATTAAAAAACGTAGATGAAAAAAATACTCAAGTCGCAACTTATGCCGCATTAAGTAGGCCAACCCCGAAATTTAGCAAACTAAGCGTTTTAATGAAACCTATTGCAGTGCGGTGATAAGGAAACATGAAAGTAGCTTCTTACAATATATTTAGTTAAGGTTAAGGTCTCAAGCGAGAGAGTGTATGATGTAATTAAAAATTTTCCAACTTCATTATGTTCAACTAGAGAAATCCCAAATTTAGGCAAAATGAACCGCCTAAAACCACAAATTAGCAGTTTTTAAGGTTAATAAGAAGAAAAACAAAGGAGGAACTAAATATTAGCGATCAATAATAGTAATCGCATAATGGAGAATATTTACACTATCACACAAGGCTGAAAAGTTATTCAATTTTGTAAAATAAATTATGGTTAAAAAACGACGTTTCATTCCAAATTTAACTATTTATTTAAATATTTCTTGGTTAGATTAACGAGAAAAACAATACTCTTAAATGGGCTCTTGATTAAATTCTTTTTTTTAAATTTTTCTATATATATTTTAGTTAAGTTGTTCTGTTCTAAACCCGTAACCGGTGGCGTAGGGCTTAATAATACCATATACAAAAATGTTTTTCTTTAGGGTAGAGTGGCAGAAATATGCTCAAATCTAAATTTTTTTGTTAATTTAGGATCTCATGAATGCAGACAAAAAAAATTTGAAATTACTATAAATGTTTATAAATGGATATTTTTAGTAATTTAAAATGCATAAAACACGAGCGTTGTGTGTTATTTCAATAATATAACAAACTGCAACATAATAAGCTAATGCTGTCTTAGTAATAACGCTCCTTATAAAGAATCTCAACTATAAAACAATATAGTATATTCAACTAATAACTACTTGGCAAAAATATATAATGCACAATTCACACAACGACCAACAGTACAGCTGCCGCAGATAGAGGCGTAGCATTTAAAATTTGCTTTTCAGTCTTTGCTTAGTAGTCTTTCGCCTTAACTTGTCTTTCCGTAAGATGTGGATGATGACCAGTTATGGATTTTTAGAGAGTTTAAGATGTTCAGTCCCAATCTCGAAGATAGAGAAGGCTGTTTAGCAGCCTTTTGCTCAGTTGAGGCTCTACATGTTGCTTAGAAACTTTAATATCTGCGTAGGATTTCTAGGAAAACTGTAAAATAACACGTAAGCCTCGATGAGGCTAATGTTTTTTAGGATTAATTAAATAGCTTGAGGTCACCCGTTGGTTCGCCGACTAGTAGAGTAAAAGGCGAACTTTTCGTCCAAGGTGTCCACGCCTCCTTCGATTTTATTGTAAATCTCGATGATTTCTGGTTTCCCATACACCGGTTAAATACGGCTATAGTAGTTCTTTTACAAAATTTAAAGTACAACTTAATTTTTCTTTGGTTTCAGAGGTCACTAAAGGGGCCCCTAGTAAAACCGAAATAGGCGGACATTTCTTCTTTTCCTTTTGTAAGAAGAAATTTCATGTGGTTAATTCTCTTGCTCTTTCTCCAGGTCCCAAAAATGTCAGGTGTTTCTTCTTTAATTCCACGCAAAGAGGTTGAACGAGAACCAGTTATCAACTGTAAAGTTTCGGGGATTTTTTCGATGGATGGGGGAAGCCAAACTTAATGGATTGGGTCGGTTTTCCCAATTTTTTTTCAGAAAGGGTAAGTTCATTGCTGTCCTTGCCAGAATTAATATAGGCTTACAAAAAGTAGTGCGTCTTCGCACATCGTTCGATACCATAATCTTCATCCGTATTTTCGAGGTTTATTTGGCATAAACAAGCGAAATCTGCATCGCCCTCTAAATCTATCCAGCTTTCGTATAAGGAAGCTATTTCTCCAAAAGGAGGTATAGTTGACAATTTTTTACAAGTCTCGAATACCCAAGATATTGCAGCCGTTGCGACAGTTTTATTTCTCTCTGCTCTATCAGATGCATTATCAAAGCAAACGCATATGTTAGAACAACCAGTGTTCGCTTCAAAGAGATGACGCAGCGGATGATCTCGCGACCGGTGCGACCGGTGCCATTTGTAGCAAACAGTGTTTCAAAATCATAATTTATTTTGAAGAATGCTGAATATCAAGATCCCTAGGAACACTCGAACTTCAATAATATTTACATCTCTGTAATCGTGTCTACTAGCTAAAGTTGCAACCTAATCTGCCAAAACTTTTCATTTATCCGTTAAATATTTCGTACAATAATTCATCTGTAAACAATAGCCCTCAAGCAAACAGCTGAGTAACATAATTTCCTCTCTGATTTTGCTGGGCCAATAATGTCCGGAAGATGTGTAATGTTAAACTTTTAGAACATTTGACTTTGGAGGTTTGTTCTACCCATAATATACTTAGGGATTTGCTTTCTACTTTTTCTTCTGTATTTGGCTGATCAACATTATTTGAAGATATATCCCCGGGTTCAGATTCGAGAAGTTCCTTTTCGGAATCACTCTCACGGTCACTAACGAAGCTCGGGTTAACAATTTCCACCTAGTCACTACTATAACCACTCTCTAACTCATAAATATTTGTTATCCTGCCCTCGAAACCAGGGCCATCCGATATCAATACACGTCTTGAAGACGTGGAAGTCATAACACTAAAAAGAAAGAATAGTAGCCGTAGTGAGGTGGGACCTGGCAAACCTCAATTTGGACTTGGAAGGATATAGTTCTTAACTAAAAATTGTTCAGTAGCGTGTGTGCCACACCAGTTGAGAGCGAACTAACTAGAAGGTATAAAGACTGTGAGCGATCTCCCATTACCTCTAATTATGTAGCAACACCTTAATTTCATATACCTCACTGGTTACGTAGCAACGTTTCTACTAAATGCCTTGTGCCTTAAAAGCGGTGAAATTGTTTAATTTTTCTTAATTTTCTTTTAAATAAGGGTAGGGTATTGAATGTTTTTATGTAATTGTTTTTAGTTTAAATATTTATTGTGTTGCTGCGTGTAACTACTTCATACTTATCATTACAGCTTAACCAATCCAAACAAAAGCGCAGCGGTACGGTGGTCATATAGGACTAAAAATTTTATTGATATATTCTAAGACAATTATTATTTAACCACTGAGAACCAGAGAACATCCTTCAAGTTAATAACTATAGCAACCCAAAGAAGCCAAGAAAATATATATGCGCTGCGGATGTTTGAACAATAAAGGGGAATAATACGATAAGTAAAGTGCCGTCTCCTCCACGTATAAAGCGAGAGCGTAATAATTTGGCCCAAAAGTGTCTCACCGTAAAGATTACATTTTTAAAAGCTAGTGTGTGCAGCTTGAAGAGCAAGACCTCATGTTGACCTCCATTGTCTTCTCAACGTCAAGAAAGATGCTTATCACCTTATTTTAGGTGCGAGTAATCCCTTCTATTGGAAACCAGTTTTAAAATCCAATGGGTCTTCAACAGAGCAGCGCGAGCATCGTTGATTGCTAGTGAGAGGCTGGTGGTTGGTACTTCGTTAAGTAGGGGAGGACATGTCTAGGGTAATGGTATAACAGAAAACCAGCTTCCATTGCATCAACAGGCAACTCTCTCTGGTCGAACCGTTAAGGAGGCAAAGCTCAACCGTCGCTATTAACCGCATTTGCCAAAATTTTGGGATTTCTTAATGTTGAAGAAATATAATTGAAACAATAGCTTTGTATCGTTGCGAGAGTAAGGAGAGTTAATTAAAAAAGATTATGGCGATGTTATTGATTAAAAATAAATGAACTAAATGGTTTTGAAATGGTAACACGTGGGTAGAAGTAGAAGGCAAACAAAGTAATAGCGAGCTTAAGATTTCTATTGCGCCTTATATAGTGCTGCATTTGACTCAGGGTACAGAGAATCAATCGCTATTGGTTAGTTACCTGATAGCAGGAAATTATTCTACGATAGCTATAGCCTAACAAAGGGGATTAAGTACCGAACACTAACTACAAACTATATATTATTTCAGTTAACCCTAAAAAAATATTTTTCTATAGTTTATCAGTAGCCAAAAAAAACTTTATTAAAGCGTCCCATCCCAATTAAAAAATATTTGTAAGTTACTAGTTATGACAGTACCCCAGAACGCTTAAAGTTAACAAGATTACTTTATAATCTTACATAAAATATATATTAAAAGGTTATTAAGTTTTATTAAGATATTGTTACCTTTAATTTCGTTAGGCCTTGACGACAACAAAAACTATCGGGTCATATTTAACAAGAGCAGAAGAATTGATCAACATTTTGCAGTTCGAAGCAAAATAAAGCTTGAATAACAAAATATTACATACTTAAGCAAAAGCCATAAACAATATAAATTTAAGTCCTCAATGCAATAATCCAGCTCTATTGCACTATATAAATATTGACCGTAAAGTGTTTACACTATCAATAAAATTAACTTCGTAAATACAGAGTGTTTACTTAATCCAAAACAAATACGTATTAAATATTTATTGGTTTCGTTAATATATAACACTCAAAATTACGCACGTGACCATAGCGCAAACGTACAACACAAAAACTTTTTGCAAGCTACCAACGATTGGTGGGATTGACTGGAGAGAATTTACTCGGCAACGCTGAAGATGGTACGACAAAAGAGGCGACGTCTAATCTTTTTGTAGAGTCCGCTTTAATGCGCCGCCGAAAGTTTGTCATACCTTTTCCGGATCCCACAACCCCAACCTTACCTTCAGTGGTGGATGCAAAGATACTTGGCTTTGCCTATATCATGCATATGAAAAAGACGCAAGCACGTTATGAAACTTTTCCCCAAACGCATTTACTAAAATTTAAACCTTGCCTGCCATAAAACCGGACTTCGCTCTACCACCCGCAGATCGGTTAAAGGCCAGCCACCGTTCCTTTTCTTTTTCACGTTTCTCTTCAAGCTCAATAAGACGAGCTTTTTTTTTAAGTTGCCTGATTCGCTTTTTTTCTCTAAGAGCCGCTCTTTGCTGAGGAGTGATCTCACTCGCATCCACTTTTTTAATTTTGCTGGTGACACCAGGATTGAAATGTGTAGAGATTGTAGCTTTTCTAATGGACGAACAGTTAACTATTTCGGATCTTCCATGATCAACAAAAGTGACCGTGCAAGTCCCATTAGGATGTATTTCGGAGATGACGGCTTCATAGTATAGGCCTAAATAAAGAATATATGGCTTAAATCTTCGGTAAACTTTTTAATCTAGATGTTAGCGTTTAATATTTCCTTTAAAAAGCTTTACAGAAGTTAATTTATAATCTAATTTTATAACTACCATCAATACTATAAACAGCCTGGCAAACTTCTCCAACTTTCCAAGCTGTTTTGCAGCTTAATTCCAAGAGTTCTGAAGATACTGTTATAACTTTTTCCAGATCTTCTTTTAATTTCATTAGCTGCGAGTTATTAGGATCCATGGCCAACGCGGCTTCCACTTGTGCTAATTGCAAACGAAAATTTTCAAGATCGATATCACTCATATTATTTTTATTTCCTAAAAAAGAATTAAAATTATTAAAATTATGATATAAATTATTTTGCGTAATAAAAAAAACTTTTAAACCTTTAAACAATAAAACAAGGGTAATAATAACATAGTTCTTCTTAAACAGTAAGCAAAAATCCACGCTTCGTTTAGAATCGCTAAAATAAATATAAAATATTATTGCTCAAATAGTATAAAATTATTTAAAGTAAAAAAGCTAGCTTCCACTCATACTACTTATTGAAAAGTAGTACCAACAATATTAAAAATCCTGCCAAAGGTAAGACCCTTTTTAGCGTAGCCCAAGAAAAGTCTCTCTGCCAGTAAGCTAGTAATTATGATACTCCACCTGCTCATAAGGTCACTCTTCCGTTTTAAATAGTATGAGGTCAATTGCTCCTCCCTTCTGAGAGGAGCTCGAAATCGGTGAGACCTTGCTAGCAGAGGTGATTGCCGGTTCACCAGGCGACCTCGGGCCTCTTCCGGTGGTGGCTTTTGGTGGTTTTCCCACTAGACCAAAGGGTTAGGAGCCTGGGGCAAATATTTTCCGCTTTTCCAGTCCTTCGGGACAGTCATTATAGCTCTATAAAGAGCGTACACTGGTGGGCACTCGTGCTCCAACCCCTGCAGAAAAAGGGAGATCAGATTAAGCGAAGGCCGTAGTATGTCAGTGCTATAAAAAAAAAATTATTAAAAAATAGTATGTTACACCATAACCAAACTTTCAAATTTTTTAGAATGTGGCCTGTACACCTCGACTTTTTACTTAGAATTTATCATAATTAATTATTCAGTTTACATTGAACCCTATTTATATATATATTACTTTATTATATAATAGTTTATACCTATTACTTTGCTCACTACTTCGCTCGTTTCATAAATGTATAATCTATTATTTACTTATTTCCTTCATTCTTTTACTTTCACATACCTATAGTAGCTTGGCTCCTCTACCACGAGTTTTTTTTCTGCCGGGTGTACCCGACAAGGCCTTATTCTTAATTTATTGACTGTTAATAATGCTTAGAAAGGAATTTGAAGTCACTAAGGCGACAATGTACTAAAATCTTGAAAAAAAAAATTCTTATAACAACATTACCAAGAGACTAAAAGAGTCAAATGAAACTAAAACAAAAACTGATAACCCATGTTCTGCTCAGCAAATTCTTGATAAGATCCGGGCCCCACAAAAAATTATACTTGAAGATAGGGTAAAAAATAAATTATAGACTGGTAATGGTTGTTTTAATAAAGTCTTCTAGAATCATCATAATAATAGTGTAATAAAAATAGTACTAGTATTAATAGTTATTATATCGTAGTTATATTGATAAATGCAGTAACAATAGTAATAATAAACTTTTATAAAATGTTAAACACAAATTTATTAGAAGCAAATGCTAGTAATATCGATACTAGGAACACTAGTTTCAACAGTTTTGGTTACAACAAGCACAACCTTGTTAATAATAGTAAAAGACCGCTCCTAGTAATTATAGTAATTCTAAAAATAACAATTACAGTAATTATAATGTTAGCGGAGACAACACATTAATAACAGTATTTTTTTAAATTCAGAATTCCTACTATTCATTCTGAGAAACAAAAGAATGGAACCTCTTTATATACATATTAACAATATTTATATTTTAAAAGTCAAACATTGCGCAAAATTTAGATTTTACCTTTTGGTGGGAGCGGATACAGGAAAATAACTTCCTTTTAGGTTTGGGCAAGCAGGAATACTACATATAGCAGCTTTACTCCGAAAAAGATATAAAAGTTGTTATTCGCGAAGTTATTATTGGGATGTTTACCTCTTATATAAATGCTGAACCAGATAATTGATTTAACCCTCTAGAAGTTATAAGAATGCGGAGTTATATTAAAAATTTCAGGGCCCTAACCCTGGTTTTAGTTAAACTACCCCAAGCTGGGGCGCACATATTTAAAATAAAAAACTAAGAATTCGTTGCAGGCTCTACTGAACCTTAAAAAAAAAGTGGAAGATAACCACAGTCTCGGAAGTCAATTATATGAGCATATTCAAAAGTGTTGGCTTTTTAAAACCTCGATGCGTGAAATGCAGGCAAGATCTTAATTCTATAATTTACACCAAAAGAGCTGATCCCCCTGCAAATTTGTTACTAATTAAAAATCTCTCATCAAAAAAGAGATTCCCATTTCAACTCAATATAACCTATGCTCAAGTAGCAGACTTGAGTCCTTTTCCACCCTTAGAATATCAAGATTCTTTTAACTGCACTCAGTTAGGTCGAAAGTCTTCGTTTGCAAAACCTCTCCACAAAAATTCAAATAAAAACTACTATTCATTCTCTTCCTATAAGAAAGGCTACAAGTCCCGACGGTATTTCTAGCAAGATGCTTGAATAATAAATAACGATAGGCCTCCATTTTTATCACCAAATTCTAAAATTTAATTTTATTTAACTCATTTTCCTAACCATTTAAAAACGCTGACACTGTATTTTTTTCAAGACACAAAAACCTAGAAATCTTTTTTCCAATTAGCCTTTCTTTATGCCTTTACAAATATTAAAAGTTGTAGCCCGATTGTCAATTTGGGTTCGCGTAGAGTTGCTTCCACGCACGATTCCCAAGAATTGCTTATAATTTAAGAAAAGCCCGAGCAGACAATAAATCTTAGGTAGGTTCTACAATGCCTATGATCTTTACAAGTAGCATTAACCTGACGGCTGCTTTATGGCTAGCCAAACTTGATTCTGTAGCAGGAGCTGTGTTTTAGACTTACGCCGCTAGTAAATAGTCTTTTTAATCAGTTGTTGACTTGCTGGTTTATGACACTTGATCTTGATCCAGGTGCTTAATAACCTTTGGGCCCAGCATTCTAGTCGACCAATAAAACATTTTTACTCGCTAAGTACTGCGTCAGCAGTATATACTTGCGTAAAGCTTAGGCGTAATTTAATGACTCTACTAAACCACAAGTCTTAGGATAGACTTACGTAATAAATGACATAATTATTTATGCCATTCTATTCGATTCGAGATGCTAACCGGCATAAAATAATACTATCTTTTAGTATTATGGTAGACTTTATGATTTGGTACCAATTAGCTATTTGACAATTGGCTTAAAAAAATGGCGCTTACTTCTCATATCTATCTCGGCTCTAGTGTAGCATTAGTAAACCATAGTATTTACCTAGTAAGTTCTGAAATGAGTACGCGACTGCGTTATAAAAGAAGAACCCTTTGCACTTATGTCAAATACCTCGGCTTAGTAGTTAACTCCCTTGGCATGCTCGCACCACTACGTTATAATTATAGCGAAGGCTTTCTTTAACTCCTTTTACTGCAAAAAAAGTAATCTGAGCTTTAAAAAACCAACTGATACTAAACAAACCCCTAGCTATGCCGGTACGCACTTACGCGTGGATTGCCACAGGTCTATTCGAAACGCCATTTTTAATCGGCCACAACTGAACAACTTTCTTCCTACACTAACTGGGGTGTCTTGGTTCCTTCCTAAGTGTAACTTATACCAAAATAGTAAGATTGAGAAAAAAATGTTTTGTTTGGTGGTGTGGAGGCCTGCCGTAATGCAGCAGAGATGATTATTGTAATGGTATAATATTAGAAACCATAAAGAAAATACGGTGTGTAGGTCTTAACTTTTGCTGCATACACGCTCCCATCCAGTTGAGATTCTGTGGATATAAAAAACCGGTTACAGGTACTTATAAAACTCTCTATGAATGGCCATCTAACCAATGGCTAGTCCTCAAGAAGTTGGAGATATTTTCTAGGCAAAACTGAGAAGTTTGTAAAAATTACTGGTTGGTCCGTAAGGGGTCCCCTAACTCTCTTCCTTTGTCCATCGAGGTAATTCTAGTTTGAGAGGGTTATTTCAATTTGTGAAGACTCCGGCGTCAAGTCTTGAAGGTGCGCGACCATCTTTAACTATCCCTTTTCATATTTAAGAACTAAAATTTTGGGTCGTTTTAAGAGGCAACACATGGAAAGATATATCTTTAGTGATAAATTGAGATTTAAAAAGATCAGTAATATTGTCTAACAGGAACTGTGAACCTTTAGAAACACGATTAAAAAAAGAAACTACGTTCTTTTTACTTCACCCAGCCTACCTTGTGCTAAATGACTAATGCGTTCAAACCTTAAAAAAAAAGTCCGAGTTTCTTGTAATTAAAAACGGAGAGATCATCTATGCGACTCCGAAAAAGCAACAATTTTACAGAAAATTTGTGCTGGCAATGTACGACATCGCTATCGGCGGACGGTAAACACGAATAACATAGTTGTGCGAGTTTATCACCTACTCTGGAAGTCTTTACGGATAAAAATGAGGTCTAATTTTAAATGACAAACTTAGCATAGGAAAAGCGAGGGTCCTGATGAATTTAAATATTATGCTTAAAAATTTTCCTTTTACCGCGACCGATTACCTTGCAGAGCTCGTTAACTCCAATATTACTTAAGGTTATTCAGATGGAAACAGGCAAAAGAGGTTTTTATACAAAATACGCCTCGTCTAAGCAACTATCCGCTCATAATCTTCTTTCCTGCTTAGGAAAAGTCGTAGAATTTGGCTTTAAAAAACTTATTCCAGCCTATCAGATTGGTGCCTGAAGAAACCTTTTACAACCCAACAAAAAGGTTGTTGGAAAATTAATGCCTTTTACTATATTAAATACTACTTCGTGTTTTTAACTTTTTGAAATCTTTTTTGACAAGATCTGGAATAAGGGTTACATTTTTAAATGACGAAATGGGCACATTCCGCGTGTATAACACTAATTATAGAACCATGCCTTAGCAACAGATCTTTTATGTCTCACGTAGGGCTAATTAGCGTCAGGGTTCGTAATATCTCCTTTCCTTCTCTTTATAAGTGCTCTACGTACCTTTCCTTTCAGCTCAAACTTACTTGGACTTATATGTCGATGGTACTATTATTTACAGCAGCTTATAATATCCTACTTTTGTAAATATCTATGCAATTCTGACTTAATTAAAGAGAAGAATAATTAACAAAGTGGAAAGTAACCGTTGATCCTTTAAACAGTCAAGCCGTCTAATTTCATGGAAATGAAAGAAAAGGGTACTAAAAGATTTATACCTTATTCAGGTATCCCTCCCCAAAGATATTTAGTTCAAATACCACGGTGTCATTACCATTAACAAAGTTAATTTAGAAGGCTCACAGTGAATAACTAATAAATAAATATTAAAAGTACGACGCACGCCTATCCACTAAATGCAGAAATAGTGCGGACCCTTTTACATTAATCACCCAGTAATGAGTTAAACGTCAGTAGCTTGTGTCCTCCCCCGACCGCATCATAGATTGACCTACAAAACTTTTTCAAGAATATTCCTAATAACCTCGCGAATGCGAACTTGACCCAGTTTTGAGGTTTATTAAGTACTTAGCCGAGAACTGCGTAGATATAATTTTATATAATAATAATCTTAAAATGACAAGAAGCAAAACTAAATTATAGATAACCAAGAATTTTAGTAAGGAGACTGCATTTTCACTTATAAGATAGTTGTAAATAAGTTTACGTACCAAACAAATTTTCCTTCTCGAGTCAACAAAGATGGTTGCGTACTCGGCGAGAAAAAGAAAAAATTTATTAAGAACAGTTAGTACTTGCCTTATCTTTATGTGGCTGGTTTATTAGTTAAATTAACGCATTCGTTTGTATTCTATTTGTTATAGCTTTTATTTAATAAGAGTGGTAGATTGGAGGAGCATACGTTAATCCGTGATGAATACTTGTGCACTTGTGAAACGGCCTCTGCTTAGCAGACATTAATATAACACAATATACTTTACATATTCATACTCTGGGTAATAATAGTAGCTTAAAATTACGTGCAATCTAGCAGCATATTTTAAGCGATCATACCTAAATATTATACAGGTGTTATGCCAATGGCGTACGCAAACACAAAAGTTACCCTTAAGTAGATCCATAATAAAGTTATAAGATTTTTATATTGTGAAGATAAAAAAAAGCAGGCAACACCGCAAATTTATGTAAAAATAAGTTTATTTGAAAATTTTGTGTAGCATGTATTATAAGACAGTAAAAAAGGTGAGTACCTTTATACAATGAAAAAGTAGCATTTATTTAGTTGTTTCTTTACGAATTACGCTTTTTTTACTCTAATATTAAGGTTTATTCTACTCTGCTACAAAAAGTTAAAATATCAGCTATTTTTGTTTTAATTAAAACGTGAGGATGTACTTCAAAATGTTAAAAACAAAAACTGTAGGCACCTCAAGTCTCCATTCGCTACAGCGTGATACTTTGAAAGGGTTTGTCCTTTCCCTTTTTCCGAAGACTTACTGATAACATTTAAATATCCAACCTTTATACGACTTGCTCATCTAGGCCGCTCTTATGGCCTCTTTGCTGTTTTTAGTCAGCTCGGAGGAAGAAAAGCGGGCCAAAATTGATTTATGAGCTTTCTGGGCGCCATGTTACCCTGCCAGGTGGTTTCTTTGGAATCAGTTTTCAGACATTTTCGTCTTTCTTTTATCCTCTTCCCTTTTGCTGCGTGTCCCACCTAACTAATATTGTAAACCTTCTTAATCTGTCACATATGTTTAAGTGACTATTTAGGTATTCGGTGGGAAGGGTTAATATAGCTTTTTAGATACACGACCCTTTTATCGGTGAGTACCTTCACTCCTGTATAGCGGTTCCTGGGATAGTATATTAATTATAAAAGTTAACACCAAGTAATTAACTAGGGACTTTATTTATAACATAAAAGGCAGAAGAGCTTCCAGCGTGGTACATTTTTTATTTGTTTATTTTGATGTAATAGTTTTCTAAAGTGTATTATTTATAATATTTATAATATTTTTATTTGTAATTTATTATTTTATATATTGTTAATATTATTTGTTATTTATAATTAAGTTTATTATCTATTAATAAACCATTCTTTCAGGATGTGTGCGGGTTCATGCTCTTTAGTTTAAAAATTTCTTTGTACACTATAATTGATTTTAATTAGCGGGGTGCCTCTAATTGTCTTATATAAAAAATGTTCTAATTTCAGGGAATACTTAATTGTTTCCAAGATGTGAGAACGTAATAGCCTTATAATATTAGTGCACTTAGTATCTCGTTTTTATTAACGTTAGATAGGAAGTTTTCTAATTTCATCAACGGTATATGGGCCTAAAGCAATAGTTACTATCTCTGCGCTCATTAACATAGCCGAATTTTAAATTTTCGATCGTTACATTTTTAAGATTCGTTTCTAAATTTTTTCTTCAATTATTTTTTGCTACAATTCTTTCTAATTTCGTTAAAACCAATTATTGAGCATACATAATAGCAATATGTAATGCTCTGTCCTAGCCTTTTTTTCTAAATAGGACCACTGTAAATAGTCCGCTTATTTATTTTTTACTCTTAAATTGTGGGGATGTAGGCACTCGTTTAGCTACAGGAGAATCGATACTTTTGTTCCTTTTATTGTCGGGTTTTGACACTTATTTTCTATTATCTTGTTACTTAATTCCATATAAACTTATATATTTATATTTGTTATTCACATTTTTTTTCAATGCACACCGCCCTTCTTTTTCCATTAAACTAACATTCTCTATTCGTTTCGTTACAGATGTTTTTCTGGCCAACAGATTTCATTTTTGGATTTTAGTGTTCCGAGCCAAGGTATTTCGCCTGAGAAAATCAATTGTTTGCTTTGTTTCATAGGTCAGCGGCGGCGTTGGTCGTAGCGCGCTTCTTCATGGTAAAAAGGGATTTTCTCTTTCCCGCTTTATTAGCAATTTTTTAACGACGACACAGGTTCGACAAATTCACTAGTACTGCAGATGCTAGCGCAATAGGGCAGGTGACTTTGACGAGGAGTATATCTCCGTATCTCCGCATGTGGGGCTCGTCAGACTATGGCACGTTGCGCACATAAAGTGCAAAGAGTAGAGTGACAGAAGAGACTCAAGTGGGACTTCGACCGTTAACGGCCTTAGGGGTGAGCGCGCGTTGCCCACACGACTATCAAAAACGCGGTCTTTAAGGTAAGATCGATCACTTTTGAAAGGACAGTAGGAAGGATATCCCGCGCAAATTGTGAAGCAAGCCCTCGTGCCAAACTCGGTCGAACGCTACTTCGACATTGCATAAGAAGGCGTCTGTTGCTTTAAAACTTTCAAGGCACGGGTCGTATAAAACTTCAGGCAAAGGGGTTGTTAAGTCGTGGGGTGTCTTTTTTGAAATCTAAATTGATACTCTGGCAGGGCCTGGCTTGCGTCAACAATTGCTTCGCCTCAGCTACCTTTGCCTACGGTTACGAAGAGGCTGATAGGCCTGTAATTGCTTTGCTTTGATGCTGTTCGTGGTGTCTTCGGGAGCATAACCAACAGTTGCCGTCTTCAAGCACACTGGGAAGGTGCCGAGTTCCTTCATAGAGTTGATGAGGCAGTGTAGGCCTTTGCCATTAACATCACGTTGGTGATACCGTTAGGGCCGAGTGCCTTTCGTCTCGGTAAAGCGTTAATAACCTCTTTGATTTCAATTATGGTCATTGGCTCGAACTGTTCCTTGGCATCAGGAAGGGAGTTTGCTTACAAAGCACTTTAACAGCAACTAAATAAGCAAGGGGCAAATACCCAGTAGCAAGGTGTTTAGCCAAAAGTGTCGCTTCGTCTGCTTTAATTTCCTCAAAAATGCCGTCTCGATTACTTAATGATGGTAGCGCGCTCGGATTTTTGTATTTCCCAATGTACTTCCACTTAGAGCCGCCACCTTTACCGTTATCTTCCGGGATATTACTAATCTTTGTCGTCCACAATCGGTTGTGGTGCGCTGACCGCTCTTCCCATTGCGCTGGTGTAGTCTATTAAGCGGTGGTTTACCTTTGGGTCCGTTGGCACCGTGATCATTGAAGGTCGTCGTTCGCAGGGTTAATTCATCAGGCAAGAAGTTTGGCGGGGTTCACTTTCTCGTGTTCTCGTGGCGGTCTGTTACCCCATGGTCGAAGCGCCCTCAATTTCAGCTACAGCTACGTCAAGTAGAGCGGGCGTCCTGTTAAGGCGGAAGGTGTTAAAAAGGTTATATAAAAACCTTAGGAGAATTGAGAGCAATCTGTAAAAATTCTGGTATGTATTCTTAGTAACTCCATTTTCGTCGCCGAAATCTAACAGAACTGCAAATGCTCCCACAAGAGTTCATAAAGAGCTTACGTTGTGGATGAATATATAAAAAAACTTTTTTTATAAGGGGGGACCTAATTTGTTTAATATCCCTGTCCTCTCCACGTGCGTTGGGTACTGTGGTATTAAGACGCGTAGTCAGCGCTCAACGGTGTAAGATTCGGGGTCTCGTCCGTTTGGGTAATCAACACGGCTGTTCCAGCAAGATACCTGCAGCCAATGTTCCCACTTACAACATTTGAAGAAGATTTAGAAAGGGGCGTCAATATCTGAAGTAATGTGACTTGCTGGGAGAGTTGTAAGCTGCAATCACCGGACACGAGTCCCTGACTGGATGCAAGGCTGTGCAGGATTGGCAAAGACATCACGTTGTGTGGGATGTTTCGTTTGCTCTATCACCCCTATCAGTGTGGTCCTGGTGATATCAAATAGTTGCAGAGATTAAATGAAACGCCGAGAAGAAGACGAATCTCATCAATAACAGATCTATCCCTTCGCATTGCACCACTTCCTGCGACCCTTGTTTCCTATGTAGAAACGCCGTTTGCGTTCCAGAAAAGAAGACGGATATGACGAAGCGCTCGTGGTCTAACAACTATTGCAGCGGTTTTCGGACTTTTTAGACTCTTCATCGTCTCTAACATAGTTGGCAGGTTTGTCAATAATATTGAAAGTAGTTGTCGATGTGTTGGTCGCGGGAGTTGGAAAGTTGTCTTAGTGACTAGGCGAGCGACATAAGAAATTGTCAAAATGACGTCAGAAGAGGTCTGTTTTTGAAGCATTAGTAGAGCAGCTTGATTGGATGGTGTAAGGCTCGCGGGTAATTTTTGATGTAAAAGTTGGAATTGTGCGCTTCACCGCAATAAGCACTACTGGCAGGACTTTCTCGTACTTTTGTGCACTGCGTTCATGGGGTATTCGCCACATTTATCGCATCGGGGGGCCGCAGAGCAGGAACTTGCGCTGTTTCCAAAAACTTGGCAGCGTTGGCATTGTCCGACTAGAATACTCCTTCAAAACTCTTTTATCCTAGCCTGAAACTATAAATCTCCTTTAATTCCAACTATTTTTATTGATCACACCTTGGTGTATGTACTAACAGCAGGTCGTGCGTTTCCCGTCGTCATTGTCCTCCGTGTGCATTCCCGCCACGTGGAGAGGGGTGTTGCCTTGCGTTCGTAAGTTCCCCTCCACTTCCAAACCGTCGAGGGACAAACTTTAAAGGCTTGTGCACTGGTAGTTGATGGTTGTAATGTGGTAGCACTTCTTTTCGCATAAGCTTAGGGGTGACCCGATACTACTCTGCTGTTGTAATAATTTAATTCCTTGACGTGTATCCCTAACTCCGAAAGTTGTTGACGACGTTGCCCAGCAGAGGTTTTACAAAATGAAATCTGTTTTTCTCAGAGAACCGTGAGCAGGATGTTATTATTTCGCCTAAGAGGAGATGCAACCGCGGAAAGTGGCTTGGAGTTGCTGGAAGTATTTCGTGCAGTGGAAGAAGAATTGCCCGTTTCTAAGTCAAGGCTCTCTTTGTGCTCTCTAAAAGGCATATCTCTGTCTTTGTTATTATTACTAAAAACAGAGTTTGATAAAATAAAAATTTAAGCCGATATAGAACACAAACTAAAACTTTAAAATGAAAATTAAAAATTGCCTATATATAACAGTCACAGCGAGCTAGATTATTGGATGAGAAAAAATTAATTTTGTAAAACTTAAAAATTTATAACTAAATAATTACCAAAAAAGGAAGCTCATTGGCCGAATCTCGAAATTCATTGGTCGGCAAAGAGTGGTATGCAACTAATGGATTTTTTTTTAGTACTTTTAATTTATCAGAGATATATTTTTCTACTAATTTTACTATTAAGGTTGTTAAGTCATTAAGGATTTTGCAAAAGTATTTATACTAACTTTATTACTACTACTACCTCCTTCGTTTTATGTATTATAATTATTATTTTTGTTTTTAATGTAGATGTTATTAGTGTCGTTATAATTTTTTTTAATGCTTTCCATAAAAACAATTCCTTCACTCTCCTCTAAAACTTCGTTTTTTCAAGGCTTTTTTAGTATTTTGGAGGGAAGAGTAAGGATTTGCCTTACTAATTTTAATAGAAGAATTTATCAACGTCTCTTTACGTCTAGTTTTGTTTTTATGAGACGTATTTTTAAACCCTGTAACTTCAATTTCACAGCCGTCAGCTCTTTGCGAAGCTCCTATAATAGCTAATAAATTGGCATTTGCCTTTCTTATGTCGGTCTTCAGAAGAGAGGAGCCCATCTTATGAAATAACAAGCGAACTTTAGGCCTGGAAACTTTAATTATTTTTATATACAATTGACTTTTCCCTAGTGCTCGATCGAGTTAACATATTGAATGCTTAAGCTCTCAGTCAGGAGTGGTCGCTTATATTTTCCGTTATCCGCCGCAGTACTAACTAGGCTCCTGTGCGTAATATATACACAGTTTTGCAAATAACCTTAAAGATTAAGTCTATTAATTAAAATTAATTAAACGCGAAGTGGATATCCTCGATTGCGTAGAATCTATCCCTCATAACTGCGCACCGTAAGTCAATCATGCCATTAACAAATAAAAACTTTAAAAGACTAACTAAACAAGTGATCTATTTGAATCTTTGAGGTGTAATGCTGAGATGGATGTATAGTAGCATTAATTGCATCCAAAAAATTTTAAATTACACGTAATTCAGTAGTTATAATTATCATATATCAAAAGAACAGCTTTAATTAAGGAATTTGAAAAGGTTTTACCAATAAAGTGAACTTTCTTAATTGTGAGGTTCTAAGTTAAACCAATATAAATTAATTAGTAGGTTTGGCATATATTAAGTAAAACAATATTTTTATCTTTTAAAGATCAGATTACAAGTGTCACCAGTTTAAAAAAACTTAATAGTCAACGATTGTGGACCAAGCTTAAGTGCTTCCCAGTTTTTGTTGTATATCTTAAAGACTGGTGGGTGCGGGGATGAAGTTAAATGTGCAATTATCGAAAAACGAAAAAAGTAGTCTTGTAGGTAGAACTCGAGTCAACGTTCTCTGAGTTTTCGCGTTGATACTTTTTACTCTTGAGCCACGGCGATAACTCTAATAATCAGTACAATTGTTAACTTTCTTTTACAGAGTAATTCGACTGTCTTAAGGCAGAGGGATTGCGTAGTAATTAAGGTCGGTCTCTCGCCAATGGCCTAGTTTTGGCGAAACCTTTAAGAACCACCGAAAAAATTGCTCCATTTTTAACACCAGAGGCCTCCCCAAAGAGCCGAGATGAGAATAGAGTCGATACTAAACCGAATCTTATGCGAATAAACCTTAGCCAGCAACTTGATAACCCATAAAGAGTCATATATCTATAAATTTAAAAAGCTAACTAAAAAAGCTTACTAATGTGTCTTTTAGTATGGCACAATATATTTCTTGGCATGGCAGTACCGTCACATTCTAAACAATCATTGTACAAATAATTGGCATAGTGTTTTATTGATTTAATTATTTGTTGTGCTGACTTCGTGGGCTTTTATTTTTAAAGAATTATTCAAGACAATTATGACCATTATCAACTAAATTATTAAAACCCGCTGGGAAGCACACTCCCCCCTTCAACTAACTAATTACAACTTAGAGAACGGTTATATATAATTGAGGGTCGACCATATGAGGGCGCAACCGTAATTAAACATTTTAAGAGATGTCGTAAGCGTTGTGCTACTCAGGCGGCTCGAGAGATCAAATAAATTATAAAGCTCTTCTCAATTTTAACTAACTATATTATATCCTTTGTGATATAATTTAAAATATTACTCTCATCTTATTTATAATATATTAGTTCTTGAAGTGATTAAGCCTGTAAGATCAAAAGATCAACAAAATTAAATAAAGAGATGATGAGCAAGTGGCTCCTGTGGGTGTACTATACCTCAAAAGTTCGACTCATACAAGTTATGCTGTTGTTCTAAGAACTGACCCGATACTTAATTTTGTGTTTTAAACATGCGGAGTTCTTATAAAGTCATATGGTTGTGTAAAGAAATTTTTATGAAAATCGTTGCGTTTTAATATTTTTGGCTACATGCCTTTATTAAGAGCTTGATATTCATTATGCTTAGTAACAGTTGCTAATTTTAAAAATTTCAAAAATATTATTTTTACCTTCTAATAAGTTTAGCGACCGATCTTGACAATTTTAAATAATAACAAAGCATGGCAGTCAATTAGAATACAAATTATTGTACTCACCACTCGTTGTCCACTGCCGAACTGAAGCGCTCCTATCAAAGCTGCATATGAACTTAATTCAATTTGTCTTAAAAAATACATATAAGACTACCAAAAGATTTGAATGACACGCCTGCTTTTTGTTACAAACCTGTCTACTTTTATTGACTGCTACTTTTTCGAAGTTGCCAAGAAATTTTTTACCTCAATCCACAATTAATACGTTTTCATTTAAATTTGTAGCTACAAAAATCCCCTATTTCAAATAATATTGTTATTGAAAAATTCTGAGACTTAATCGTTTTTAAGCTTAGAGACTAGAAAAACTAAAGAATATATTTGGAACGAAGAGGACAGGTATATATTCTAACAAAATATATTGGGTGCTACCTCACTTAAATGCTTTGCTCATCCACAGAAGATAGTTCCTCCTTAAATATTAGAGTTACCTTTTTAAACTAAGAAAAGTTACTTGTGGAAGTGACACCCTCAAATAATTATGTTGCTGGATAAGAAGGGGACAGAAAAAGAGGAAGAAAATTTTATAACCTTGAAGGTAATAAGAAAACCCCTAATACAAAAGCATAACCAACGTCAAAAATTTATTATCAAAAATGAATATACCCGTATGAAACAAAAGTAATTATGCAAAGTTACCCAACTTATACGAAAAATCTCAGTCAAACTTAAATAATTAAAAAAATTATTTATAAACTATAACGCATTGAAAACTACACTGTTTAATAAACAATATTAAACATTCCAAAAACAAACTAAAAGAAAATAAATATATTGAAATTATTTAATGGAAGATAAACAAAACCAAATTTAAAAAAAAAAATCACAGAATAAATCTTTAAAATCTGATAAATAAAGGAATCTGAATTTATTTAAAGCTTATTAATTTACTTAAACAGTATATAAATATTTAATAAACAAGAACGAAACAAATTAATAATAAAATTGAGAGCAAAATAAACTATTAGTGAAATTATTTAGAGGAATGAACTGTACTAAGCGGACTAATATAAGCCAATCTTAAACAGCTTAAATCTAGCTTTACTTCAATTATCTTAGGTAAAGATATATAAATAGAAAAATGTAATAATGATAATATCAGTCTTTCTGGTTCTTTTTTCGCTTTTTTATAGAAGGATCTATACCTTACATCTAACTTTGTAGACACGAGGATTTGTATCGTCAGAATGAAATTTTAGCAAGCCTTCCACCTGGTTGGCAGGATTTTAGATTGTGTTATCTTCTTTATAAGAAAGTGCCATCCTACAGTTAAAGTTGATTGTTTTGCTATAACTCTCGGTTGTTAAGTATTTGTTCCTAGAGACATTGTTTTACTAAAAATGGTAGTATCATTTTATATCTGCTAACGAGTTAGTCAATTTAACTAATAACGATTTTATTCATAAGTACCGCTTTTATTTTCACAGTTTCAACTTGCTTTCTTTATTATTATTAATTTTCTAACATATTATTATGTTAGTTTCGGTTATAGAGCTTGTTATCTTCATAAAACTTTAAAATTTTTTTTTTGGTTGAGTTATGAAGAAGGGAATTTATACCTTCATGAAGAAATAAAACGGAAATTTAAAAATGTGGTAGTCATGTGATACAGCAGTACATAGTATAACGTACCACATGGTACGGTCCCCTAATTTTTCAAAATTAACTTCTTTGCTCCAAACCATCTTTAGTTTTATGATAGACATAAATTTGGTGAGCAGGTCTCCTGTATTCTTCTCTGAAGTATATAATACAAGGACAGAGGAATGAAATCCAGCTCATAACGAATGTAAATTTATCATGTAAAACTAGATTTGGACCAATACAAATATTAAAAAGTTAGCGCATATTTTTATTGAGAATTTTGCTTCTAAATAATAATATTATTTGATGTGTATATAAGGAATATACCAGCTTTCATATAAACTTTTAATTTGGTTACTCTTTGTAATCTTTTTTTTTTTGTGTTAGTGCACCTATTATTTTTTTTTTAAGGAATATACGAACTTATATAAAAACTTCTAATTTGGTTTCTTTCTTTGTTATCCTTTTTTGTGTGCCTTAATTCACCTTTTTGTTTATTTTAAACAATATACCCCTTTATTTAACATCTATCATTAATGAGTTTCGACCTTTTATAATGCTTGTAAAGCTATACAGTTAACTTTTTTTTGCCAGTGTCATCATTAGCGCCGGTGTACTTGAATGGCTTGGCATTAGGCATCTTGAATTTGGTCTTTATGCCTGTACTATTTTTCTTTTGCTTAAAAAAAATTTCGCATCCAAGTTGCCTTTCCA